AAAGCACCTTGCAACAAGGCGCTCAGTCTTTCTTCGCGTTGAGGCCCGATTTCTTCATCACGGCAATTTTTCTCCGGTCTTTAGCGGAGACCTTCTTGACCTTCTTGACCTTGGCCTCAGGGAGAGAAAACTGTTGCCTACGGCGCGCATCGTTGGACTTCTGTGAGTCCCGTACGAGCCTTTTGAGCGGTGACTTCTGTCCCTGGACATATCGTTAGTAGAAGGCTCCATTTTTTCACTGAGGGAACCGGTGTGGCTTACTTACATCCAGCAAGCTCTTGGCGACAAATTCCGCTCCAAGCCTAGCGCCGGGCTCTGTGCGCTGACGTCGTGTCGCGAAGAAGGATTGAAATTCCTTCGAGGGCCCGATTACCTTGTCGTGGGCCTTGAACTTCTCGGTGTAGCCATGACGTTTCATCAACGACTTGTTGATATAATAACGGTCGCTGAAAGTCACGGTGCGTGGGATCTTCTCCGTATGTACCGATGGCTGCAACCCACCTGGATTGCCGAAAGCCTTTTTCAAAGCTTCTCGGTCCTTTGAGTCTAGCTTGGCGACATTGAAATTGCCCTGGTCGGTATCCAGGAGATTCGCAGCTGCACTCACAACACGGAGGTCGTCGTGGCTGACCAGGGGATACATCTCCTCAGCTATGATCATTTTGAGATCTTTGCTGACCGAAGGATGTGTCTGCTCCGAGTTACTAGGTTCTTCTCCCAGTAACTCAAGATCAAGAGGGTCCAGCTCAGGAGTGTCGGGGCTGTCCTCCTGCGGTGTTTCGACGGCTCCGACCGCTTCGACCGCTTGGGCTACAGCGGCAAGAGCGCTGCTCCGGAGAAAGAGGAGGTGGGGTTCGAGTTTGCCCCCATGTTCCTTTCTCCCCTTCTTCCGCAGCCCGGGTGCTGGGACTTGAGGAAAGTCGGTGTCTGCCTGTAGCTTCCTTCGCTTCTCGCTGTGGTTGGCTTCACCAGGCAGATCGGACGTGGGTAGTTCGGGAGAGGACACGGTCTCCCGCTTTCGTTTCGTCTGTCTCTCGGGCTCCCTATTGACAGCGGCCAAGAAGACAGGCAGGCCAGGGGTTTGAGGAGTTGGCTCGGGTTGCTCTTCGAACAAACCCTCCTCTTCGGCCTTGGCCATCTCAATGTCATAGTCGTCTGGACCCTCTGTGGTAGAGGCGGCGACTTCCTTTTCGGAACTAGCCTGTCCATGATTGGAGCTACCGGTATTTATATACTGATCGGCGTCAGCCTGATCAAAGTCAACCTGGTCGAAGTCATTCTGATCGGATTCAGCTTGATCGAAGTCGAACTGATCGAAGTCAACCACCTTCATATCACCATCCTTGAGACGTAAGAGATGGCTGTAAAAATCTTCCATCTGTTTGAAATCTTCTTCAGAGACAGCTTTAGAGTTGTTCATATCAACTTTGGGAGAAAAGCGAGATTTTCTAGGCTGGAAAGCCTCCCGTGGTTCACGGACTTGTGTGACTTGCTTGCCCATCGTCTCGCCCGGAAGAGGGATGAACTTGGAGCCAAATAATATCTTGGATCGTTTATGATGCAGATCTCCGGACGCCTCTCGAGCCACGGCAGCAGGGTCCTTTGATGCGTAGTTCGAACGCCGCCTCTTTTGTGTGAGGTGGTGGCCACGCAGGTCTGTAACATTTCGTCTATGCCCAGCTAATACTTGGAATTAGCATGAAGAGCAAGCGTCTTAGAGATGACTAGATGACTTACTACCCTTGAAGGCACAGGATTCACTACCAACCCAGACACTCCTAATTGTCTTCTTGGGCAGGCCAAGGAGCATAAGGTGCTTGACCGGCTGACGAGCAGAGACAATATACTCCACCCTATCCAAGGGTAAACCAACTCCGAGGAGGCGCTCAAAATCTTCCATTATGAGTGCGTGGTTTGGCCGTCTAGAAATCGAATTAGCTTTGTGAAAGTACACAATCGTATTGGATCAAGAGAAGTGACAAAGGCCGTTTGTTGTGATATTGAAAGGCGGGGTGGAATAAAGCCAGAGAAAGGTCCTTTCTGTGACCTCTGGTCAAGAAGTGTTGAACGGGCACCGAAAGTCGATTATCTTCCAGATCCGCAGATTTGACGATGGCCAGCGCCGAAAAAGACCCATAATGTGGAAAGGTGGAGAGGAATGTTTATGTCAACTTACAATGTGTGTCCAAGTGCCAGTAGGACGTCAAGTCGTCTGTTGCTGCCGTTGTCCAAGGTTTGCAAGCTGCCAGGTGATGATTTGGTAGAAAGGATAGGACTTGGAACAATGGCCACGAGCCTTCAGGTCAACCGTCAACGGTCAAAGTCTTCAATGAAGAAAATAGTGGTTGTTGTGAGTGAGCTTGTCTGTGTGTCACTAAGATATATTCGTAGGAGAAAGGAGCAGTACTGGAAGCAAGGGAAGCAAATAGTGCAGATTCACTGAATGTTTCCAAGTGTGGACTCTATGATGGAGGAAGAAGAACGTCATGCAGGTAGGTGATTAAATACGTGATGCTCCAAAAGCCCGTCAACACGCAGAGCAGCTAGCGCCAAGCTCGAGCTGCATAAAGTACAGGCCGATGGCCAATCGGAAGAGGGAGACCCCTAGACTAGACCCAATGGAGCCGGGAACGGGTTGTGTCAGAAGACTCTACCCGTTGACACCCAGATAGCCGCATTTTTCGCCATGAGAGGCATGGACTACTCCGCCAAGTATTCACTCACACAGCTAGCTTAGCTACACGAGCAAACTGTTCTACGAGCTATCCTCACAGAACCTTCCGACCGTGAGAAACAACTGGAAGCCCTGGGAAAATCTATACGTAGGACAAGACTCGCCATTCGATGCAGGAGACAATTTCCCATGGATAGAGTAGCCACGCTCCTGGAGTTGCAGCGTGAGAACAAAATAGCTATGAGGAGGTCTGTGTTAGCTGTGAAGCCTGTGTGTGTGTGTAGGTAGTGCCCAGCCGCGCTAGGCCCAGTCAGGCCGTGTGTGTTGTAGGAGGGCTGAAACCGTGACTTGGATAGGCATTGGACCTTCAATGCTCTACAATAGAGGCTGTCATCGATTTGGATCAAGGAAATTAACTAGGCTTTGAGTCTTGAATGCTCTAAAATATACAATGAATAATGGCGGCTTTGTTTGGGCATGAATTTCGTTCTGAAAAGACGGCTTCATTGATTACTTTTGCTTGAGCGGATATTCTGCGATAGATATCTTTAATTGAATTCAAAACATTTTTGAAGTTGGACCCTACTCGAGACGAACTGATGCAACTCTTCTCGACCTTTGCCAAGTGGCCCAGAGTCTCTCTAATGATTCCGTATTGCTTATATAAGTTTCCTTCCCGCCACCAGCGGTATCATCCAGGTGAGAAGCCCCGCTTTGTCTTCTTACCAATCGGAAGCAAGACCGAGATACGAGTGACAGACGCTAAATGCCTCCAGCTGCATAGCAAAATGCCAAGACATCCACAGCGGCACTAGGACGTGTATCCTTGGCATTGCGAAGAACAAGATCGGCGTCCTGAGACGCGCAAAGGGCTTAGCTGCCTTCGATAGAGGCGGCGCTCTTGCCCCAGAATCGCCGTGTCCCAGCGTTAGGAGAAATTCCAAGGTGTCAGCGGCGACCGTGCACAGAGAATCCCGAAATACCAGAGACGTTCTTCTCGCGCACTGCTCACACTCTCTAAACGTTTGGTTGTGAAACAGGAAGATCCTGAAGACACATGGCGAGAGTTGAGGAAGTCTACGAAAGCCATGAAAGCCATCAGCTTGAGCCTGATGATCTCAGGAGGGTTTCTGAAACATCCCGCAAATGAAGGGGCTACTTTTAGCATAGCTTGAGCTGAAGAAGTGCCTGTGGCCTGAAATGCATCTCGAGGAAAGCTAGTGGTGGCCGGTGTACATTGAACTGAGCAGTGTCATTATCACCAGGACGGTATATTATTTTATAGCTATGTGCTATAAAGAATGTATACCAAAGAGATACAGAGGCAGAAGGCTACCAAGATGGTAGTCTCAAAGACTTTAATGTATGGTATCGATTGAGGGTGTTGTTCGAACAATCTGACTGACCCTTCAGAGCGACGCTGACTTTCACTATTCACCACTCCTGACTTTCAAACATTCCAAGGTGGTGCAAAGAAAGACAGTGATTTTGTCCCCAACTCTTCACGCTTCAACTTCCGCACGTAAGGGGTGTTTTAGACGCAGTGACTTTGTCCCAAACTCTTCACCCTTTTGCAGATCTTCATCTGAGAGAATAAGGCAAAGACAGTGACACCGATCGGAAAATTCCGCGTATTTCCGACCGCCAATATTCAGAAGTAATAAGATTGCAGTGACGCTAAGCCAGAACTTCACGCTTCTGCGAAGTACCAGCTTAGATAGCAATACGAGTACTAACACATTAACTCTTGGTTGTAGGAATAGTACTGCCAGTCAAAGGCCCTGTTCCAAGTGACGGAGTACACAAAAGCTTTTTAAGCTTTGCTACGATATGAAAATCCTTGAATATGCAGGCTGCCGGCCTGGACAGTGGTCTGAAATTGAGATGTAGTAGTTACTGTTTCGCAGGCTACCGATCGGAGCTATGAGACATAGGCAGTGAACTGGCCACATTCATTACCATGTTGCGGGTACCAGCTGGACCGTAATGTGAACATAGTGACAATAAGGTCTGTTTCCCTGCTTTGCACGCAGTCGGCCCAAATGGTGATACAACATAGTGAATGTTGACCGGTGTTATTCACCCCTTTACCGGTTACCCGCCTAGGCAGTGAAGCAGAAGTACTAGCTCCGGAGCTCCTGCTTGTAAAAGAATCCCTGACTTGAGTGTTTTGACTGTGGCGACAACACGTACATCTAACCTCAATCCACCCACCTCTTCCACACACCTTTGATCCAAACATCACATCACATCACATACACCACACCGCACACCTCAAACGAAGAGCTACACACCACAAACATCTTTACCTTCACCCTTTACCACCATGTCAGCCAACGCACCCCTCCACATCGCCTGGCGCGGCGTCCCCTTCACCCTCTATGAATGCCAACTCGCCTGCGCCCTAAAAATCTACGTCAAATTCGAAGACGGCACAATTCCCGACGATCAAACGATCGGACAAGTAATCGGAACATCGAGCGGCCTTCAAAACATGGACTGTGGCGGCTTGGTCGCGCACTTACGGGCCACGAACGATATATACCCCGAAATGCTTGCCGGCGGTGAGCCGACGGCCATCTGGGCAACAAATGTGTGGAACACGTGGCTGGATCCGTGCGCAGGTCCGGCCGGTACGTGGCCATAGGCTGAGGATCTTGATGTGATTATGTTGATCAGAGACGGCTGTGGGTGTAATGGATTGAGGATGAATGCTGACGGCTTCCATGGCTGGAGACATGGCTGGAGACAGGTCCCCCCTCTCTACGCGTCCTCTCTGACTATACCGAAGCCGGGCTAGCTACCACACTGGGATCGAGATGGAAATGGTGGATGGACGGGATCGTCTGGCTTGGAGACCGCTGTTTGTGATAGCTTGGAGGAGAGTAGTGTGCTCGCGTGAAGAGAATGGAACTGCTGTTTTCTGCTGGCCAGTAACTCTCCCATGTGTTTCCATTGCTAGTGATACCTCCCATTGAAGTCCCCCAGAACGCCTCAATGTTGCTCAACAATGCTGCCAATGCCTTAAAGTCTCATCGTAGATGATCCATCGAGCCAGTATACAGGGCTCTCATGCCATCAATGACATAAATCGAGAGTACTTAGATCTCTGCGTCTAGCGGCCTCGCTCAAGGCTCCTTTTTTAAGGCCGTCCACTGCACGTAAATGACCAGCCGGTTCATGCACACCCTCAGGCTCTTCGGGAGGAACCATAAGCCTAGCCGGCTTCCAATCTTCTATATGCCAACCAAGACACCTAAATTTGCTCAATCCGCGTACTAACATGGATTCTACAGACGACTTGTAATTGTGACAATGTTCTTTGATTGCATTCAGATATACTGTAGAGAGTGGACTGCTTGTTACCCCTGAAATTCCTTTCGAGGTCGGCACGTCGGTGTTGGCCCGGCTCTCGGTAAAACATTAATCCGACTCTAGTTTTCTTTGGAATTCCTGACTCAATGCTACCAATTATTAGGGATACTGTGTAAGAAGCATGCATGTACTCCTGGAAAGGAGTTTCACGAAGAAGCGAAAGGTGTTTCTTGGTTCTGATTGTGATTGATAATTGTTAAAGCTATGAACGTTCTCGAAGAAAGGAAAGGAAGCGACATGCCAAGTCACGCTAGTAAGGAGTCACGCTAGTAAGGTTTCTCACGCTATGTCGGGAACGTAACAGTTGCCCTCCCTCGTGAAAAGCCATGTCGTCCTCGGGCTTTTCCTTATCTCGTGAAGATTCAGACGTGAAGTGTGCAAGAGAAATCTCGTGAAGTTTTAGACGTGAAGGTGCAGGAAAAAGGTGTGCGGGTTCCAAAGGAAGGCATGTGCTTTCCTTGAGAGACGTGAAAGTATCGCGGTAAGGCCTGGCCGGATCTGAGGTCCTTTCTTCCACTCTTCGAACTCTGCGGAAGGCTTTCCGTCGTCGTCGTGAACGAGTACGAAGGGTGCTAGATCTGAGGCAGAGAAAGGAAGGCATGTGCTTTCCTTGAGAGACGTGAAAGTATCGCGGTAGGCCTGGCCGGATCCGAGGCAGAGAAAGGAAAGCATGTCGGATCTGAGGCACACACTACACCTCAGTCGTAGCATCAGGAACGGAAAATCCTTCCTTCCACTCTTCGAACTCTGCGGAAGGCTTTCCGTCGTCGTCGTGAACGAACACCAAGGCCGCCAGGTCTGGGCATTCCTCAGCGAAGGTCTCTTGCGCTTTGTTCAAGGTATCGAGAATCTTATCCAGCAATGGCTTGTTGATGCTCTGGTATTCCTTGATGCTCTCGATATCGGCCTTTCTGTCTTTAACTTGCTTGTTGTCTTGGTCCAGGAAAGGTGAAAGTTTTGCAGCGCCCCTGATGAGTTTCGTTGCGCTCTTATGCTGAGCTAAGAGTGGAGTAACCATCCCATGGATCCTTTCCGTTGCCGTTGACAGTGCCACACGTCGGACATCCGTGAGACCCTCGGAAGCCTCGCTCGACTTGAGACCTTGTCGATTAGAGAAAGCCAAGCCGACTTTGGCATGGAATGGAATGGGTTCGCTGCGATTGTGCAACATGGAAGCTGGAAGGGCGGGTGGATGTATAGACACTCGGCTTCCGACCTCCGCAAAGAAATTGGAGTTCTTTATTTTCCGTACTGCAATTGTGTTGCCAGTCATACACGACAGACATGGCTTAGGCGTGAAGAGAGGCGTTACATTTATTTCTAAAAGAACTTTGCGATCATCCTCTCGAGGGCCAGTCTCGAGCTTTTCGTGCTGCCTCGAAATCAAGGCCTTGCTCTGGGTCGCTATTTGGGTAGACGACCATGTCGTCCAAATATGGATCGAGCGGGAAATCTGGGACACCATTCGGAGGCAAAGTATGCTTTAATGAGCTGTGTATTGTATCAGGAACATTTACATCTTCAACTTGGGCTCCTGGAATACATGCTGGTAGAAGCTGATCTTCGCCCACGAAATGTCGCATGTGTTGGACATCCGTGCTCTAGGCATGACCGTTCCTAGAGCTCGCATGAGGATGGAGTCGATGACCGTTGCTGACATGTTCCAAGGGTGCCCTATGATGCTCACGATCGGCTCTTGATCCAGGCCGCACCGTTGCAGACTCGTGGCTGACATTCTGGGCGTTGGAAATGGATGGGAAAACATGGAAGATGGATGTCCCAATGCCTGGCCAGCTTGGATATCACCATGAGCTAATAACCCTACAGAGCCTCTAGGCTGTAGAGTTGAGGTTTGATGACCAGGATTCTGATCTTTTGCCGTGAAGACGGGTATGTAGGGCGAAGCCACAGATCGTTGGTGACGTGGCTGGTGATCAGGCACGTTCGGCCTAAACGACGTTACAGGGTAGTACTGGGGTTGGTATGGTTTGACGACTTGGGTAGGTTGTTGCCCAATCGTCCTACCGTACTGGCCCTCAGATGGAGCGCCGCAAGTGTATGGATCGACATCTTCAAACGAGCCATACCGAGGAGCTCGGGCATCTTGCAAAGCAGGGCCGCTGAAGGTTTGCCTCTGAAGGTATCCGGACTGATAGTCTCCAAGCTGAGGATGAGGATCAAAGTTCTGTTGCTGCGCATCATGTGCAGCATCATGGTAGGACGCTGTATTTATATACTGGAGGTTGGCATTGTGCACCGATTTCACCCGCTTTATGGGGCGGCGCTCTTGCCTCTCAACATCGAGTTGTAGGTGTCGAAGGTTTTCGTTTCCACCATCGCACTCTTTCCGCTTTATGCCTTGCTTCTCTGAAAGCCTGGGCGTTGTTCGTTGTGCCATATCCCGGGCGTGCATGCTCTGCGCCGGATGTGGCATCGCGTCCTCATTCCAGTTTCCTCGCACTCTTCCGCCTGCCTGAATTGGCAACATGAAGCTCATTTCCAACTCTTCAATCAGCACCGGTGGCTCTGCACTCACGTCAATGGGTGGCGGGCCCTGAAGTTTGGAAACCGGGCCAAGAAAAGGCTCGCACATCCAGAGGATCTCCGCCATAGCTTCGTCAGATTTGGCAGACATTGTGGCGATCTCCTCGTCACTCATGAACTGATGTTCGGGTCGGGGCACATGATCGTACGTCGCCGTCGCCCTAAAGTCCTCCACTTCCATAAAACTGGCTTGGGTATCATCAAACTCTGGTTGCCGGTTGGTGGAGTATGGTGGATCTGGATGTGGACCAAACTTTTGAGGATGAGAGAACCTTCCGTTCCGAGGTTTATGAGGAAGGGGTGGTGGTGGCATAGCGGCTGCGTCGCGGGCTTGTGCATTTGCGTATCCTCGAAGATCATTCTGTCCCTAGAACGCCAAGTAAGCTGTCGTCCTTTAAGATTGCAAGTGGGAGATTGAAGTACCGGTACAGCTGCATTACTGGCAAAGTCCTGAGATGAAGAACCCATACGCGCCGAGGCCACAGGGAACTGCGCTGTAGCGATATTGGCGCTGCTAGCTCGTGAAGATTGTGGAAATTGCTGGTTCTGATACAGATGTGAGGCTTGTGGGAGCTTGTGGGGCCTGAGGAGTGAGCTTGAGGAGCTTGAGGCTGCGAGTTTGCGGAACCTGTGCAGACTGTGCCAGCTGTGTAGCCGGGGTGTTGCTTACGTTTACGTTAGCACGTCTTCGACCTCGCTTCCTCAATACCAAGTCCGGCAGAGCAACCCTGTTTCCGGAAACCTCACCCAGAGCTGGGTCAATGAGGCCAGGCGTGCTCCCACGGGTTGTATTTGCGTCTTTCTGGGCGTCCGTCAGGCTATCCAACACCCTCCGCTTCCTATCGTTCAGCGTTCTGGATTCTTCGCCGGAGCCTGATCCTGCCGTCACGTGCCATGCGATCATCTTCCATGCGGGGCGATAAGTGCGGTAGCCTGGAGTATTGAGATGGAGATTGATGTAACCTTGATCGGTCATCCTCAATCTCTCTGCTGAGACTTCTTCCCTCATGATGATGTCGCGCTGGCGAATCCTAGGGTCCATTCGACGAACAAATTCATGATACCACCAAGCTTCCTCGGTGGAGATCTAGAGATGTTAGCACATCGTGGAATATTGCATTTGCGACGATGAAGCTTGCCTTGTCAGGCAGTAACTTGAAATCGAGCAGTGGTCGACGTCCCTGTCCAGGTCTCGTCCACTGTTCGTATACCACAGTACCGTCGGGATTGTACTTTGGCTCTGGAAGGGGCGAGTCTTTGAAACGCCTCCATTCTGCACAAGGGTGAAGCTGATACATGATCTAGGACTTTGTCAGCAGGTTCGGAACATGGCAACAACGGAGGACTCACGTCAGGCAGGTTATAATCCGATAGAAATGCTTGTCTTTACCGTCATTAGCATAACTATGGCTCTAGCCAGATCTGAGCTTCTTACCCAGGATGGAATTGTGTCATGTTGGTTCCGGTGCCGTTGCGCGGTGCAGCTATAGGTCCGCCAGTCAGCACTTATACTTTCAGAAAGCCAGACGTCTGTGCTTACCGTACGACGTGACCCCAGGGATAGGAGTCCAATCAGTGTACGCCAGATATTCAGGACGTTGGTCCCAAGGAACGACTGCGTTTGCCATTTTGGTGGTGAAGTGGTTTGCTTTGGAGACTGTTGTGAATGTCTGAAGAGAGTAGTGAGAAGTAGGAAGAAGATCGGAACTTGAAAAGCTTGCTGAGCTAGTTTCGACTTCGGGGTAGGTGTTGTTGCGACTTCGAGGTGTTGAAGTCTCACACGGTTCTTGCTTATCCTGATTCAGAAGTGACATGCATCTATGGCGATATACCTACATAGGTTGGTGGATCGGGTGAAGAGGTAAGGCAAGGTGTTATGCTCATCCTGATTCAGAAGTGACACACACCTATGGCGATATACCTGAATAGGTTTGTGGGTTCTGCTTACTGATTCAGAAGTGGTAATACCTATAGTGATATATCTGAACCTGGTTGGTGGGTTCTGCTTATCCTGATTCATAGGTGGTATATACCTGTGGCGGCATACCTGAACAAGTTGATGCATCGGGTGAAGAGTTTAGGCGAGATGTCCTACTTCTATGCTATTATTATTCAAACGTAGTATATATCTATAGCGATATACCTGAAAATATTGGCGGATTGGGTGAAGATGTAAGGTAAGTTTGGACAGCAAAAGAAGTGAGCCTTAGCCCGGCACGTGACCAAATATGATGTTGTGGGCACCCAGCACTCCGGCTGGACACCTGGAGATCATTATCCAAGACCAGAATTTCCAGAATGAGCTCCTGCGCTGTTTACAGTTATAGAATCTATGGCAAAAAGCCTATGCAACGAGAAATTTAGCCAGCGTAGGCTCTGCCTGAAAGGTTGTGAGGAACAAGTTTGCATCCCATCTGGAGTGAAATAGTATCTAGTCTCTGCAAAAGAAAAGAAAGTCCGAGCAACCACCACAGTGCATCCTCTCTACCGATTTTGCCTGCTGGTGATGCCCGTCAAATGTTTCGACCAAAAGCGACCAGCCAGAATAAAAACCTCCAATCAACAGGCTCCAGACGCAATAACAGAAGAAAGTGTAAACCCCCCCCCTCTCATTCATCATCCGAAGAAGGTTCCCCTCTCCCTCCTCTCCCTCTCATCCTCCCGCTCCAGAAAGCCCTCCGCGTACGACGGCTCCCCGCCCCTCATGATCTCAAAAACGGCACGGGTGTGGCGGCCCAACTCGTGCCTCGGCCACCGCTCGCGCCGGTGGATCTCTTCGATCAGGGCGTCGTTATGCCGTGCTATTTCGTCTGTCAGCCGGCCCGTTCGGTGGGTGGGTGTGGGGTCGCGCTGACCGGTGGGGCCGCCGGCGGGGCTCCGGGTCGCCTGTCTGGTCGTATCAGTATCAGTGGGGTTGTGAACCCTGCCGGTTGGGGCGGGAGGACCTACTGGCTGAGCGGCATTCCCGCCGGAGTTTGGGGGCGGGGCGCGTTCGTTTGTCTCTGTGTCTTGTGCTTGTGCTTGTGCTTGTGCTTGTGCTTGTGCTTGTGCTTGTGCTTTGCTTGTGCGCGCTGGTTCGGGGTGAATCCGAGGCGGGAGTGTGACGACGGTCCGGGACGTGTGGTGTAGGTTGCTGTTCCGGACCCGTCGGTGTGATGGTGGTGCGACCCGTCGGGGCCGAGGGCGTAGAAGCTTTGGGGGGGACGATCCGCCGAGGCTACGGGGAGCCCGAGTCTGGCGGCGTTGGAGGTCCGCGTGACCGCGTCGCGCCCATCGGTGTCCTCTGCGGTGCGGACGCTGGTAGATTGTGCGACCCGGGAGCCCCTCACGGGCGAATTTCTGCGGCGCATCGGGCCGTCACCGTAGCCGGAGAGTGCTTCTGGACGGCGGTGCTGTCCGGCAAAAGGTAGGCCGGTGATTGCACTGATGTTTCGGTGGGGTGCTGGAGTGGGTGCGTCTGTGGGACGCGGAGGTGGTGCTGACGCTCGAGGGGCTGTCACGGTGTCAGGTCTCAGAGCCGGTGCCACAAAATTGCAGTCTTCGGTGTCACCTAGAAGTTCGGATACCGAGACGTGAGGGGTGCGTCGATTGGGAGGGTTCGCAGAGGGGCGTCGGCCGGGGCGAGGGGGACGTCGAGGGGCACGTCCGGAAGCCCGAGCTTCGCGACGTGCCTGTATGCTTGCTTGATACGCAGTCTCGAAGCCAGTGTCGCCTTCGATGAGGAATCGACCACCTGAAGAATCTCCTTCCTCGTTGTTGTCTTCTTCATCATCGTCAGGCTCGGATAAGTCTGGATCGGTGGGTGCTGTCTTGCTGGTCGGCCATCTTTGCTGTACCAAGTTTCTTCTTGTCTGGCTTTTTCTTGACATCTTTCGCTTTCCCCACAGCAGTTGTAGGCTTAGCGACTTTTCGGGTCCGGGCTTTCTGAGCGCGGGCCTTCGCAACCAATAACGGGATATCCTTAGTCACGTCAGCAAGATCCGCAGGAACTTTGGAGCGTCTATTCGTACCTCTGAGCTCTTGCTTTGGTCGGATTCCGTGTCCATATTGTCGTCCTCAGTGTCCTTGTTGAGGTTTTGGGCCTGACGTTTCGGCGGTCGACCTTTTTGCACGGGACTAGTACGACGGCGTTTCTTATGTATCCGTTTGTCACGTCCATGGTTGTTACGCGCAAGATTGTTCTGCACTGGGTGTCCTTGTATCTGGTTCAGCTGTGGCGGGTTTGCTTGTGCCGCGTTTGTCAGTGCTTGGTTTGCTGCTGCTGCCTGTGTGACTTGTGTTCGGCCACCCACACGTAGCCTACCCTGATTGAGTCCCAGAGCAGGTTGAGGAACACTGTTTCCAGGAACATTCCCTAGCAGCGGGTTGATCAAACCAGGCGTGAGTCCACGTGTACTGTTAGGAGGGAGAGGTGGATGAGCCGCAGCAACCCTGCGCGTGACCATAGACCTCACTTCATTGACCCTCATTGTTGAGTTGATGCCGGTGGTGTGCCAGGCGAGCATGAAATATCTTCTATGCTCCTGGCGATTTATCAAGTTGTTGGTGCTGTTCTGTAGCTTTTTATCCGAATCCTCAGTCCGGTTTGGCACTTCAATGCGCATGAGGATGTCTGCCCAGTGCATACGGGGATCCATGCGCCGCCACAACTCTATCCACCATAATTCCTCTTGGCTGCATATCTGTAAGAGGTGTCAAGGCTGGTGTTAAATTCAGGTAATAAGGTAAAGACTCACGGTATCAGGCAAAATTCGAAAGTCCAAGAGAGGCCGTGGAGGCTGGCCTTGTTGTGGGAAGCGCTCAACCATCGGCTGGCCATTGGTGTCTACCTTCTGCTGTGGCTGTGCGGTACCCCGAAAGGCGGCCCACTCTGGGGTTGGATGCAGGTAGTACATGATCTCTGGCCAGCTGTCTCGGGTGATTGTTGCTTGACTGCGGCAGACTGTCAACTACCATGGCTAAAAGGGTTTGACTGCAGAGTCTGCTTACCCATAGACGAATGACGTGACATCGGTGGCAGAGACGCCTGGACGAGGAGGATCTTGATAATCGTCAGCAACGCAGTCTGCTTGATACTCCTTCAAGCCTTACTGTATGTAGTGACTATTCCCGCTGGATCGACACGCTGGGTCAAAGCGAGATAGTCAGGCCGCAGGTTCCAGGGGACACCAGGATAATGTGCCATGGCTCTTGGGATTTGACCCGTATCTATGAACACAGAGGCTGTGTACAGGAGGAACGCTGGAACTGTGTGGCATGCAAGAAGAAAGATATTATGTGCAAGAGGAACACAAGAAGTGGTATAAGAATCCAGAGGTGCGTCTGGAAAGAGATTAAAAGTGGGGAATGACACTGTGTTAGCGGATGTGCTTCTAGGAGTTCTAGTGGAGGGAGGTTGGAAAGAGGGGAAAGACACTGTGTTTAGAAGATGTGTTCCGGAAGAGGCAAGTGTGCAAGGATGGGGTGTGTAAAGAAACAATCTCCTCAGGGAAAATAAAATTAAGAGACAAGCTCTTCTAACACCTGCACGACGAACATGAGGTGCAACACAGGTATTACTTATTTTGTCATTCCAATGCATGCAGAAGTGTAATCTAGTCATGCGATCTGTACTCGCAACGTGATCCCGGACAAATACTATGACCTGTCAATGATGCATTTCTAGGAGTCAACAACGCAATCATTTGACGGGTAGCATGCTGTGAGAACATGTGGAATCGTGGGGAAGTAGCCCGAATATTCTGCGGGTTCAAGCTCACAGCATGTCGAAAGATTACAAGCAAGACGGGATTACGTTCAAAAAAACGAGCTATTTCCAGCTCGACAAACGTCAAGAATGTCATGTTCTAGACGACGTCAAAGCGAATTTTGGACGTTATTTTCAGGACCCTCAAGGTGGTCGGTTTCGGCTTTCGTATAGGTTATATAGCTCAGAAGTTGGCGCCTCTGATCGTGCACCACTGCTGAACGCTGTTTGTTGCACATTGCGCTGGGCTTGAGCTCCTTGAGCTCTCTAGCGAAGCACTCCAGGGACGGTGGTGTTGTTGGCCGTGGACTGGCTGGCTATATAGTGGGAATATCAGATGCTGATGACGTAGGTACAGCAACCGTGACAGTTTCATGGGGTGAATGACGCAGCCATGAGTAAGGTGCCACCCATACAAGCGAGGCATTGCTGGACTGAAGTGAGCCAAGGGTTGGGTCAAAAGGGATGATATGCTGCCCTACCTTGTTTGCCAGTATTGGCTTCACTTTGGTGTACAGGGTTCCATCGAAGACACCAAGGCAAGTTGAAAATGAATCTGATAGCAGGCACTGTTGGGTGAAGACAAAGTTAGGTAGCCTCGGTTGCCACGGATAGTGGATACTTCAATCACATGCTGATCCGTCCTTTAGGTATAGAGCCACACACTAAGGGTTCTGTCCGAGTCTCTTGGAAGCGCTCTGGGAGAACGGTGGTGGTATCTCTACGAGATGAAAGAGCTGTTGGCAAGCGGGCCACCGTCATTCGTTGCGCATACATCTTTGCTTCCATATGAAATGCCGATACATCCACGTAACAACCAAACAGGCGTCATCTTTCTCCTCCAGACGTAAATCCCTTGTAAATGTAAAGCGAGCCTTCATCTGCGATGGCGAAAGTATACTTTCCAAAGAGCATATCCTGAGCTGTCGTGCATCGACATTGCCGTAGCTTAGCCGCGAGAGCACTGAGATAGAATGCAAAGTGTCTTCATCGCAGGTAGCTTATTGTTCGCTATAGAAACTTTGCTGGTACGATGCATACTCAGTCGTGTCCGAGATTGTCCGCTGAAAGGGACGTTTAGTTCTGCGATTCAGTCCTCGCTGATTTGTCAGCTCAGTATGCAGCGACTCCCAATGATGGAGTGTGGAGTAGTAAACAGCGTTGGAGCTTGTCGGCTTTTGAAGAAGGTGACCATTTCCCGTTTGACAGCCATGGTTGCGGATGGGCAGTCATCATGAATAGTTGACACATGGGATCGATGTATGACGAGTTGATGGATGAATGGATAGTTGATTGTGATGGGTGGTGTGCCACTCACCAGACGTCATTCAATCCGTAGACCAGTCGTCCTCCGGGCAGAGCTGTTCAATCTCACAATCTCGAGATCCACCCCAGGGAGCCATCAATTCGTAGAGCAGCCTGCAATTCTCCCATACATTCACTGCTATCACACTCAACCCTGACACGCTCCAAGTTGACCAGAAGAGGGAGGCCGACAAAGATCTCATGGCGCTGCTGAATACATCCATGTCGGTCCCTTTATCGCAGTAGATATCCAAGTTCACGAGAGAGGCTGGGGATATGGTATGGAAAGGCGCTATGGCTTCAGATAGCGCTCGCTGGAACATAAAGGGTGAAGCTCAAGATCACTGAAGCCGAGAGAGGTGGGAGAAACCCGGAGGAAGGTGGACAAAACAAATGAAACCAACAAGTCGAGAGCGCGCCAAGGGATCCGCCAACGTCGAGACTTCTGGTCATGGATATTTGACGCCATAAGAACATGCGAGGGCAAGTCTTGCAATCCTGCCCCAACCCCTACATCTCCTACCCCGCAACTTTGACGCTGGCCATGATACCGCGGTGCTGAGAAAGGTGAAAGACGTGTTCTTGCTCAACGGTGTATGGTGTGCAGAGTTCCAGTTCTGGATTTGAGCAGGACGAATAGCTGTGCGGCAATCTGCGGCAGTTTCCTCCTAGACCGTGTCCCAGCCATCAACGAAACTTGCTCGTCAATGGCTTGAGAGAAGCCGACGTGATCCACCCTTCCGTCTTTCCAAAGGATAAATACCTGAGTAGCTGGTACATGCACAGAGGAAGAGCGGAAGATCTTGCTCAAGATCCTTTTGACAATGGTCGGTCAAGGAGATCCCCTTGGGAGTCACGAAAGTCATGGTGTGCGAGTCGTCTGGGATGACTATTTGTGGTGTATTTGCTGGGATCTCCACGGACGAATTAGGGGGTTGCGAATCTGTCAGTGATGACCTCCGATGGCGTTTGTGGAGAGTCGTTTGGGACGATCACTGGTGTTGTTTCTGCTTTTGGACGATGTAGTGACGTGAGCGGCGAGACCGACGGTGTTTTTGGAGAGTGGTCTGTATTTTCCAGCGGCCTTTGAGTTTGCTGGTGTTCGAGTTCGAATCTGTCTTGTTCCTCGGTCCAGTTGAAGTCTGGTAACCCGCCCGGACCGTGATTCATATACCAGTGGGCCTCGTCCGCGTTCTCGTAGATGCTCCGCTGAAAGCTGCTAAGATCGACGCTGTCAAACGCGGTACCGCACTTCGCTTGTACTGCTTCTCTGGAGTACTCGAAGTCCTGGTCCGTTCTAAGGACAACGGCAGGCGGTGCCTTATGACGTAGCTCCAGATAGTTACTTGGGTCCCGAATTGAAAAATCTTTGTACCCGTTCCACAGGCCAACGTCCGTACCTCCGGAAGCTTTCCGTCCCAGAAGTATTCTGTTGTGAAAGGATTTCCTTGACCATAGCGTTTTGGTAGAGCCCCTGGGGCTTGGGTCTCGGTACTTTCCCCAGAATCAGGTGCCGGAGGCACGGCTCCAGCACTCACGGACGTAAAACCCGAAACGGACATGATGCTTGATAGAAATCCGTCTATTTCACCGCCCTGGAAACCAACAGGGTATAACTCGGGTGCCTCCGCTGGAAACCTTTTGGTTGCTGCTGCGCGAGAGTAAGGGTTTTCTTCTGGACAGAAACGTGTCTGATGACGTACGAGTGGATCGCAGAGCTCATTCAAAGAACATCTTTGTGCACTTTGAGGGGTATGAAATAGATGAAAGGTTGGAATATTGGAACACGTGTCTCAACATGAGTGGTAACTTTGCGAGGTATGAAGGGTATAAGAGTTTTCAGACCGCTCATGTTAAGGTAGATGACTCAGTATTCGGTCTTGGGTGAAAAAATTGAGAAATGAAAGGTGAACAACAATCACGTAGGTATATATTTACTTGCGAGGTGACGATTAAAGAATGTGACGGGTCTGTATAAAGGTCATTGAGTGAAGGTCGTAATTAGGAGACTTGTTGATGAGCACCACAACTGTCAAGACTCCTATCAATGACCAGCCATGACAGTTGAAGGCTATCCTTGATGGCGAGATGTAAAGAGGAAAGATGTTTCCGCTCGGGGAAAGGAGGCTTAAGTACCCACCAATGCCTGCGCTAGCAGACTTCACGTTGGTAGATTGGTGAATATCTCTATTCTTCACAAGGCGGCATCACTATTTAATTCTTCACTGCCTGCACAATCGCCCCCTTGGCCCCTTGATCCAGAGAGTCCAAGGTTTCCATATCCTCATCAGTCAAACTGAAGCCGTATACATCCGCATTTGCTTCAATTCGGCTGGGCGTATCGCTCTTTGGCAATGAAACCCACCCTTTTTGTAATGAGTACCTGATTAGTATTTGCGCTGTAGTTTTGTCATGTTTCTTTGACATTTCAACGAGAGTCTGGTCGTGTGCTTTGAGGTTGCGCACGAGTGGGCAGTACGCTTCGATGACGACCTTTTGTTGGTTGCAATAGTCGACTATTGTTCGTTGTTGGTTCCACGGATGAAGCTGTGAGGGTCGTAAATGTTAGCGTCTATATATTAGTGGTAGAGGAGCAACTGAGGGACTGACGAAGTGAGAGATGATGAGTAAAGAATTTTCAAACAGGGAACTGCGAGGTGGAGAATCTTGATGGGCGAAAGCAATGAAGTGAAGGACAAACATTATAACGTGGAGAGGTATGAAGTGAGAAAGTAGAGCTATGGTTCGTACACACCTCAATCTGATTCACATGTGGCGGCCATATCCGTGCATATTCTTTCATCTCCTCAATATGCCCAACTCCAAAATTGCTAACGCCAATACTCTTCGCCTTCCCCTCACTCTCTAATTTCTCCAACGCCTGATACATCTCTTTCACGGCCGCAGACCCTCCACTTGGCGTGTGTATTAGGAAGAGATCCACATAACCCTCCTCCCCGTCAATCTTGTGTACACTATCCAAACACTTTTTGTACGTCTTCTCTGCACTGCCACCAGCGCTCATGATTTTGGTAGTCAGGAAGACCTCATTGCGGGGTATGCCTGACTGCCGCGCCGCTTCACCCATCTCTGTCTCATTGCGGTAGAATTGTGCAGAGTCGATGTGGCGGTATCCAGATTTGAGGGCTGTGAGGCAGGAATTAATGCAGACGTTGGTAGGAGACTGGTAAATGCCGAAACCAAGGCGGGGAATTTTGACTGAGGAGTTGTGGAGAGGAAGGAGGTCCGTGAGGGCGAGCTTGGAGGGAGACATGTTGGATTGGGAGTCGGAGTTGTAGTATGCTTCAGCTTCTGCTCTGCCTTTGTCCGTAGTTTGAGATTGGGCGGGCAAAGGCCGGTGGTAAGGATGGATGTGTCTACAGTGCCAAGTCAATGGTTGAGTACGGTAGAGGACTGCTGGTAGGTTGGGATTTACTTCTGTGGAGAATGATTCATAGTGTAAAAGTTCAGAGAGAGGCGAGGAAAGTTTCGATGGCGCCCACATTAAGTCTGAGGTGGCTATGTAATAAACTTAATGGTCTGCGACGGAAGGTTGACGGTGACATCAACAGTCCCGGAGGTTCCTCCGCTATTTTAGCACATCGTCTCGTACACTATGTTAAAATACATGATGTGTATTGAGCCTGAAGCTTATTCGATAAGCAGGAGGGGCTAACCCGAAGGGGCTTAGCACCTTGGCACGTCTGAGGAAATGAGGCAACTACCTACGTATCTACCTTACACTTGACTGTAAAAGGGCCGGCATTGTGAGATTTTCCATCCAACAAGCGACTTTGAGTTAACGATGAATTTGGGAGGGATTTATTCGGACGAGATGTCTAGTAGTGAAGATGTTTCAATGAGTGGCGAGCAAAGTCCGGATGCCAAGAGACTATGGAGATTTTTGTAAAGAAGCTAGGTAACCAGCTCCAAACCTTCTCATCCTCCGCAAATTCCTGTGAAAATTATGAGGTCATTCATTACCAGAAGGACGTCGAATTGAAAAAAAGTAAAGCTGGTAACATAGGATGGCGCCGATTGCTCTTGTTTTCTGTATTCCCTCTTTCTCAATCCCTCACTTCAAAAAACCCTCACTTCAAAAACTATTCTCAAAGGCTCCTTCCAGTCTATCTCTTCTCAATGGCTTCAGACGGTCACGCAATTAAGAGAGCTTGGGTGACTCTCCTTACACGTTCTTCCTATCTTCCAGGTGTTTTCACCCTAGCACATAGCCTCTCGGCTCACGCCACCGCATATCCTCTTGTTGTACTCATCACACCTTCCCTGCCCCAGTCATGCATCCGAGCCCTAGAGCTTGAGTCAATCCATAACCCTCTACTAACAATCCATCCAATTGAACCTCTCTTGCTACCAAAAAACAGGAAAACTACCCTCATAGCCGACCGTTTCGAGGACACATGGACCAAGCTCCGAGCTTTCGAGCTGACCTCCTACCAAAGTTGCGTCTTTGTCGACGCCGATATCACTATCTACAAGAACATGGATGAGATTTTTGATCTCATACTTCCTGCTAATGATTGGATCGCTGCAAATCATTCTTGTGTCTGTAATCTCGATCACGATAGTTGGGCACCTGAGGAATGGAAACGTGAAAACTGCGCGTACACGCCTCTCCGACATCCCGCAGCTTTGGAAAAAGCAACGCCAATTCCTCTTGGTGCTGCCCCTCCTGACACCTACGCATTACTGAACGGTGGAGTCTTCCTCTACCATCCCTCCGAAATGCTTTGGAAAGCAATACACGATCACTTCCTCACGTCACCTGAGCTGTCGACCTTCCAGTTTCCCGACCAAGACTTCTTAGCCTCGGTGTTTTGTGGCAGATGGCGTCCATTGCCTTGGAAATACAATGCTTTGAAAACGATGAGGCAATGGCACACAAACATCTGGCGCGATGAAGAGGTCAAGGCATTACACTACATTGTTGACAAGCCGTGGATGAAGAGGGTAGCTAGTGACGGCATAGGAGGGCACTTGGGAAGAGATGGTGAAACGCATACTTGGTGGTGGAACGTCTGGCACGAGTGGAGGTCGCAGAGAGCGGACGAGTTACTAAGCATTGTTGACGAGCTTGTGGCGGATCCTCTAGACGAGAACGCGGACAAGAGACAATGTGAAGAGAACAAGAGTAAGGGCTTTCCGACTCCAATACCACTAGGTGCAGGAGAGGCAGACCGGAGGTGATATTTACTCGCAAGACATCTTACGCCAACATACGTGCCAACAGGTAAGAAGTTGGCGGCAACCAACTAGCTTTCCCATATAACCAACCTTACGGAACAGCTGAGAGGCCACCATTTATTTAGGTCAATTCTTACAGAGGGTAGGGATTTCAGATTGTGAACTTTAGATCCTTATAATCAATGATCCGCTGTCATCATAGCCTTTGCAAGGCTTTTTTTGTTGGCGCTGTCTCTCTTCATGTATGCCTCGCCTTTTCAAAACGTGCCAAGACCTCTCTGCTTGTACCCCCATACCCCCTTGGTACCCGTGCAGCTGTTCATTCGTGGGATGCCGTTGGCGCATGTTGCGCAAGTCGCGGCGCAACAACATTCACTGCAACACGCTGTACAAGCGACACGAAGAATCTCCCACCTCGCAATCAGCACGTATGGAAATTTTCCCACTCCGCTCCAGATACTCTGGCGGCGACCCTCGCTTTGTTGCCAGGGTTTGCTTCTCTCTACTCTTACACGTTCGACCTCACTATGTACGTAGCCGGCAGGTCTGCAACCTGCGCCGCCCAACTCCTCTTTAGCCTCTTCGTTACCAACAGCGCGCTCCCCACGACTTCTCCGGTCTCCGGACCGACTACAGATTTCCCCATAAATGCAACGCTGAGTCTCAACAATGAGACCTCTCTCCGTTTACCTAACGGTATCCCATGGTCACCAGAAATCTCACCCTCGCAAGCTTCCGTTCCCTACCCGGTTCCTGACACCGCCATGACTCTAGAATTTACCCATCTCGGCGCCCGAATCCCAGTTGTCCGAGCACTCTCCACCATCTACGACGCCCGTCAACAGGTCCTGTCCCATCTAGCATCCAACATCGAAGACGCAACAAAGAACCATATATTCGGATACAGCACGCGCTCAGCCACCCCTACGCCCCGCGTGTGTTCGGTCGTCGTACAGGCTTCCGGAAGTCTTGGGCTATCCTGGTTACAACTCGATCAGATACTGCAAGGACTGACGCAATTCAGCAGCGGGGCCGGACCCGACCACCGAGTGCATTATCAGACCCTGGAATTCGAAGTCAACCTGGCAGACGAGGGAAGGATAGGCACCGGGCTTCTGTGGAGCACTCCAGGTCGAGGTCGGGGCGCGGCCGAGATACAGGAGCGGGCGGAAACCCCTCTCGCGGGTCGAGCGCCGGACGAGAGATCGAATCCGGCGTCCGGGCTCGCCAACGAGACATCCTCCAATGCGTCCGATGCGGGCAGTCCGCCCTCGAGATCCGCAGCCAACATCTCCTTTCCCGTCCCCGGCACCGACTTCATTTTGGAGTTTATCTGGTTCGGCGATCCGATTCCCAGCAATTTGGTCAACGAGGCCCTGAACGGTGCATCCCTGAAGATCGCGCCCTTCCTCCACAAATCCGGTAGCGAATGGATCCCCGCACGACGAATTCTTCTACTGGACCCCAACGGGCAAAATCCGGGTGTCGATCCAGATATACGGCATGAGCAAGATGAGCTGGTCGCAGGTCGATTCGGTGGTGGCGGGCTTGTTCCGCTTTGCGAACGGGATCGGGACGGTTCATGAAGAGGAACACTTTCAGAACCTGGACTTTGGCGTCAAAGACGAGAAGGGCGCAAATATTGGATATGGGAATCTACTCGCACTACCCTTCTACGACGGCGATGCTATCGGCGCGATCGACGGGAAGAGATCGACCCCGACATCAGGGGGGAGGGGCGTTGAGATGGGATCGGCTGTGATATGATTGACGGGGGTATAGAGGGAGGAGATGGATATATAGATAGAACTTCGTTTCATGGGAGGCTGCGCTCCCCATATCCAAAACAACCTCGCTTGGTGTCGCAACCTGCTCATCGACGATTCGCACTGACTTGCTCACTCCCCCTTCTCGACCTCCATCAGCACCCCCAACTTCTCCGCCTGCTTCTCCGCCCTCACCTCCTCCACAAGTCCATACTCCCTCGCCTTCCCATCCACGCCCTCATCCGTCAGGAATTCCAACTCCCTCGCCGCCCTCACGTAGCCGATGTTCTCACAGTACCCCTTCGCGAAGACGATGTCGATTTCTTCGAGGGAGCGACGGGCCGTTTCGGGGTAGGTGAAGTAGATGACGGGGAGGAAGCAGGCGTTGACGACGGCGAAGAAGAGGTAGGTGCCCCAGTGGATGTTGGTGATCATGATTGGGGTGATCATGACGATGACTGGGTTCGCGGGTTAGTTTTTTTTCGTGCCGGAATGGGGTTCGGAGGGAGATTGGGGTCGAAGGGAAAATCTGTGCTCACGGAAGTTGAAGAGCCAGTTTGAGCAGGTGGAAAGCGCGTTGGCTTTTTGGCGTGTCTTGATGGGATTGATCTCGGCCGGGTAGAGCTGTTTTAGACGATTAGCTTCGAGGATCCATGTCCGCTAACGCTGGAGATGACTTGCCCACGGCAGTGGCAACCAGCTTGCGCCGAAACTAGCAATGTATGTGAAGAGTCCGACAGCAGCACCTTTCGCAGCGGTGGTGGTTCCGGGTATCAAGCATGAGAAAACGAGCACCATGCTCAAACACTGGCCCACGGTGCCCCAAAGAAACAGCTTTCGCCGTCCGACGCGCTCTATGATAAACCAAGATACCGTAGCGAAGATAGCGTAGACGATCATGTTGACGCCGCCAAGGAGTAGGGATATGTTATGCGACTGATGAATCGACTGTTCGAACAGGATCGGAAAGTAATAGATGACTGCATTGCAGCCGCCAACTTGTTGCATGAACTGACTGCTCACACCCAGCATCATCCTGCGGAAATGCTGCGTCTTCCCACCAGAAAAGACCGCCTTCAATGGCGTGCCCTTCCGACCTGCGTAGCCAGAAGCGCGGATACTGTCCATGATGATTTGCCTCTGCAATTGTGTTTCCTTGTCATCGAGTTCCAGTCCACGCAGAGCTGCAATCACGGTCTCGCCTTCCTCATAGCGCTCACGGGTTAGAAGCCAGCGCGGGGATTCAGGGAGCCAGATCATGCCGAAGACGAGGATGAGGGCGAAGACAATCTGGAAAGCGATTGGGAAACGCCATGAGAGGTTGGGGGAGCCGTAGCTTGCGCCGTAGTCTATCCAATAGGCTACTAATGTTCCGAAGGCGATGACGCCGCCTTCGATGCAGATCAGAAGCCCTCGATTACTCGTTCGTGAGCACTCGGCTTGATAAGTAGGGATGGTAGAGGTATTGATACCATTTCCTACGCCGGTAATAGTGCGACCAATGATAAATTGAGCCAGAGGAGTCGAATTTCGCTCAGAAGTCACTTGTATTATAACGCCGAGTATCATGATGCTACCACCCATCATCATGGCCCTTCGACGGCCAAGGAAGTCACCGAAAGAGAGGATGAAGATGGCACCGAACAAGCATCCAATCTCGTAGATTGCAGTCACGAAGCCTTGCATTGTAGAGTTACCCTTGGTGGCTGTGAAGAGATCATTGAAAGCTGGGGCGGTAATGATGCCAGACACTGCAAGTCGATTTTCCAGTCAGTAACTTCCTTTTCAACATCAAAGATCGAGTCATAAGACAGTTGTGGGTGTCGTTCTACACCCGCAACGTGTCGCGCGACTCAAATCAGGGTATGGGGCAGGAAACAAAGGGCTGGGGAAGTTGCTTACTGACGCCCTGATCGTAGCCAAAAAGTACAAAGCCTGTTGTAGCTACCGTAGAGACCATCAGGGAAAGCGGACGGCCTGTTAGGCCCATGAATGTTGGAGGAGCCATGATCAATGACAGCACTACCCACTTCCTCTCCTCCTATTATAATCTGTCTATGAAAGGAACGCAACAGAGATGCAATATGTCAAGCACAGTATGCAGAAGAGAACAAAGAGAGAATTTGACTTATGTGGTTGCACATGAAACGAGAGCCTCGGTGTGCGCTCCGTCATCATGCAGCGAATCGTCAACAGCGCGGGGGAAATCTGCACGCTGCCAGAACCGTTCTACTCTTACCCATGTAGGAAGGACCTTCTTGACTTCACTATTGGTTAGCCAAGAACAGTGCCAGAAGTTCTCAGACCCTTGAGGCAGGCTAATCCCCGCAATGCATGAGTCTTTGCCTTGATGAGATTTCGTCCTCGCTGCAGGTGGGAACGCCTCGGCAGCTGATAAGGGAATAGAAAGGAAAAAGGCCAACAAGTCAGAATACTGGCTTGAATGTACTTGGTACGTTTCAAAGTCATTTTGCAGAGATAGTAACAGTGCGGATTGCCACATTCTTCGTAGGATAGCGGTGGAGTTGAGATGGTCAAGGAATTCTCCGTCAGTGCCAAAATCTTTCCCAGAGACGGAAGCATTCCGCGCTAGCGAACCGTCCTATTGTTCAGCTGTCTATTTAGTCAACCAACAACAGCAACTGTTTACTTAATCAGGCCACCCAGTTCACATACAATAGTGTAATACTGCGCCGTATTACCAGAATGTCTTCTTATAAGCCAGGAGATCTCACTCAGCTGCGCTGTTCAGCCCACCGCCGCCGTGGACGTGAGCCTCCTTGACCTCCTTCCATATCCTGCATTGAGAGCAGCACACAATGAATACAACCATAAAGCCTCTTACCAAGACCTCCCACCAAAGCTCTTTCTACCGCCCACCCCCTGAATCCATCACCTTCTCCTTTCCCCCTCCCTCCTCTCTCGATACCACAACCATTCAGCCGACAATCATCAACTTCCATATCGGCTCCGAACTCAGCACGCAATACCACTGGCACACCACGCATACAGAATACGTACGTGTCACATCTGGTGCCGCGCTCATCACGGTTTCCGGCGTGAGCAAGATATACACGGCCAAGGATGGCGCAGCGCGAGTACCTCGCTACGCTCGTCACGAATGGATGCGATTTGATCGCCCCGCGCAACTGTTGGGTAAAGGGCAGAGGGAGACGCAAGAGGCATATTTGCGAGAGCACGGGAAGGAGGGGATTGAAAAATTGAGAGGGGAAGATTTGATAGCGGAAGAGTGGACGGATCCTGCCGACGGACAGAAAGAGATCTTCTTCCGCAACCTCTTCTCCACCGCGTTGGAGCCGCAATATAGATCTGATATGTCTTGGCTAGGGGAGCTGTGGAAGACGTTACAGATCATGTGTGTGATGTGGGAGATGGACAATTACCTTGTCCTTGTAGATTTCGGGGGGTACAGGGGCGGGTGGAGGGAATTGGTTGAAGCGGCGTTCACGTATACTGTGATGGGTTTGTTGATGACGTTAGGAAGGATCTGTGGATGTAAGGCTGTTAATCAGGAGTATACGCCAAAGCACCTAATTGAGAGATGGGAGAGTGTGCCGCCGAAAGATGGATAAATGGGCTAGAATGTAGAAGTGCATCCCTTAGGATGCAAGCTGATGACAGAATTCCCTTCTAACGGCATCTTGAAGGCTCATGATTCCCCACCAACTCTCCTTATTTACACTAATCTTGAAGAAATGTGAGAACTTTGATGGGCTGAAGCGAGTGAAGTGTAGATTTTTCATCCCGTTTAGATTATCTTGAGCCTGAATTGCAGGGGCATGAAGCCCTGTAAGCCTACAATTTCAACTACAAAGCCCATACTTGATGGCGCTTTTCATCACTCATCAAATAAATTGCGGTACGTTGGACTTTCTGCATAAGTTCGATAGAGTACTGTTGTACTGGTGTACTATATCAAACTCGGAAATGCATCATACAATCACCAGAAGCATCTGCCAAACCCCACTCCACCCTCAGTACATGTATTCATCGTATTCCCTTCATCAATACCAGACCTTCTCTCATTCCTTTAAGCCACTTCACCCTGTCCACGTCTCCTTCCCTCATCGCAACCCTAAGCCTTCTCCCCCTTCTCCGCCATCCTGCCCGCCTGATAGGCATACTCAAGAGCCTTGACCGTCTCCGCATCTCCAGAACTTCCCGACTTGTATTTTCCCATGATGAACCCCAACAATCCACCCCCCTGGCCTTGTTGCCCGACTTGTTTGTAGCCCAATGCACCGTCTTGCTGCGCAGGCCAAGCAAGTTCTTCGTAGTGAGGCGGGCTGGTCGTAGCCGTTGTTAGTGGCGTGCTGAATGGGCTCGGTAGGATGATCGGGTTGATTGGAGGGGACTGGAGTAGGAGGATTTTTGGCGGTGCAACTGCGGCGGTGACAGTCGGAGCGTCTGCCGCAGGCAGAGCAGCAAGGGGTTCGCTTCTTGGAACAGCACATGGTGAAGGAAGGGTGGTGGGATGAATGAGATGAATGTCTGTGTTTTGATTTGGTGGTAAGCTATCTGTGATCGATGCTTGTGCTTGCTGTGTGATCGTTGAACCTGGGATCTCTCCATTCACGAAGGATTGAGGCTGGCTTTATATCTTCTCTCTTTCCTCATAGCCATGTTCCAATGTCGCTGACAGTTCATCTTTTCGGCCGAACTGATGTTCCACTGTCGGAGGGAGTTTGTGAAGGTGAATAGATGTTCACGATTGTGAGTGCCGTCGGGGCGAATAGAATAAAGATTTGGGGAAGAGTCGGGGGAACTTTGCCCCTGGTGCCCCTAATCGTGCCATTTGCAGTTACCTTAGCTCGCTCCTCGCTAACTCAGGGGCTTTCAAGTAAGTGCCCGAGGTGCCATAATGATCCACATATGGCCACCTCTTTCAGAAAACGTGCTAATTTCCCTGATAGAGCCACGGTTTCGACGCTGGTACTCAAGTAGGGCCTTCAGAGTAGCCGGTGAGAGGCTACGAGGTCGCCCAGGTATATATAGATTACGAGGAATCACTGTGTCGCCGTAGATCTCAATATTGCGCTTTTATCGATACCCCGTTGTGCGACTCGAACGGGCGTCTTTAGCTACTATATTAGGTCGCCAATGAGACTTAAGGAGTAATCTGGCTCGCTGGCGAATGTGTATTTCTTTGGGTGATATCGCGTATTAGCGGAGGGAGGGAGGGAGGGTAACTATGGACACCTAGGTCAGTCAAAAACATTAAAAAAGAGTGTATACTTACTAGCCTGTGCCTTAAAATTATCCGATTGGGAAGTAAGATGAATTGAGAGGTAGAGACTGGTGCAATTGTTGAGAAGTACGATCTCTACAAATTTCGGTGGGGCTGGCTACCAAAAAAATAGAGATGGCGCACAATCAATTTGCCAATTTTTTTCAACCCATAAATTCCTTCTCCTCCTCGCTAACTCAGGGGCTTTCAAGTGCCCGAGGTGCCATATCATCCACATATGCCTCTCTCATTCGGCATTGTTATTGCCATTCAACTTCGATTGACGACAAGTCAAGATTCTGCACACTCAGTTCTTGGAAGGATACCGCATTTGATCAATCCATGAGAGCAGCTTTGTGTCTATTTGTTGCTGATGTTCCGACCACGGTTGCATAAGTGATATGCTACAGGACCTGCTGCCTAGTATTTAGTCCATAAAATCAATGACAGTAGGTTATTCCTTGCGATATATATACATATACTCTTATCGGGACAATCACCAGGGTAGGAGCTACCCAGAGCAGCTTGAGGAGAAGGATAGGTAAGGACGACCACGTCTGTCTGACCATTGCTGTCCGTGAGTCCTAGCATCTCATGCAAGCTATCACCGTATAACGTGGGAGACACTGGAGTCATTGTATGGATAATACTCAGAGCCCATGGAGACCTGGAGACCGGAAGGAGATACTTTCTGCCAAACACGGCTGCTCTGAGGCACCAAGCAGATGTCCGACTTAAGCACGAGGCCTATCAAATTGGCCAAGAGTTCAATCGATCAATCAAGCTATTATGTATATAGTCCGTCATTCCATCCCTTGCCTCTAGCCTACATTCCAAGCAAGGCAGGGAATTAGATCTTCTCTGTAGGTAGATTTCTTCTCTTCACACGCATGTGGGCTCCAGCCGTGCAATGCTTCTCAACAGTATGGAATCCAACATCACACCTTTGTGTCATATCTCCTTCTCCTTATAATGGCAGCCAATGTCCTTTCTCTCGGCGAATCATTCCAGTACCAAGGTTCCATGGACAAGGGACCCTATCCATTGTTAGAAGAGAATGGATACTTTCTTATGCCAGACGGTAAAAAGATGCCTAAGGTCTCCACTATGAAGCCCTGGCTGCTAAGTGCTTTTGCGAGATCGCCGGAGTGGTTCAGTTCTAGTTGGTTACATCCGCGTAACGAGTCTGTCCTGGGGTGCTTCTTGATTGAGCTGACTGAGAAGATATGATGATGTTCTCGCAGACGTTCCAAGACTGCGCCCTGACTGTGTGTGCGAAAGATGCTGGCCAGTTGGGCTGTTCCAGGCGATGTCTTGGACGAGCCTCGAGAAAGCTGTTATGAGGGCAGTGCTAGAGATCAGACTTCCAAAATCAGACCACGGTTGTAAGTGACCCCTGATGTCCTTTGAAAGGTAGGTGTGGCTGCTCAAAAGGTAACAGCATGCCTTTAGCGCCGATGACCTCTTGATGTAACAATGCAAGATCGGTGTCTCCAAGCCATATCATGGAAAAGGACCGAATTAGAGGTTCCCATATAGGCCGCTAGAGCTGGAGCCAGGTCCTGAAGATTTGTGGTTTCCCCAGAGCATTGAAATGCATACCCGGGTCGTATATACAAGAATCACTAGAACAACGCCTAATTTCCGAGAAGGCATCCTACATCTTGGCGCCGTCTTTATTTCAGGGGTTCCAAGAAGTAAACTGCGCATTAACCTCCGCTTCCAAGCATCACGTTCTAGGCGCTGCAGCCAGGGCATTCTTAACGCCAGTATAACGCGGATTAGCCTCGCTTTGGGAACGGGTGACGTTCGTAAGATTGTCAACACGCTTGCTCTCCTTCCTGCACCTTGAGCAAGACAGTCAGATCTTCTTCCTGCTGCTCGAATTACTACTCTGACGACTAACCAAGCAGACGGTCTTCATCCCTCGTCTTTCACCAGTCGCCCACACAATACCCCGAGCTAACCACATACCGGGCCCAAAGATGATTCTGGACTTCCTGACCGATTCTTACAAGCTTTACAAAGCCCAGACCGCGTCGGTCTTGTCCTGGTTGGTAGAAGAAGGAGCAAAACGTGAGTACCCACCAGCAATCTACTAGCCGACGAGATGTTGACGCCTTTTGTAGGTGACATAAGACCGCCAAGAAAAGGAGGCGTGTCATCAGCCTCGACACCAGCTGCTCCATCTGTCTCCTACACGATCGATGTGAACGACATCGTCCCGTTTGCGCGGCTAGTCGTGGGAGCATCGCCAGAACCCATCCCAGCCGAGAAGCTGGAAGACCTTCGTCAGGCAATCGCGTCTCGGAGGCGATTTTCTGAATGGTACCAGGGCCAGCCTATGAGCGATCCATCAATAGAGCAAAGTAACAAAGGGCACAAGCACTTTAACAACGTTCTTGATGGACTGCTAGACATTCTAGCTCCATCTCACTTGGAAGAGGAAGCGAGTGTTTCGAATGAGCCACTCGGAAACTCCGAAGGCGGTCTGGACGCCACCCCAGCTAAACAAGACTCATGCGATATCCTCGAGCTGGAGTCTTTGGCTCTTACGGATCAAAGCGACAATCTGGCTCCCTCACCGCAGAAAAATTCTCGGAAAAATTCTCGGAAAAACTCTCAGAAAAACTCTCAGAAGAACTCTCAGAAAAAAACAACGTACCAGTTTCAAGACTCAAAGGGTGATATACATTTTGCAATTTTCAAGATGTTTGCGGACCTACACCAGGTTCGTAAACACATCCATGAGCGCTTGGAACGGTATCGTACCCGCAGTCTAAGTCTAGTATCGATCTCGGCAGTCATCAACTGTGCGATTGGCATGGTGCGAGGCATTGAGAGAGATTTCATGGAATCGGTGCCACAGTTTACGAGCTGGGAAAAGGTCATGGACACGATAGTCACTCCTACTCAATTCGAAGAACTTTTTACGGGCTCCTTCGTGTATTCCGAGACTGCTTACCTTCGCAGTGTGTACTGCCTACCCTTCGAAGAGCTTAGGCGCTTCCGCGAGTTCCTCGTCAGACGGACAACGACAAAAATGTTATCCGGTCACGTCCCGGTGTTGAAGGTGGAGGGTTCCGAAATTGACAACCAAGACAATTGGAGCGCCGACAAAATCATACTGATTGAGTTCTTTACGGAGGTTTTCTCGTTCGGGGCTGCCAGTTCAATGCCATCAGAGGATGAACTGACCCGTGGAATTATGGAAGTCTTCTTGGATAAACCAGTTCATTTGTGGGTAGCTTTCGGGTTGCAGGTCTTCCTCGATACCCAGCGAATACTTGGTATTGCTCTGAGCCCCTGCGGTGTCTTACCGTGCTAATTGTTGCTTTAGGTGAAGAAGTCACGAGGCCGTTCCGAGAGTTCAAAGCGAGCTGTGATACCTTGAAAGACAATACTGAGTATTTCATCAAGTACTCTCAAGTCATCAAAAAGATGCACTTTGATCAAGCAGAGCAAGATAAAAAACGCAAAAACAGCGCTCTGCTCAACTCATGGATCATTAACGACATCTTTATGCAGCAACGAAAACGTCATCCTGAGTTAGGCCCTGGGAGACCATTCTTCTTCCTGTTGCATAACCCAGTGGTATGCGGGCTAATGCAGTGTGCGGCCCTCCTGCAATCACAAGCTGGAGGTATCAAAAAAATGAACAAGTCGCTATACGCTGTCTCTGCAGCGCACTTGTACAATGCTGCGAGGAACGAAGGCGACCTTGCGACTCGTTGGTCCGACATGGAGAACTTGATTGATCTCTATGGCCGCGGCGATATCTTTCTCGGAGCACCACCAAAGACAGTTTCCGCCTACCGCCATCACTATCGGATGGCCAGAGGAAGCTCAGCTACGAACTTTGCCCGGGACCACAAGGGAGGTTATAAGCATTCCGTCCAGAATGCGCGTTTCTTGAAGGTTCCAGAGCTCATGGAGACCTTTGAGAAGTTCCTGTGTCAGACAGATGCTACGAGGACAGACCTAAACGTTGATCTCATGGAGAAATTCCTTCATCAGACAGCCCATTCACAAGGCGTGCAGAAGGATGGATCCTCTCATAAGCTCAACCCTGTACAGCTGCTCACCCTTTTGGAACAATGTATGGAGAAAGAAGAGGCTAAGCTAGTATTCAACTACTGGACCTTACACCACTCGTGCTGGTTGCTGCTATTCGAGATCTATAGGGAGCTGAAGGACGAGTTCACAGCATGGTTGCCTCCCGAATCACGTGGAGGCAATCCGAACCTTCTGCTGTTTGGCCTACCGCCATACATATTCGACACCCTTGGCAAGGAAAGTGGCAAGAAACGCGCTGGGAAGGAGAACATACTCTCCAGAGTCGGACGCGTCATGGATAAATTCATATCCCAAAAAGCTCAGAATCAGAGCCTGACGACGGTCGGTGTGGTCAATGACGAAGGACTAGAGACCGAGACTGAGCATGGCACGCAAAATGGCGAATGCATTCATTGGGGAAAGTGTGACAGACCGAAAGGAGATGTTCAAGACTGAAGATGAAAAACCCTCCTGCAACATAGCTAATGGTCGCGGGTGTCTTGCAATTCCAATCGCTGCCTGCACTATTTATCCCATCGAGAAGCTCATCCAGGCCTAAGAAGTGGCTAAGCTGTGGCTACGGAGGATGACCTCGCACGAGTTTGGCGCGTCATTTGTGATGTTCGGTCACAAAAAGCGAAGACCCACGTCGTACGCCTGTTGGTGTGGTCAATGACCAAAGTTTAGCGACTCGAGCATGGCACCAAAAAGAATACGTGTATTCATTGAGGGCGTTGCGAGAAGACGGGAGCCCTTGAAAGTCAAGCTGCGAAATAATCTTCTACAAGATGGTACATATCCTATACTGCCTGCCATTCCAACAGCTCGGACAACTTGGTGATTCCAGATGGAATATATCTTCCCTCGCTATGCGCCTGAAGAGTGCCTTCCGAGGATTCTTAACCCAACAACCTGGGCATGAAGCTACGCGGAACAAACACGCTCAGCGGGTCCTTCAATATCCTCAGCCAAGGCCCGAATTAAGGGTATTAGTGGAGGAACGAGAAGCGGATAATCCCATGTCCTTTCTACACCATCAACTTCGTCACCAGGTACCAAGTTCAACCACATTTTCCCCGCTGAGGTATGACGCATGGACGGCCGCGGCTCTTCCAGCAAAGCCAGATACCTGTCACCGTACCTCATCTTGAGAGGCATATCGCCAATACGCGATTGGTTCACACGTTCCACCAGACGGCCACGCCTGATAGATTTTTTGGAGTTTGTGGATTCTTTCGAACAGCACCTTTGCCAGAGCTACTCACCGGACCCAGACGTCACGATCGAGTACGTCGAAGCTCTTCTACACAGGATACTCTCGGGGTCAATTTCACATGAAGGAGGTGGAAATGTGGGATAATGGAAAACTTTGAGGAGTATGCTACCTTCAAAGATGCAAACCTGGGCCTTTTTCTGAACCTTGATCTTACACTATCATGCTACAAATATTCGTTTACCTCTTACCGCAATCAGCATCAGTCAGATACCTACTACTTTCCTTATCGTAAGCATTTCTTCTCTGACATCGTACACCAAGTTCCATACTGATCTACTACAGTCAACTAAGCATGGAGAATCACAACAAACTCAATGTAGTTCGCATAACCTACAACGCTGTCACGCGACGACCCCTCTCCCGTTTGCCTGACACGCATCCCACTCATCAAAGTTGGCCCTGGAGGTATCCACAAAGACATATGCGACGATATCGAGAAGGAATTTGGGCATATTCCCCACATGCAGTTACACGATATGCCAGACGCCTTCAGCTAGGCCGAATGCTCCCTCGTTGGCATCTCGAATAAGGGTCTGAGTTCTGAAACCGGAGCGGAGGAGGCAGATTTTTACATGATGTATGCGTGTCAGGACGAGAGAACGAACCTTCCGCACAACGAGTATCTCGGAGTTTTTGCGTTCTGTGATGATTTTATGTCATTCGGAGACGCTTTCATCTTCAACCTGAAGTCAGAGCCGGATGGATCGGATAAGTCGGAGCGTGCGAAATATCTTGACATGGATGACACCTTTGTTTTCAGTGCGCAGCAAAGAGGCTTTGCAACCGATATACTGTCTCGGCTCTTGCTGTGTCCCTCAACAGGAGTGGTGAAGTGGGAGTTAGGTCACTACCATCCTTCGCCCCGGCGCGAGGAATGATTCACTATCAGAATGCTCTCTATACCAATCACGGATCGGCATCGTTCCAGAGAGTGAAAAGATGGTCAAATAGAGCCTATGCAGCACCCTAAGCTCCTTTTCCATTTTTTTGAGGCGATCCGCAGTCTTGACTGTACTTCTGGTGTCAATCGGGCTTTGCCCTTCACGATTGACTTTCCTTCCTCTCCTCACGGTCTTCTGTAGAAGATCTCTGCTTCTCGGCACGACAAATCGCTCTGACACAACTCTTTTCATGAATATCTAGAAGGGCCTCCCACTCAATCGCTTACGACCCTGGTATTATCCCTAGCTTGCACTTTATTCTTACCTCAAGCCATGCCGTATCCTATTCCTCAGCTGTTTATCCGTGATCTGCGAGCGCAACTAAGACCACCTGCAGCACGGCCGACACCTTTTCCCCCTTTCTAGCGGAAAAATTGGCGCAGGGGCATTGTCTTGCTTCTGTCTCTCGGTTCGTTTCTCCGGGAGAACGTTGAATGATGAGGAGCCTTCCTACTTGGAAAAGAATCGCGGTACTCGAGGATGAGTACGGAATTTACTGCAACGAAAAGTTATCCAGACCAGCTAGAAACATTCTAATTAGAACGCTTTATCAAATATTCGCATCTGAAGCAACTAGATCCAGCTCATACGCTTTACCACCATTTCCGCGACTACTCAACATTCCCAACAGTCCATTCGAATGTATCTTGATTATCCCACAGATCGACCATCTCCCTCGCTGTCCTCAAATCTTGCATCGTCACATTAGTCCCCGCTTGCACATTCGTAAGCACCAGCGCCGCTTCCGCCACCGTCAACGCTCTGGTGCTGACACTCCCAACGGTCCAACGATACTTATCCCCGTCATCGTGCACAATCTTCGTCTTCTTCGTCGCTCTCAGATCCTCCATCGTCACACTCGTCCCTGCTTGCCTGTTCGTAAGAGCCAGCGCCGCTTCCGCGGCCGTCAGTTCTCTGGTGTCCCCAGGCTGCATGCGAGTATTAGGGAGAACTGGCACAGCAGCAGCAGCAACATTCGAACCCCTTCCCTTGACAGCTCTCACCTTCTTGATAAACGCCGGGATGTTAGTTCGAACAGGCGGAACCCTTACCGCCGTCACCTCTCCGACCTCCACCCCTCTCACCTTCGCGATAAACGCATCTTCCACACCCTTCTCGCCCTCATCATCCAGCTCCGACCCACTGTCCGGATCCGTAATGGTCTCCCAGTCGGAGTCCGACCACGGAGCCTCAGGGTCAGCAAGGACGGTGAGACTCTCCCTTAGGGAGGACTCGGGGTTCGCTTCGGGGATCGCATGCTGCATTCTCAACGCCGCTTGCTCGAGGTTCAGGGCGGCCCTGCGGAGGACGACGTCGGGGTCCGGGTCCGGTAGGCCTCGGAGTGGTTTCTGGTCATGGGGGTCTCGGCGATCGTATAGGTCTTTGCGGTTCGGTTTGCGCTTTACGCCGATTACTGCCTTCGGTGCCAGTTTTGGCAGTAGTTTGTTTTGTTCGGAGGTCATTACGTTCGTTATTGAGGCGTGTATATATATTTGTGTGGTATATCCAAAACCAGGCGCTGCGCGTGTATGCTCTTCGGAGGGTTGTAGGAGGCGGACGAGACGTACAAGATATGAATGGTCATTTTCACGGGTTGAAAGGGCATGAATGCCGAACAAAAGATCGTTATTAGTAGCGAACAAGCAGTCTTTCACACATGAAGGCTGTTTTATCCCAATGACTCGAAGACAAGAAAGGCAATTGACAAAGGCTAAAGAACACAAGGGTTTCCATCAATGCCAGATTTAGCACCACGCACCTGTCCTTTAGATTGGGAACAGCAAGGCATAAAGCGCTGCATTGGTAGACAGGTAGAGATTCCTAGAGTCATTGACCCTTTTCTAGCTCAGGCTCGAAGTATCAAGGACTGCAAAGATTCCCTGGAAAATACGACAATGCTCATCTGCTTCTGAGACGCGAGGCGTGTAAAGTATTATTCATGTATGGCTTTGAGCCCATTCGTTGACGTGCATTTCCACTGTTCAACAATACCACATGGCATGACTTTCGAGGATCTAGGACGGTGTTTTGCTGCCTTGTCAACTCAAAGCAGACGAAAAGCCGCTGCTTTGTTGCGACTTTCTCCCCTGCTGCTCGTTGACTCTGAGAGCGATGAAAGGATGTAAGAATCTAGGTGCCAAGTCACGGATAGAGGGAAAGATCAAGTTCGATTTTTCTTTTCTTTCCGTCGCACAGCTCCTGTTTTGATAGCATGATGCCAACAGAAGGACTCACCTTCTCGGCAACATGGCGCCATCGAGCCCAGCAAAGGAAACCAACACAGCACCACCACCTCCATTAGCGTGTATACATCCAACATTCCCCCAAATTCCCCGCCACCCCAGCCACTTCTATCGCGAGCCAGAAATCCCACTCCGGATAGTTCGACACGAACCAATTGATCACGGGAAGGCAATCGGAGAACATGCCCCACGTCAAGTTGCGCTCCGGCGTGATTCGGAGATCCGTGCTGTCCATGGCCTGTTCGCCTTCGTCACCAAGCCACGTGATATAGTCATCTGGGGATATGGAATCGCGAATCGTCTCGGAACGTCGGTGGTGGGAGGCGTCGTTGTAGGCCCCTTTTATCGCCTCGTGTACCCAGTGCTCGATACGGTCGTGAACGTACATTGTGAGGCTGAAGGTGAGGAGCATGTTTGTGTTGGGGACGTGGAGGTGAAAGGGTGTTGGCGGGGGTGGGTGGCTGGGATGACATTAGAATGGACGAAGTGTGTTTGTGCAGATTACTTTACCCGAGAGTAGTTAACGACGTGGCATTGTTAGCGAACAAGGTTAGGTTACCGAGCACGTCTCCGTTGAGTTGTGGTACTGATGGATGAATGATGGGTGGTGCTGAGGATCTGGGCCAAAAGTGAGACGTAATATAGAGCAACGATCTGCATATTGGAATTGATCTATTCGATCCCTGGTTTGGAAGGATGCACGATTTTGTAGAAAAGCGGAATTGTCGTCGCTCTTATACTTGCACATACTGCCATCCGGCCGCTTCTTCCCGTGTATCTATCGGATGCGTCAAAATCTCCCTTTGTAAGCCAGGCTATGAGCATGAGGAAGATTTTTCGCAGGTCGGTGCGTTTGCGCGACTGTTCGACCCGTAAGCGCCTATCCTCTAGGTGCGGCCGAAGTAGGGTACAATATGCTACAGGTGAGAAAGAAATCGAGAATTTGATTGAGTCTTTTGAATTGCACCATCTCCCCCCCCGGTTTCTTGTTGAAACAAATTCTTAGCGTGAAAAGAGTGCAATAATCTCCGCCAGCACCAATTCGTTATCTTCTCAGGGATAAACAGCATCAGATCCAAAATCTTGCACGGATACATGTTCCTACCTGTCCGCTCCAAATTGACATCCCCCAATCACCCTACCGAGATGCTGAGAGCAAGAACTCCTCCAGCTCATCGCGCGTACCTTCCTGAACGCCTAGCAGAATCCACACAGCCTCAATCTCATCTGCCGTCGTAGACGTGATATCGCACCCCAGAAACGTCAACGCCACGGCTACACTCTCTTCCGTCAACTTACCCTTTGCATCATCAAGGCTGCCAAACGAAATCTCCGACACGCTCGCATGCGACGTGGAGCTCTGTGCCCGCTCATGGAAGGTCGAGATACCGGCTGCGAAATCAGCCCAGATTGGGATGGGGCGCGCACCTTAAGTCTGCTGGATGAGCGTGTGGATTCGATTCGCTGGCGCCGGTGGTGCGCGGTGGCTGGCTGCTTGTATCGCTTTCCCTGTGGCCATCAGGAAGGCTTTCAGTGCAACTAGCTTCCTATGAGCCTGTTGGAAAAGCACGGATACCTCGGGGTTGGCTCGAATGGTTTCCCAGAGGCCGCTGCAGCCTTGGAGGTAGTGCTGCTGTTGCTGTTCAGAGAAGTCTGGGCATATGAGGTGGCCGAGAGGCGCGGCGAAGGCGGTGCTCGCTGTGGATTTGGTTTGTGTTCGTAGGTTTGTTCGGCTGTTTTTTGGCTGTTGATGAGCTTCGGGTAGTCTGTGTAAACAGAGCGGAAGGAGAAAGTGGGGAGAAAGTGAATATCCATAGAGTAGCCACGAATGCCCCGTGCCATTGCAGGTATCGAGCACCAAAGAGAGTAATTGTTTGTTCATCGACAATGACACTGTTAAGATAGGCCACCCTTCTCTCTGTGTGCAAGATGGGTGATGACAAGTACGATTGCTACCTGACAGTAGTATGAGTAGCTAAAGACAAAGACAATACCTTGGTTTTAGGCTGATCTCGAAATTCATAAGCTACGTTGACGGCTGAGGAGGCCAGTGATTGCAATGATTTTTTCAACTACCCAATCAGTATGTTTCAACAAAATTCACAACGCTACTCTTGCCCCAACGGTTAGTACATCATGCCTCATTTGCTTTCTCCACAATGACAGATTCAACCTTACGTCCCTTATAATTCAGCGCTTGGGGTCCATTATACCCCTTCCTTCCCTTGAACAACCAAACAACCGATACAAAGACGGTCAATCCACCTATGATCAAACACGAGTAGTTCATATTGCTTGCCTGTACCGGAAGCGCGTAAGGGAAGCAAAAAATAACGATGAACACCGCGATGTACGAGCACGAAATGCCATGAATTGCGTAGCCCACAAGTCCGTTCATCCAGAAAGGGCCCGGCGTGACGTTCGATCTGCGGGAAAGGAGATGCGGCAGAATAGCGGCAAGGTATGAACTTGAAGATAGGAGCACGAAGGAGCCTACGAAGGCGTTGAAAGCTGTCGTGGAACCGACGTAAATGCAACCCAAGATTGTACACATGCAGCCGCAAACGAGTGTTGCGTTGAACGGGTTCCTCCAACGAGGATCAACGCGGCCTATAAAAGTCCCGAAAGGGGTAGCGTTGTCGCGAGCCAGAGCCCATAGTGTACGCCCAGCTGCAATATAGGTGTCGATGCAGGTGCAGACTATGGGTAAGAAGATGACGACCAACAAGCCGACCGTACCGGCTCGGGAACCTGTGGCTTGCCGGTAAATTTCAGCGAGCGGGAAAGTCGAGGAACCGGAGAGTACTGCGCTTAGATCATTCACAGCAAAGAAGATAGCAATCATGTAGCACAGGGCAGTGACAAAGCCGATCATCATTTGAGCAGCGATGGCCTTGGGAACGTTGATCTCTGGCCTCGGAATCTCCTCCGCGAGATGGGAGACGCAGTCCGGCGTTCCTATTGCGTAGGCTCCGTTGAGCATGCCCATCAGGAATACAAAGCCATTGGACGAATATCCGATATCTGCAGACCAATTTTTGAAGACGAAAGCAGGTGATGCATGTGGCGGTCTCCCACCACTACCAGGCACAGCTGCGCAAACCACAATGGTGATAAACACGCCGCCGAGGATGAAGAATAAGCCGAAGTTGTTAAGTGCAGGAAGGGCACGGTTGGCAAAGAGCACAATGCAGCAGCAGCACCAAGTGACGATGAGGTAGCTGACGAAGACGTGCCAAGACTGGGGAGAGCATCAGCCATTACAAATCCAGCTACATGATCGCGCTCTCGTACCTTCGCTTGAAACTCAGGATGATACGTGGCGTACATTTGAACAGTCTGGTTGCCTTCAGGGTTTCAGCGTCTCGAGGGTGATTTCGATCGTCCTGAACTCACCAATGATAGCAGAGGTCGAGGCTGCTGCGAATATCCTTCTATCTTGTCAACAACCGCTCCATCATTCTTGTGTATGTCCTCACCAGGCGAAGAAGTTCCAGAAACCGGCGAAGAAGCCGCAGACTCGGCCATATTTGCCGGCCGTAACCGAAGCCCAGTGGTAGACTCCTCCTGAAGATGGGATGGCTGAGGCGAGCTCTGCAAGGGATGCAGCTATCAGGCAGTAGAAGATTGAGACGGCAATACTATGATTATATGTTAGCATTGACATGGCTGGATAGCAGGTGGCTCGTACAATTCGTATATGACCCCAGGAGGTCCTCCATTTGAGATTGCTACGGCCTGATAACAGCTACTCAGTACAAGTCCTCATTGTAGACTCTCATTTCAAGAGAGAGACCAACAATGCTTCCGCCCAAGGCGGCCCAGGTATTGCCATTGACGATGCCAACTGCACTGATGCTCAGTAGACTGAAGTTCCTATCCAGCTCTTGCTTGTGGCCTCCAGCATTAATGATCTCAACCGTGGTGCCCAAGGTTTCGTCTACATCGTCGTTCGGCCCAGCCAAGCTCTTGGTGTTTTTCTCCGCTTCGTCCATAGAGCCTTGAAAGGCCAGGCTGGTTCAATAGCGGGGTGATTGGGCGCATGGTCGGCAGAGCAGGGGAGGCCATGGTATATGGGCTTGAAGGGAGGGTGAAACGACCGATAAGTGGACGATTGGAGGAGAGGATGAATGGTGCCAGTCTTACACACTGCATTAGTGCCTCAGGTAAAGGTAGTCCTCCTCACGGTAGGTTGCAGTTCTGCCATTTATTCAACCCAATGTCTTTTATTTCAAGCCTATCGTCGCCCCGGTAAAACAGCCCGCTCGGTCCACGCATACGCTAGCCTATCACGGCCAGCCAAATCTCGCGCGAGCTCCAGGTAGGGACGACTGCATTGAAACTTCATTATTGGGTCCATTGCAACCCACTATCGATATACAGTTGATTTCAATTGGCCGGATGGTCAATTCCCGCCATTGTGTTCGGACATCAGACCTACGAAGAAACCCCTCCTCTTGCCCTCCTTGCTGACTGGCTCTGTCGAGATGTGATGCTCGAAGAGCGGGGGCTAATTGAGAAGGCGCCGGACTGCAGTTCGCAACACTTGCCCAACAAGGAAGGTCTGGTCATGGAAGACAAGCAATCGGGTCGGCCTTACTGTGTTTTTTTGTCCGAAGTATCTTGAGGGGGGTCGAGGAACAAGTCCATCAATTGTTACAACGACAATTCTAAGAACAATCCCTCAGAGTCGCCGTGCATGCGTACACTCTTCTGGCATTGAGCTCGTTGTGGATTGTCAGCACCATGGCTTGAAGTCCCTCCTGGCTGCCGGCATTATGTCAGGCACAGCATCATTCCTCGCACTCGAAGGCCTCCATGTTTTCATCACTGGAGCGGCTGGAGGCATTGGGAGCCAAGCGGTGAGGGAGTTTTTGTGTGAGTACGAATCGACCTCTCCCCTGCTTGAGCGAGTACTAATTCATCTACTTCCCAAGCCCAAGGCTGCAAGGTTACAGCTCACGACCGCAAACCCATTGATCGCCCTCCTTCGACCACCGATGACACCCTCCACATAGTCCAAGGAGATATATCGAACGAGGTTTCCATCAAGACATGCATGAAGAGTGCCCGTGACCACCATGGTCCAATAAATGTATTAGTAGCCAATGCCGGTATCACGGATGAGAGCCATGAGTATCCCATTTGGGAGATACCCTTGGAGCTTTGGCAGGAGGTATACAATGTCAATATCCGAGGCACCTTCCTTACTATCAAACACTTTCTACAGTCGGCCGCGATATGCCAAAAAGAAATTGGCAAGGAGTTGGAAAACCTTGCCATTGTGGTCACGGGTAGCGAGACTGGGAAATTTGGTCAAGCAGGTCATACCGAGTATGCCTCAGGCAAAGCCGGCTTGCAGTACGGGCTTGTGCGTGGGGTCAAGAACGAGATCGTTCGGCTGAACAGTAAAGCGAGGATCAATGCCGTTGCTCCTGGCTGGGTCGACACGCCACTGATCGAAGGAAGACTTGACGACGCGAAGGAAATGTGGGCAGAGGCACAAGCTACGTAAGTATTTGAAACACTTTACTTGGCGTTGCGAGCTGGTCTACAGTTGAACTGACCAGTTTCGCGACAGCGTACCCCTTCGGAAAATTGCCAAACCGGAAGACATCGCATGTGCCATGGCTTTCCTTGCCTCACATCGCGCAGCGGGACACATCTCTGGCGAGTGTATTAGTGTCGACGGAGGAATGGAAGGCAGATTGATCTGGAAAGAGCCAGAGGGGTCAGACGCTGTAAAGCATCACGAACCGACGTCGAACGCAGCAACCTCATTATCAGCGGCGCAAATGAAACAGGGTCCATCAGCGGTAATCCCACCGCCTCCAAAGCGGAGAGTGCAAGTAGCGCTTTCCGTGGATTTCGATGCTATATCAGGTCTTCTGGGCACAGGCAAAGATGACGCTAATAATAAAGCGGATTACTCGCAAGGATTCTTCGCCGGTAATATCGGAGTGACTCGCTTGGTAAAGCTGTTTAAGAAGCATGACGTTGCTGACAAGGTGACTTGGTTCCTACCGGGGCATTCTATGGAAACATTCCCTGAGGCTACTAAAGCTATCAAGGATTCTGGTTGCGAGATTGCTTTGCACGGATATTCGCACGAGGTACGATAAATGTATTTGCCTTAGGGGACTTTCTCTAACAAGTTTTTAGGGCGCGTATCAAATGACCGAGCAGCAAGAAAAAGACGTCCTTGAGAAGTGCATTGATTTAGCTACAAAGCTGACAGGGAAGAAACCTGTCGGCTACCGAGCTCCATTGTACCAAATACGCGAATCAACGATAAAGCTCCTCGTAGAGCACGGCTTCTCTTACGGTGCGTCTACTAGAACGACCAACTCCGAACCTTTTTCTTTCTTCTACCATACCTCTCAACTAACAACTCCCGGAAACAGACACGTCTCTCTGTGCCCACGATTCCCAGCCATATCTTGCTCCCATTGACACCCAAATCCAACCTCCCGACTTCTCCAAACCCGCTGCAACCTGGATGCACCCCACCCCCATCCCAACCTCCACAGCTACCGCCACCTCCCTCGTCGAGATTCCATGTAACTGGTACATGGAAGACATGACGCCTCTCTCCCTACTTGCCGCACGTCCAAAACTCCCATGGCTACGTTGATGTGCGTCTCATCGAGCAGATGTGGAAAGATCGCTTTGAGTGGCTGTGGGAGAATGGATCGGGGGAGGAAGAGCTGGGAGGGGGTTTTGTGTTTCCCTTGGTATTGCATCCGGATTGTAGCGGTATGGCGCATGTGGTCGGGATGGTGGAGAGGATGGTTAAGTGGTTGAAGGAGAGGGAAGGAGTGGAATTTCTGAGGTACGAAGATATTGCGAGGGAGTGGAGGGCCGGGGCGAAAATGAGGGGGTAGATGGCTGGTAGGAGGCATTAGTTGTAAGAGAAGAAGAATGGGCGTTTGGTAGTTGTTGAGGGTCTGCGCTATCCCTACGGGTTATATCTCGCCTTTGGTGTATTCCAGCAAGGGGGCTCGGATGACCTCTCCCCGTTTGGAGCGCGTGTTTGTTCCCACGCAGGCTCCTCCCTGAGAAACTCTGTATTTGAAGCGAGCTTGTGGTGGCCAAGATCTAGGTATGACTTCTCCCCATTCTCCTACAGGGTAATCAAGTCTGTGGGATGCGGGGCTATGCAGTATTATCAGCGGGGCCAAGCATCATCGACCCCTTGGGCCACCAGTGGCTCATTCGCGCTCGGCTTTTTGTCCTTCCTCAAGTACTATCCATGATTTCTAGATATTCATCCTACGATAGTAATTTTCGTTATCTACCCATCAGACGAGTCGGCACTACCATCAGCAGCTGCAACAGTAACGCAACCACACGCCACAGGCTCCTGCGTCTGTAAATCCTAATAATACACCATCACCACCAACCCCATCAACGCCGTCGTCTGCCGCTGCCTCAACTACAGCAAATCATCCGGCTCCGCTTTCATGACGAAATGCTGGTACCCCAAAACGCACAACCATATCGCACCTTCTAACCACGATGACATTCGAGCCTACGACGACAGCGGGACGGTCAAGGAAGCTACGATTTCGAGACAATTCGGTGGGAACAGTGAGTCGCCCGTGTCTGCGGAGAATGAGTGTTTTCCGGATTTTATGATCGTGACGACTGAGAGTCTGGATGAGGGAGGGGGCCTGGGAATGAGATCCTGAGGCCGAAGGTGGAATATTTCTACAAGAGTAGGAGAGAGTGGATGAAGAGGAGGGAGGGTGTGGATCGGACAGATACGCTATCAAGCAGTCCGTGCTCTAGACTAAGAGAATTTGTCGACTATTGCCAGAAAATTTCACAAGTCACGATTCAACTGTGCTACAATCTTACCTACTATTGCTGTTGGTAGGGCAAAATGTCAATATATTGATCGAGTCCAAAATTCTAGGTGTGGGGTGAAAACAAACATTACTTTTCTACCGAGCTCGACCAATGCCAGGCAACCTGCGAACTACAGATGAAGATGTGACATCTCGGAAATGAAAGGCTTAAAGGACCAAGGATTGTATTCCGAAATGAAAATTTATTGGTCGGTTAGACTATGACGTTCCTCGATGAGCAAAAGCAGGCTTGATTATACAACCATAAACCTACCACGGTACAAGACGAAGCCGCGGAGCATCAGAAACAACTCATGTGAGATTGTTGTGAAATATGGGCGTTGTACCTGGAAGATGCGTTGATTGGAGAGCTAGGAAGAAATTCGAATGCGGATTCGATGCAGAGCGTTATCGGTTGAGCAGAGCACAAAGAGCAGAAGGCTTGCTGATTGGTTTTTGTTCAATCCGTCCTGAAGAGCCATCACAATGCCATTGTCAGGGAACAAAGACCCTTCTCTGGCGCAACGCTCGCAACTTGCTTCGCCATGCGACTCTTGCTTTTATAAATATAGCCTCTCAATTGACGCACCCTGTTGTTCTTCTTTCAAACCCCCTCACCAGCCACCCATCAACAACCACAACCCAGCAAAAAGACAACCAGCAAAAACCCCTCACCTCCACCAAAACAAACAAAAAGAGCTCTGAATCCCGTCATCATGAGCGACCCAACACCCGCAGCGCAGCAGCCTCGCCTCCCCCCCTCAACAGCCTCATCCGACCCGCCCACATCCTCTCCCTCTTCCGCCACCACGAGCAGCGCAAAACGCACTACTTCGACGGCTGCAGCCAGCTCTGGAACGCGATCCTGACCAACCCCCAGGACTCGCCCGCCCACCGGCACGCATACCGCCAGCTGACCTCCCTGACGCAAACGATCAAGGACGCCATGGCCCGGCAGAAGGCAACGGAACGAGAAACCGCGCGGCACGCCGAGCGGTCGCGGCAGGAACGCCTGCTCGTGCTGCAACGGCAGCGGCAGCGGGTCGCGAGGGAGCAGTCTGCGTTCCGGACCCTCGTGCGGCAGGTCGCGGGCGCGGTGCCCGTCCCCAGCCTCGCCGACTTCGAGGCCGGCCTTTCGGCTTTCCACCCCGGGGCCGCGGTCGGGTCGGGGTTGGACGACGGCGGGATGCGGAGCGCGCGGGGGATGATGTCGAGACGGCGCTCGGGTTGCTGGATGTCAGTACGGAGAGGGCGGGTGAGGAGGATGTGTACGCGGGGTTGACGTTGTTGGGGGTGAGGATGTGCGTGAGGGTCGAGGAGTATCTGCGGTCGATGTCGAGGGAGGGGGAGTGAGAGGGAGGAGGGGAGGGTTGTGGAGTTTTTGGGAGGGGAGGAAGGAAGAGGGGCGGAAGGTTTGGCGGCTTGGAAAAGGAGGCTGCGTCGGTTTAGGGGGTTTTGTTGCTTCTGTTCATCTGGGTTAGTGGTCTCGGCTCGTTGCTGCTCAGTGCAGATGATGATGATGATGATCAGATACTGACCACGTAGTGTTTAATAGATTGAGAGATCCGCACAAGACGTTTCCCCTTCAAGTCGTTTTCCGCCTTTTCGCGGTTGACACTCATCATTGACTTTTCCGACTCCAGGAGACACTCGAATCGGCATTCAAACCTACCTGGGTTCCTCTGCGAACGATAACACCACAGGTGCATCAAGCCATTGGTTGCTGGGCATATCAGGTTGTGATGTACTAGTACACAAAGAGACGCGGCTCCAAGACGACGAACAAGCAACCTCCCTCGACCATGAGACTTCGGCCCAAGTACATCACCTTCCTCTCCCCTCCCTCTACACCCTTCCATCCCCTATTCCATCCCATCCCATCACCACGCCTCCCCCCATCCCAAACCCTACACCTCCACCTCTCCCGCCCCACCAACCACCTCCTCACCCGACGCCGGCCCGCAGCGCCCCGCCCCCCAGCTCCCACCAAAACCCGACCTCCTCGCGCAGCGTCGCCTTCCACCTCACCTACGTGCCCAACCCGGCCCTCGCCCGACGCCTCGAACCCCCTTCCCGGCCCGCATTCCCATCCGCGCGCAAACACGCCAGATGCAGCACGGCGACGCAGCTAGACCGGTTTCCGACGTCCATCGATCGCCATCGGTGCGGCTGTCCTGCTGCGGTGCGGGCGTGGGGGCAGCTTCGGCTGCGCTTGCGTGTCAACTGCGTTGGCTGCGGGGCCGAAGGATCGAAGGAGCAGAGGCAGCCTCTCGAGGCCGCTGGAAACAGTGATGTTTCGGCCCCAAGGAATTCCCCGTCCGTCCGTCCGACAACGCCCGCGTTTGCCGGAGTGGGATCGAATCGGCAATACGGACGGACGGGAGGATAATTCTGTGGACGCGGGGCTGATGTTGGTTTTTGGGGAAAGAAAGAAAGAAAGAAAGAAAGAAAGAGATGGAAGATGGAAGATGGAAGATACCCATCGATGCCGGAACGGTGGCGCGGTTGGATCTCGGGGCCGGGACGCTGGGAGGGTGAGGTAGCTGCTGGTGAGTGAGCGAGCGAGTGAGGGGACGGGAGGGGGCAGATGGGGAAGAGGGGAGGGAGGGAGGTTATCATTTCCTATAGAGCGTGGTGGGTCAAATGACCTTTTTGGCTCTTTCGGCGCGTTGGTTGACTGACACAGGTGAGATAGGATATGACGACGGGTGATCGGATAGAGAACTATGAAGGATGGGATATGTACTAGTACACGGTGAGCGAGCGTATCGTAGTTGCCTGTTGCTTGATTCACAGAGCTTGTTGTTTGGATAATGGATCTTTTCGGATTGCTGGGTTGTGATTACTCTACCTGGAGTGTGTCACGGGTCTGACGCTAGTCCCAATACGGCCTCGCACAGTTTGCTGCAAGAGTGCGAATGTCGATGAAGTTACGGTTCTTAGGACCTCGTAACTGCACGCTCAAACATCAAAGTTCGAGGGTGTTAGAATCGATAGACTGGTAAGGTCTGCGTGGAATACATCGATTAGGGCCAAAACATTTTCCGCCGCATCCTTACTGTACAGCCCGCAAAGTCCATCCAAAGTCTAAACGCCTGCGCTTTTTCGCTCATGTCTCTCTATATCCCATCTCGTCTCGACCTTGATGCTTTCGTTAGCCGGAGTGACAGCGCGATCATCATCCATCATCGTATACTTCCACCCAGGGCCTGTCACACCGTCTTCCAGCGAAGGCTCCGATCCTGCGGCTGCGAACGCTGTAGTCGTTGTATTCCCTGTGTCCACATCTCGCAATGGAAATGTATGCTCGCTGGCAGCTGTGCGATCGGTGGTGTGTTTCGGGGAGCGCTTTGCCGTCATCTTGAGACCATGCGGCATGATCTTGTCGAGGACTGGGCGCAGGAGAAGACAGGAGGCGATGATGAGGCCGATACCGGGTTCTATCTGACTCCAGATGAAACCTAAGGCGCCGGTGTAGGTAAAGTCTGAGAATGATATTGAGAGGGTGGATTTGGCGCGGAGTCCGCTGATGATGATGGATCTGCGCGGGGTAAAGTATGTCAGCATTCGTGCATATGCGGCGCCCTCGCGAAGTGCATTGCAAAGAAAGATCGACGTACACGACACCGATGCTAAAAATCAGGTACAGTCCGATCTTGTTTCGCATAGCTGTCTGAAGGTTCCAGATCATTGGAATAGGAAGCAGGAAGATGAGGCAGTCGGTTGCAACATCGAGCACACCGATGGCGTAGAAGCTTGCCTGACGGTTGGCGCAGTGTCCACCAGGAATCATTGGGTTCCAGTTGAAGGCAATGGGTGTGCAAAGCGCCCAAGTACCAATAGCGGCGTATATCGACCAAAGGATGGTGACGGTCATGACCATATAGGCGGCCATCCTGTCGAGGGTTGGAGTTAAATCGTGAATCATGAAGCGAGTGCATGCGATGCGAATTACCTGAAAGACCTGATGAAGAAGATGCGTACAAGCATCAAACAGATGCTGCACTTGATTGATGCCATTTCAATGGAGTACAGTATCGCCAGGGGAATGAGCATCTATTTTATCGAGCGCGGGTCAGCGAGCTGCAGTAAGACATTGATCGAAGGGGTTTCGACTGACCTGGAGACTGAGCTCAATATTTTTTGGATGAAGTTCCTCAACATGATGTCCAGCACCGCCAAGAAAAAGCTCTTTGACCGTCATCAGCGTTGGAAATGAGAAGTAGCATGATAGATGATAGAAATACTTACGTACGAGAGTACAGGCTGCTTGACCATAGTAGAGGAACTATTTGCGCTTTCCTTCAGTCTCGCGACGTCTGTTTGGGTTTGAGGACTTGAACATACCAGCGCCCCAAAAACGAGATAGTCGTCTATGCGATACGGTTTCCGTCTCAATCGGCCGGCCCACGCTCGTAGAGCGACGAATGCAGTTGCGAGTATGAGGAATGATATCGTAGTCCCGAAGATGGCCTTGGAGTGACCTGTGGTGAGACCGACGGTCGGACGCAAAGCCAGCGCCTGAGGATCCATGACTGGCCAAAAGTTGAAGCAAGATACAGAAAGATCAGGAAGATGTGAAATGAAAAGTCATGGTCAACGCGGCGCTGCACCCTGAAGCGGCAGTCCGCATAGGATTCCCAAGGGAGATGGGGGGATATTGGTAGGATGATGCAAGAGAGAGTGCCTCAGGGTAAGATGGCATGATCCCATACCTGCAGGAACAAGCTAACGGTGCGACGTGAGCACTTGCATTTGGGGGAAAGGGGGGGCCGCTGTGCTCTCCAACGATTGTCATGGTGCAATTATTTCGGGTTTAAAAAAAGAGGGTGTCGGGGGGCTGAGAAGGATGCGAATGCCGGTGCTCTTGCGAACTACCTGACGCTACTGCAGGACTGCATCATGCATTGATGACCTTAGGGAGGTGGAAATTGTTAAATCAGCATGGCTATCATTGGCTCTTGTTCTGTCTATCAGAAATTACTTTAGGGTACTGGTAGGTACCCGACATTGAAAATGGAGCATGATTGCAAGCGAGGGGAGGACGAAAGGAGTGGAGGATAGGATACCATACGGTAATTCGGTAGCTTGGGAATACCGAGGTTAGAATTGGAAAGGGTAAGATAGCCGAGTCATACGTAAAAAAGCTAAGATGAATTTGGTCAGATTGGTAAGAAATTCAACTTTACATTTAAGCTTTCATGCAAGAACAAGGGACGACGTGAGACAGAGTGCTTTCCTGCCGCGCCAATGGAGGGGTAAATCTGCGCATGGCGTCATGCAGTCATCACTTTGTTTTTGCTCACAAGATGTCTTAGATATTTTAATAATAATCTGACCGCCGCACATAGGTAGGTACTTTACTTACCTAGGTGCTAATATTAGGAGACGAAGGAAATATAAAAAGAAAAAGAGAGACAACAATGGCGGTGAAGATGCATCTGCCGTCAGCGACAAGATGTCCTGCCATCAAGATGCTTTACAGTAAAGTAGGTAGGCATCTACCTCCCTGACGGACCGTCCCATCCCATTCCATTCTAGCGGCTCACCCCGAGAGTATGATAGGTACCGCTACGTTACCTTACTCGTAGTCGTAATTAGCCTTCTCTCTTTCCCCAAGTATGGTACCTATCTTACTACTTTACTCCGTACTCTCATTCTTCATCACGAGAATCCCTCTCGTTGCCAAGGCTGACCTCGCTGACCTATGACTACCATTTCCCGTCCTCCACTTTAACATTTGCCTGCTGCAGGGTAGCATATGAAACCATGCTGTCTTATACCTACATCTTATACATCTTGTACATCTTCTATCCTATCCTGGCGGCTAGTGGTGCCACAATCAGAAGGAAGACAGCCACATGGTCAGTAGTAAATTGATCCCTGCAATACGGACATAATTATCAGATCTAAGGCCCGATTACCACTGTTACCCTCGGGGCTAGTTCCTACCACGTTTCAAATCCTGCACATCACTAAAGTATGGTCGACACCCGCAGAACTCCAACTCTTCTCGCTGAGATACACCTTGTCTCCAGCACAGTTGCGGAAGAGTAAAAAAAAAAGTGCCTGTAACTCCGTACCGAGCCAAAGAATACCCAGAATACGCATCCACCAAGTCTTATCTTCCACCTCAGAGCCGAATACCGTACCGTACTTTATCATATGACCATGAGACAATCGCGCCCCACTTCTTTAGCAGGACGCTAAATATGGCCGACTATCCCATCGCAGCTTTTCCCCGATACCGTGCCATGCGGCCATACCATGTTGCTATCTCTTCGTGCCCGCTAGCTCTCCTGCTGGCGGCACGCCAAATGCGACGCTGAATATCCAACACAGTGACCAATCATCTAACATCCTTCTGCTACTACCCTGCTAACGAGGGACACTGGCAGCCCGCAAAATCTTTTCACCTGCCAACCTCCTTCACCCTCGAGCTTCTTGGGCGACGCAAACGTGTGTGAACGTTGCCATTCATGCATTCCAAAGCCGCCGATTCAGGCTTTTCCGTGGAGGCATCGGATTTGAGCCCAGAGAAAGCCAGGGACGTATCGAGGACTGCCCGCGATGGAGTTTGCCTTGTCCCGTACATGATCACATCCCTCCTTCCACGTGGCATTCACTGATTTCCGTCTTCCTGCATAAAGGCAGCCGAGCGCTTCTCCCGATGATCCATTGGTACGAATAGAATCCTGCAGGTCACTGGGAGTATGAAGCTGACATCGACCGTCAGAATTGGTCTCTCACGAAGAAGAATGTCATCTTCGGTACAGTGTGCCTGGCATCCTTTGCCGGCGTCGCTTCTGTCAATGTCCACCAACTTGCGTACGTGAAACCTCATCTGTCTTCGGCGCAATCATGACGCTCACCAAATCTTCCCAAACAGCTATATCAGACAGGCAAGCTACTATCATAAATCTCCAGTGGAGCTGTCCTATTCCATCGCTGCCGGTGTCGCAGGCCAGATGGGTGGGCCCCTTCTCTTTGTACCGCTCTCGTCCATCATCGGTCGATCTTCACTCATCTTTTGGTCTTTGTTCGGTTCGCTGGCATCCAATATCTGGGCCCCGTTAATGACTGGACCTAATGACTATATTCCTTTCGTCATGTCACGAATGCTGGCCGGACTTTTCGGAAGTGTTCCTCCAATCTTGGCAACCGGTTTGATAATGGACCTCTACTTTCTCCATCAAAGGGGCAAAGCATTTACCGTGCTCGAGGTTTCTCTTCTTGCTGGGGCGGTGGCTGCGCCTGTCTTCGGTGGCTTTATCGCCGATACCAAGCCTTGGCCCAATGTTTTTTGGTGGCTAGTCGCAGTTATTGCGGTCTCGATCCCTCTAGGTATGGCAACCAGACTGTCAAAATTCACGAGCTCACTCGTCTTTGCAGCATTCTTCTTCTTGGAAGAGACGGCTTTCCGAAGGAATGAAGAGTCTGAGCCTCTTCCTCAGCGCCCGAGTTCGTTCATGTCGAACAGGATTGCGACGTTCTTTCCCGGGACTGCTGTTGTACCCCGGACGACATTCGCCCATGTAGTAAGTCGTTTGGCGATGTTTTAGCGCTGTGTTTGGGTTGACGAGTTAGGCCAACCGCTACATTACGCCGCTCAAGATTGGCTTGTCGCCAGTCACCATGATCGTCGGTTTCTTCGTTGTTTGCATCTACGGATTCGCTGTAGGGTTAGGAATAGTGGTCTCAATCTTTCTGCAAACGCCAGAAATGGTGGGAGGCTATGGCTTCACGCCTAATCAGAACGCAGAATGTGGGTAGTTCCCCACGAAGTATTGACACCTGCTCGACTGCTGACGTTGAACCATTTAGTCAACTTTTCCCAGTGGGCCGGCCTCGTTCTATGTCAGATTTGCGGCGCTTTCCTCAATGACAGGGTCCCGCTATCGATATCTCGTCGCAGGGGCGGTGCCTGGCATCTCGAGTACCGCCTTTATCCGATCTTCCTAGTCGCAGCCGCTTCTCCCATAGGTTTTGGAATATTCGGAGCCGGTATTGAGTATGCTATCGCTACACTACCTGCGCAAATACAAATTCACAGCTGACTTATAAAGGTATCATCTTCACTACATGGTCCTGGCTCTCGGCACATTTCTCGTCATCTTCGGCGCATGTTACAGTACTCCCATATCTGTGAACTATATCATCGAGTGTTTCAAGACCTCGCCGCTCGAGGTCGCCGTCATTATGAATGTTTATCGACAGATTTTGGCCCTTGCTTTACCATTCTTCCTCTTCCCTTGGGAGGGTGCCGTGAGTGCTGGCTGGTAAATGCTCCCTTGTCATCACAGCGCCTTGGTGCCCATACGCTAACCGACAGGATAGGCTTTTCGGGATGATGGCGTTCTTCTGCGTCTTCGCCACGATGCTCTTGGGTGTGGTGGTTTGGAAGGGGCCAGCTCTACGACGTTGGAACTTGGAGAAAGATGCTACGGAGGATGGAATCAAGATCATCAGCTCAGACCGGTCGTCGGATACGTCGCTTAACAATTAATCGTAGAGTGAACCTGGAGCAGCGAGGGTTCATCCGAAATGGGCGGCAACGAATGAGTCTGACTACAGTAGCAGGTGGTAAATATGGCCCCTCATATAAGTTTGGGGCGGCCGAGGACTTCTGTACTCTACCACACAACAGAATCGTCATAAGCGCAACCTCATCGGGTGGCCAAGAGAAGTCTCGAAAAGCAATGTCAAACGAGGGCATATTTTACGGTGAATAGGTGTGTATACCTGACATAATCCCGAAAATATCCGAATCACATCAAAAGCCAGAAGATGCATGGAAAAAGATATTGAAAAGGAGATGGAGCGGAGCCAATACTTTTACCCGCACGCATTAGTGCTCCACATCCTCTCGTTTAAATCCGTCAGAGCGATGCCTCCCAATAGGAATCCGACGGTACTTTACATATACTAATTAGCCTTACCCGCTCTTTCGAAATATTCTTTACCAATAGATGACAATTTCCCACCGATTGGCTGGCTACTGATGCACGGCTATCTCCTTCTAGATCTCCGGAATGGCAGAGTCGAGGAAAAATGAAGCCAATGGTTGCGCATCCAATCATGCCTTCTATTGCAGCTGAAGAAAGATGTCCTATCGGCCGCCCCGTGGTTGCGTGTCGTCAGGCACCCACACAGAAGCCAAGAACTCAAAATCAACATCTTCCGTGCTGCATTTGCTGGGACCATCCCCAGCCTTACATTACTTTACTTGACTTTACTTTACTTTACTTTACTTTACTTTACCTTACATTCTCATCTTTTCCCACATCATTCCCGAGAACAGCCGTCCAATCTAATTCGCCCATTAAGACTACCATGTTCTCCTTCCTTCTTTACACCCTCTTCCTATGGCCTTCTTATGCTGTTGCTTTGCTCGTATACCGCCTATACTTCCACCCTTTGGCAGCTTTTCCCGGCAGAAAATTGGCGGCTGCCACGAGGTGGTATGAGTTCTATTTCGACTGTATCAAAGGGGATGGTGGGCAGTATATGTGGGAGGTCGAGCGGATGCATGAGGAGTATGGTGAGTGTAGCCTACCAACAATCATCTTGTCTCCTCAGAAGCGTCAGGCTGTGGAGATGATATTCCTTCTTCATCTGTTTCTCCACCAACACTTCCGTATAAATTGAAGATGATTGCTGAGGCCAGCCGCACTCACCATAGGACCAATCATCCGCGTCACCCCAAACGAAATCAAAATCAAAGATATCGAGTACTACGATTCCCTCTACTCGACATCGCAACCTCGCGATAAATATGGTCCCTCGGCGAAGATGTCCGGGACGCCTTTATCAGGTAAGCACCCTCCCATCAAACACCGCCGCACGCCCGTATGCTCCCACACGCACCGAGGCGGGACCCCGCAGGATGCAGGTAAGACTGACACACCCTCCCACGAGATAGCCTTCGGCACGGAACCGCACGCCCTCCACAAAATCCGCCGTGCGCCCCTAAACCCTTTCTTCTCCAAACGCGCCGTTGCCGCTCTGCAGCCGCGGATTGAGGAAATCATTGACGATCTGTGCAACGGCCTTCGAGGATGCATGCAAAGGAACGAGGTGGTGGAGTTGAGGCCGGCGTTTCTGTCGTTGGCGATTGATGTCGTGTTTCGATATTGTAAGCCCCAACAATCATACTTACCCTTGGCACTCACACATCATCGGTTGTTGCTGGATTGTTGGAAACTAATCGTTGCTCTTTAATAACCGCGTTGATAGCATTCGGCTACTCCCTGGGGGCTCTCAAAAAACCCGATTTCTCACCCCAATGGAACGACGCGATTGAAGGAACGGCCGAGGCGGCGCCGCTGACGAAGCAGATGAGCGGGATCGTGCAGTATCTGCAGAAACTACCCTTACCGATCATCCGGTTCCTGCATCCAAATCTAGGCCGGCTCCTAGGATTGAGACAGGTACCATGTGCCGTCCTCTCCTCAATTCCATGTATTCCTTCTCAATGAGGGTCCGTGAACGGCAGCACTGATACGTGACCCGCGCGCTTTTGACAGGTCCTCCGCCAACAAATCGCCTCCATCATCAGACTGTACGACAACGGCGTCCTCCCCGCCAAAGACGGCTCCTCCTCAGAGCGCACCATCTTCCACGCCGTCATGGAATCCGACCTGCCCGCCTCGGAGAAAACGGAAGAACGTCTCACGGACGAAGCCTTCGCTTTCATCGGCGCCGGCACCGAGACCACGAAACAGACGCTCAACGCCGCGTTCTACTACCTGTTGACGAGTCCCGAGAAGTTGGCGCGCTTGAGGGAGGAGTTGGCGCGTGCGATGCCGGATCCGGCGGTGTGTCCGCCGTTGCATGTGTTGGAGGGGGCGGGATACTTGGTATGTATAGTGACTCGGTAGTCTGGTCCGTGCTTGCGCTTCGGTGAGGAAGTAATTCAGGAGAGGGGTGACGGATCGCAGTAGAGAAGAGAAGGCAGGGGGTTTTCGTTCCCGGATAAAATCAGCTAACGCGATCGCGCCTGGATGCAGAGCGCCGTCGTCAAAGAGACGCTCCGTATCACGACCTCGGTGACGTCGCGACTGCCGCTCGTGGCACCGACGCAGGAGTTGAAGTACGGGCGGTGGAACATACCTGCCGGCGTTCGTACCACCCTTCCCCCTTCCTCCCATCCACCCCAAAAAAGGCCAAACAAAGTACCACTCCCCCCAAAAAAAACAACCATCCCCCAACTAACGTGAAACCCACCTCGACCGCCACCAGACCCCCGTATCCATGGACTTCCGCTCCACCCTGCTCTCCCCCGCCCACTTCCCGGACCCCCTCACCTTCGCCCCGGACCGCTGGCTCGTCCCCGCCGACAAGCCGGACCGGTACCTCGTGCCCTTCAGCCGGGGCACGCGCGGCTGCCTCGGACAGAAGTATGCCCCTTTTCCCCTTCTTTCCCCCCCTTCCATCCATCCATCCATCCTTCCATCCTTCCATCCTTCCATCCTTCCCATCCATCCTTCCTTCCGTCCTTCCATCCTTCCTTCCATCCATCCATCCTTCCTTCGCGTCCCATCGCTCACAACACTCACACACGCAACAGTCTCGCCCTCGCGGAAATCACCCTCGCCATCGCGTGCCTGTTCCGCCGGTTCGACTTCGCCCTCCACGGCACGGACGCGCGGGCCGTCAACGTGACGCGGGATCGGTTCGCGGCGGGCTTGGATCGCGGGAGCAGGGGGACGCGGGTGAGGGTTTTGAGGGAGTTTGCGGGGTAGGGGGGGGGGTTCTTTTTGGTTTGGGGGGGGAGGGATGGGGGATGGGATGGGATGGGGAGGGGAAGGGGAGGGAAGGGGGAGTACATATGAATGGACTAGAGGATGTTTATGTGGGGGGTTTTTTTGGTCGGGGTGGTGATGATGGGGGGGGGCGGGGGGTTTTTTGGGTATGGGGTATGGGGGAATTGTAAGTATGTTTTGCACAATTGGTGTCTTGCGCCACATCTATAAAAACCAGATCGCTTAATCCGAGCAAGGTTGGTCTAGTTCCAACCCTTAAGCCTTTATAACTCACTTCAAGAAGAAGAAGAAGAAGAAGAAGAAGAAGAAGAAAAGAAGAAGAAGAAGAAGAAGACGAAAAAGAAGAAGAAATAGTACCAAAAAGCCCCCACCCTCGCCCAAAACAGTCCGATCAGCCAGCAGCCCCACCCACAACCAGGCCCCAAAATCGAAGAAGATCAAGATCCCAATCCCCATCCCAACACCCCAACCCCCCCCCTCCCTCCCTCCCTCCCTCCCTCCCTCCTTCTCAACCCCCCACCACCACCACCCACCAGCCGACCAACCGACCGACCGACCGACGCTATCCCCGAACAGAACAGAACAGAACAGAACAGAACAGAAAGAAAAGAAACAAAAAAAGAACAGAAAGAACAAACAAAACAGAACAAGCCCCCCGTTTCCATCCCCATCTCCTCCCGGGGAATAAATAAAAAAAAGCCCATCGGTCCGGTCTCGGTCATCGGTCGGGAGAAGGTATCCGCGACGACGACGACGACGGGATGGTGCTGCCGTTTGCCGTTTGGATGTCTTTCCGTCTATCTATCTGTCCGTCTGTCTGTCCGTCCGTGAAGGCTTCGGGGACGGAAGGGGGCCGGTTGTGGGGGTAGGTGGCGAGGAAGCCATTTCGACACAGGACGGTCAAGCAAGAGAATCCCAACCGGCCTCGGACTCGCCTCGGACAAAAGACTAAAGAAGTCTAAACGCGTGCTTTTACAACGAACGATACAAACGGGTGTGATCGAGCGACGGGCGAAACCGCAGAGCAGAGCAGGACGAAGACGACGGGATCGCGGCCCTTTGCCGGGTGGTCGAAGTTCTGGCGTTCGGGGGGTGTCGGGAGGGGTGTTGCACCTGCGGCCCTGGACGACGGGGCGGAAAAAGCAGAGAGGCGAGGGCGGTATCGGTGCGGTTGCGTGATGAGGGAAGGATTCGAGTGGGCGATCGTTGTGGAGATGTGACGGTTGTGGAAAAGGAAGGGCTCATGGTGCGAAAGGAGGGACGGGGTGGATTGAATTTCTGGCTTGTCGGGTGAAGACGGCAAGACGGTAAATGGACAGCTATAGGTGTAGGGCCAAAAGCACGATGGGATCGTCGTACCTACGTGTTCAATCCCGCATTCTCGAAATCGACCCCGTAATGCTGGATGAACAGCCGCAAAGACGGGAGCGCGCCGAGTGGGAGCGCCTTCAAGATGTACCTCCTTGATATACCTACTTGTGTTCTAGTCAGGGCATAGAATACATGGTCTGGCGCCAGAAGACGGCGGCAGTTGAAGCGACGTAGCTGTCGCCCCTGCTTTCGTTGCCACCCCATGGGGAATTTTGGCTAGGGTTGCGGGGATCCGGTTCGATCGACGTTTCGACACCGGACGGACCGTCGAGGTTGATGGGCCGTAGGTAGGTAGGTAGTTCGCGAGTTTTTGGCCGGCCAGATTTACCTACCTACCTACCTATCGAAAGAACGATCGATCGATGGCGCTGCACAGCCGGCGTAAATCAACAACGTGACGGCGGTGCAGGATGCGCTCGAGATGATTAGGTGATGATGAGTTGAATCGACCGGTGGTAATGGGTAGACACGACGACATCGACACTGACCCAAATTCACCATCTACTACCACCTTATCCATACTCACCCCAAACTCACGCCAAACCCACACATCTCCCGCTGAAGCTCTCGCCACCGATCCCGACACCCATCTAACCCTCGAACCACCGCAGCGATCCGAGCCCTCTCGATCCCACGACCCCGTGCGCACAACACCGCGGAGGTCCGAGGACCCGATCACGCGCGCGGGCTCGACTCGAACCGCTGCTGGTAACCGTAACCGTAACCAACTCTCTCTGAGCGCCGACACGGAGAACGCGGACGATTGTGGAAGGATACCGACCGCCAAGGATGTAATCCTCCTCCTCCTCCTCCTCCTCCAAGCCGAACGAGGCACCCCTCCGCAGCCCCAAAGCAAAGCGACCTGTCGCCGCCGGAACCGAGTGAGTCGTGATTCACCCGCCACGGTCCTGCATCGGGGGGTCTCAATTCCCTACCTACCTACCTACCTTATCCACGAACAATGAAGATGATTCCGCCAAACGGCTATAATTAACAACGAAACCACCCGACAGGAAAGCCAATCACATGCAACGCCTGCGCATAGAGGATCCTTCCCAATCCATCACGCACCCCCTTTCCCCTTCCCCCGCGCCCTTCCCCCTCTCAAGGTTCCGCACGGGCAAATGTGGGGGGGGGGGGGGGGGCGAAGCGCGGAAGTCATACTCTACCTACTCCCTCGCCCGCGCCCCTAGCGACGTCTTTGTCCAGCGGTGGGCTGCGGCCGTTGTCGCAACGCCCGGGTTTTCGAAGCGGTCGCCGGACTGGAGACGACGGCCCTCTCTCTCTCTGGGTTCGAGGGATGGGAGGGATGAGGGGTGGTTGAAAGGACATGACAAGACGTGGTCGAGCTGGTGCCATCTGGGATAGAACAGAGTATCGACGGGCGTCCAAGATGTCTGGACGGAACGTATGATCTTCGCCAAACGGAACAAACGTTCCAAGGACGAGATGTACAACGCGATCCCGATTGCGAAAATATCTAGACCTGCTCGTGAAGAACAATCGTGACAGTGACAGTTTGGTTGTGAACTTATGGATGCAGTCATCATAGATTACAAAGAGGGGGATTTGAAACATTCGGTCAGAACCCTCTGAAACCCCCCCCCCCCCTCCCCCCGGCCAGTCGACGGGAGACAGACATCCATCGTCATGATCTCCCACGCATACTTACAGTGGCGTTGTTTCAGTTCGAAGCACTCGGCTTTTCATGCTTGCCTACGGGCATTGGCATCAGTCGAAATGATTTGCCTCCTCGAAGATGTTCTGTGGTGCATGGGATACAAGCCAACAAGCCGCAGGAAGCCTGATTGGTTGAAGGACTCGGCGTGAGGATCTGGTGGGTCAGAGCTTTTCAAAGGAATCGGATCGGTGACTGCCTGCGCTTGTTCTATGTATGTTTGGGATCGCAATTGGGCCGAACGAGGGAGGGAGCCGTCTCATATCATGTGCCCGTCAGAAAGACCGGAATCGTTTGTCACAAAAAGAATGGACGGTCCTATCTGAACAATTATGTACTCACTCTTCTCGCCGCCGCTATGCTGACAATATCTATATGAGTAAATATATACGCATCTTAAGGTCTCTCCAATTGGAGGAAATGCCAAGAGTCGCCTGTCGTTGGCGAGGTATGAGGTCATCATGCCTTCTCGTTGTGCACCTGCGCTTCTTTCCTCTGCTTTCTCGCAGCTGGAATCAGTGCCGCCCTAACCTTCTTCATTCCTCCAAGGTAAAGCCAGGAGCAGATGAACACCACAATGAAGTTGAAGACGCAAAAAGCCCAGAAGACCCCGTAATCCAACCACTTGTGGCTGTAGTAGACATTGAAACCCGCTGCGAACTCATCCCCCGTAGCGTATTGACAGAACTCGCAGAGCCCATTGGTGCCGTTCTGCACATAGCCACCAGCTTGGGCAATGAAGGAGGCGCTGTAGGATTGGCATGTTTGGCCTGGTGGAGGAGCGAAGCGAGCGAACTCGGTGGAGGAACAAATGACGGGCCGGCCGTGTGTAGCGACGGAGAGGAAGCCTTCCAGGAGATAGTGGAACGGTGTCAATTGATACATCCAGGATTGCCAAAACTACAGAAGGACGTGTCAGCCATGTGTAATGTAGGAACTGATGATGTAAACGGTGGAGGTAATGACTCACGTGGGGTATGGCGACGTATGGCACAACAATACCGCAGAAGGAGACGACGAAGAGGAAGAAGACGGGCACGAGAATGGACGCCAGCAACTCATTCGGCGAGAATGAAGCGATCGCTTGACCAAAGCTAACGTAGAAGAGCTCGAAGAGCATGAGCAACATCCACGTGTATGCGCTGTCGAACTTGCTTGCGCCACGGCCGACGGCGGGCCACCACCAGCAATTGAAGTAGAGAGTCCCGGCGACGATGGAATACGGTATCTCGACTAGTGTGACACCACAGATGAGCGCGAACCAGGAGTAGATCTTCGAGTTCGCCTCGCGAGACTTGTAAATGCTGCGGAAGTGCAGATACTTGGGTTGTAACTGCTGGATCAGAGGTGGCGAGATGGTGAGAGTCATGAAGATAGAGAAGAGTCGCGATTGCATGTCGATTGTCTCATTTCCGACGTGGTAGAATGTGAAGCTATTGAAAAGACCGGTGACAATGTGCAGCATGAACTTTCCAATCACGTAATCCGGATCCCGCCAATAGTTAACGAAACAGCGATGTACGACAGTGTAGACTTGTGTGCCGAGCGGCATAGCGTATTCGCGATCATCTCGAGTCTTTTCTCCTACGGAGGCGTTTCGTCGAGAGCTGATCATCGACTGGATTTCCTTGGTACGCTCGTCATGTTCAGGTGATGAAGCCCAAACCTCACCCCAGTCTTTACCCTTGTACGTAGGATCACCAGCGCCAATGGATTCGAGCATGTATTCGGCAGGATTGGCGCGAGGGGGACACTTGTGGGCGCCGTTGCGTTCGAAGTAATCGATCAACTGACGGGAATCTTTGCCGAGCTCTCCGTGATAGACCACGTTACCGCCAGTCTTCAGTAGGATTAGCTCGTCAAAGTATTCGAAGAGCACGCTGGAAGGTTGATGGATGGTGACAAGCAACGCCTGACCACTATCTGCTAGCTTGCGAAGGAAGCGGATAATATTAAAAGCCGCTCCAGAGTCAAGGCCTGACGTAGGCTCATCCAGGAACATGAGGAGCTCCGGTTTGCTAGCAAGCTCAACACCAATGGTCACTCGTTTTCGCTGCTCTTGGTTCAATCCTGCACCTGTCTTGCCAATCGTAGCCCCAGCAATATTTCTCATCTCAAGAAGGTCGATGATCCGTTCACAATACTCATATTTTTCTTCCGTTGGTACCTCCTTCGGCTGTCTCAAAAGTGCCGAGAATCGCAGCGCCTCTCGGATGGTGGCGGTAGGTTCGTGGACATCCATCTGCTCAGCGAAGCCAGTGGCTCTTTGGAAGGATTTCGGTAAAGGCCTTCCATCGACCAAAAAATCCCCAGTCACGACGCCAAAGTTGATCCTCTGGGCTAGCGTGTTGAGGAGCGTTGTCTTTCCGGCACCCGAAGAGCCCATGAGCGCCGTCAGTCTGCCTGGCCTCACGAAGCCTTGAACATCGTTCAGTAGTTTCCTTTCGCCCTTTTCATACGGTATCGTATAATTGACGTTAGTAAACGTGAAGATCGAGTCGTTCTTGGCAACACCTTTGACAAGTTCGGAATCCGAGCTCGTCGAACCTTCTGCAAGTTTCTCGTCCCCTGCAGTAGCGAGTTGTTTCTCCTCGTCCTCAGGTATACTGCCCTTATCCATAGCCTGCGCGACAGATTTTGGGACTTGGCCACGTTTGAAGATGGTTACGGCACCTCCGCCTGCGTTTGGCTTCTGTAGCTCCATACCAATCATGGTAAGCACAACGAAAAAGATCCAAAATCCTGCGATAATACCAAAATCACGCCAGAGATGGTCTCTCTTGTAGGTAAATGCAGTCTGGATATAATCTGCTCCACTGACGGTGGTCGACCCAGGTCGACTTCCTGGAAGGAGGCAGGACTGGTATTGCGTAGTCGCGCCTGGGCCTTCGGGAACTATGTATGGCGGCGCGCACTGTATTTCCAAACTGTGAAATTCGTTAGACATCAAGGCTTCGAAACCATACTGGAATCGGGTCGACCCAAATAAGCCATTTAAAAAAAGGATGCATCTTGGCTGGAGGGATCAAATAACCAGTGTAGACAACGAGTGCTTGAATCGCGACACCAGTCAAGCGAGTCGCGGTATCCAAAGACTTGCATAGAGCCCCCAAGGATCGGAAAAATGAGTACATCGTCATTGTGATGACCCAGAGGATGAGCAAGCTGATAAAGAATTGCGAAGGTGTTCTCGATAGGTTCGACATGAAGTATACCACAAGATCGAATATAGTGACTTGGATGAGCACGAGTGGAATATCGACGACCGTTTGAGCGATAGCGAAAGCCGACGGCCGGTAGAATGAACTTGTAGTACCATCAGTACAAGTAGCTCAAAGATGGCTGATATCCAACTTACAAGCTTTTATGCTTCAGTAGAATGGGTCGGCTCGAGAAGGCCGACGTCAACTCCGCTAGAGCAAGCAATGCATTGAAGAGCAACATGAAGAACATCACACCTCCGCGCTCGAAGACCCCGGAAGAAGTCTTGGGCATATCGAAGAATAGGGAACCGACAATAAGAGCTTGAAAGAGGATACCACCCCATTTGCCTGCAAGAGATTGCTTGTCTCCATATATGACTAGGAATTGGCGATGAGTGCAAGCCCAAACCTGCTTGTGGTATGGAAGCGTGTAGTTCTTTTCCTTTGTGGCTTTCGTTGCAGCCGCCAGGCGCTGTTGCCTCTGCTGTTCTGCCTGTTGTTCGAATGACTCAATGTCGCGGACATTAGCCTCAAAAATTGGACTTCTTTTGTAAGCAATTTCGAATTGCTCCGTTGATCGCGGGATGCGATCTTCATACCCTTCTCGTATTTGACGTTCGTGGGGATCGGTGACGGATGTGAGGAAGTCAGCGGTCGTCCAGCGCTGTGGTCGACGGAAGCCAAGGTTCTCGAAGTAAGTAGCAGCATCTTCAGTCGGTCCATAGTATAGGCATTTGCCTTCGTCCATCAGGACTACCTTGTCGAACAGATCGTACAAACTCTCGCCGGCTTGATAAAGCGCTACAGATGTAGAGATGTGGGCCATGTTGGTCAGCGAGCGCAATGATTGCACGTATTCGAGGGCAGTGCTAGCATCGAGTCCTCTGGTGGAATTATCCCAACATTGCGTGCTGGCCTTGGTGATCATGGCTTCAGCGATACTGACACGCTTTTTCTCTCCTCCCGAGACACCTCGTACAAATTCGTCTCCTACTTTGGTATTCATAGTATGCTCGATCCAGAATAGCTTCGATACCACACGGAGAAACTCCTTGACGTAGTCGGCTCGACTTTCGCCTTCGTTGCGAGATGCTTTCCCGGGCGTTCGGGTCTTCAAGGCGAACTCCAGTGTACGTTTGACCGACAATGTAGCATAGTGCAGATCATCCTCGGGGTTGTATAAGACTTCCCCACGATAATGTTTGCCCATAGTCTTCGCATCCGTCCCGCCGTATGTGACATCTCCGTCAATGCTCTCGTATCCGAATCTTTGATTTGCCAAAACTTTCAGGAATGTCGAGCAGCCAGAGCCCGGACGCCCAAGTACCAGTAGCATTTCGCCAGGCCGTACACACCCGGTGAAATCATTCAAGATGGTCCTGATTGGTGGCTTCCCCGCGACCTTTTTTGGTCCTCCAGTGAAAAGAGCCGTTAATTTTCTCGGGAATGCAAGGAACGGATCGCCCAAGGTTGGCTGCAATGCAGCACCCAGCCCCATTCCTTTGACGGTCAGGTTCCTGAATACCAATCCAACATGTCTGGTCTTTTCATCCTCCGAATTTGCTTGCCGATCCTTCCCAAACATACGTGACATGAGTTTCTCAATCTCGGCCTGCTCTTCACCTGTCGCGCTCGCTTCATCTTCGGTCATGTACGAGCCCTGTCGATTGCTTTGGTTTGTCTTTCTCCGGCTTAATGCTTTGAAAAGATCATCCTCCGTCATTCGACTCGATGTCCTCTTTTGCATGCCTGGGCGACCAGCCGGCTTATCTGATGCGGCAGTCTTGATGGTTGTCAAGCCTTCAACCTGGTCATCTTTTTCGTTTTCTATCAATTGACTTTCTCTGAGGACTGGTGTGGGTTCGGCGGGTACGGCGAATACGGTAGTAGGTACGGCTTCAGGCGGTGAGTCGGCAGGAGAGGGTACAGCGGTCTTGTCATCGCTTGAGAAAGGTTCTGCTTCAGGTGTTGCGAGTGTCTCGCCGTTGGGACTGGAGGAAGCGGGAGTATCGTCTGTGGAGCCGGAGGCAATGGCTGCTGCAGGGTTACAGTCGGGCGAGGTGTGAGTGTGTAAAGCATCTGCAGGAGCCAGATACTGCTGGCGAAAGCTATTTGCAGATGCTGAGGGCCATGCTCCATGCTCAGATAAGTGCGGCCTCTCGGGCTCGTGGGAGGAAGCCATGTTGACGTTGGGCACGAGCAGGAGAGATTGTTCGTCAAGGATTAAGTCATATAGAGGAGGTTGTAACTTTCATCATGAGTCAGCTCGGATGCAAGTCTGTCTTCCGGTCCGAGTTGGCCTCGTCACTGATATGCGGTGAAGGAAGATGGCAGGATGGTTGATGCCTAATCATCACCGTAAATGTCAGCACCAGGTGCGAAGAGTCTGGAATGTAGACCTTAATTATTTGCTGGTTACCTACATCAGGAGCAAGATAAAGTATTCGAAGGTAAAGTAAACAGTGTATTATTTAGCCTATCCGTACTTGGGCCTTTTCGTCTCGTATTCTTCAGACAAATGAGCCAATCAAACATAGCAATTGAAAGCATAATGGCGGTTTGACTATGCCTTTATCATCTCTTGTGGCTTTCACATACTCGTACAATCCAGAAGTGAGTTTTTTGATAGAGCGAGGACACCAGTCAATCCTTCCACTTGGCCGAATTTCGGTTAATCTATTGGTGTCCTCACTCTATCAAAGAACTCACTTCTGGATTATACGAGTATTTTAATTTGGTGGACAAAGGAAAAAGTCATGGCGTCATAGGCTCTCGGACTTTAGGAAGAATAAGCTCGGCATGCAGGAGAAAGTCCGCGACCGAGCGGCCAAAAGTCTTTCCGCGCGGAAGATCGCGGCCGAGATTCCGCTTGTGCAGAATTTATGAAGATGGAAATCGCCCATGATTCGCATCAAAGCAAAGCTGTGGCCTTCGATACCAGTCATCAATTCTTTGCTGCTGGTATTGGCAAGACATTGGCCGTGCCTGAATGATGCTGCTTGCGAGGTACAATTGTTTCACAAACAGGCAAAACCGAACTTCTAAGGCTGCTCTGCCAGGTCATGATGTATGACATAAAGTAAAGCCTTAATGATGGGCAAACGCTGAAAGCCTTTTTTCTCTCCAACCTGTCAAAAGACTCGTCCATTTCCCCATATATTGAGCCATTTCTCCGTATGATGAAAACCATGGCAAACGCACAGTTACCAGGAGAGCCCATTGACCTCAACTACTTTGTCTGCACCTTAGGTCAAGCGGCGGCCTTAATTGCGGACAAGCCGCATTCATTCAGGACGGTCAATGAATTCATTGATCATCAAGCACGAGAACATCCGACGAGCCCAGCAGTTGGCTTCCCGATCCCTCCCAAAGACAGAGGGACTGACAGAGAATGGAACTACAAGGTCTATAGTAAATGGATATTGGAGATTCATTACCGGGGAACGAGAGGCTAATAAATTTGACATCAGCTTTCCGAAATTTACAACAGTTTTCAATAACACTGGGACATAGACTGCTCGAACACGGCCTGCTGTCGCCACGCCGACCAGTCCCGTCTCATGGATCGGTAGCTTTTCTTTGCCCAAGCTCAATAGACTTCCTCATCGGATGGCTGGCTCTGATGAGGCTAGGATATTCGGTTCTTTTGATTGCGTACGTCGACGAATTATCATCTTAGTGAGTCTACTGATACGAGAATCAAGACTTTAGACCGCAGTGCCAACCTCCTGCCATAGTGCATCTGTGCAAGGAGTGTAATATTTCGACCTTGGTCTATGATTGTGTGTACGAAGACCTCGCGAAAGCAGCGTACCAAACAAATATGAATATATCCCTAAAATTAATACCTTTGCCGAAGATAGAAGACGGAAAAGAAATCACCGTGCCTAGTGCTTCGTTTCCCATGTCGCCGGTATCGGAGTTCGACGTTGCGTATCTCCACCACACATCTGGCACTTCTACTGGGCTACCCAAACCGATCCCTCAGACTCATCGTGCTGCCGTTGGAGTGCTTCCTACCTTCCATAGCGGTCATGACAAGGCAACATTTACAACGACACCCCTCTACCACGGAGGCGTGGCGGACTGCTTTCGAGCATGGACCAGTGGTGCAATGATTTGGCTTTTTCCAGGTGCAGACGTACCAATTACTGCCTCCAACGCTCTGAAGTCCCTGGGCTGTGCTCGAAAGTCTGCAGAAACTCATCAGACGCCAGAAGTCAAGTACTTCTCTTCCGTCCCATATGTCTTGCAAATGCTGGCGGCGGAAGATAAAGGGCTGTATACGTTGAGGCAGATGGGGCTCGTGGGAGTTGGTGGTGCTGCACTGCCTCAGGCTGTAGGTGATGATCTCGTCCAGAAGGGGGTAAATCTAGTCTCTCGATTTGGCAGTGCAGAGTGTGGTTTTCTCTTGTCTTCGCATCGTGACTATACAGCCGACAAAGAATGGCAATATCTACGAAGCAACGCATCACCGTACCTGAAATTCAAGACGCAAGAAGACGGCTTAGCAGAATTGGTCATTCTTCCATCCTGGCCTCACATGGCGAAACGAAATGGGGACGATGGCTCTTACGCAACAGCGGATCTTTTTGAACCGCACCCTACAATTCCAAAAGCATGGAAGTACCATTCTCGAGCAGATTCACAACTGACTTTGATCACCGGGAAGAAATTTGACCCTGCACCACTTGAAGATGCAATTTCTACGTCTCCACTATTGAGTGATGTGCTGATATTTGGCAATGGCCAACAAATCCCTGGCGCGTTATTGTTCCGAGCTATCAAGTCAGCTGAAATGACGAATGACGAGCTGCTCGAGGCTCTCTGGCCGTCTATAGAAAGACTGAACGCAGAAAGCCAAGGTCATACTAGGCTTTCCAAGTCAATGCTGACGGTGATGCCCAATGATGCTCCTGCCCTCGAGAAGAGTAGCAAGGGTACCATCATGCGCGGCCAAGCCGAGAAAAGGTACGTGTCAGAGATCGCACGAGCCTACAGTAGCGGTCCCGATGCATCTGCGAATGGTTTCCTCTCGTCGACCAAGGACGAAGTGGCAGACGACGAGGTGCCCACCGCTGTATTACAAGTCATCCAGCACGTTCTAGACACTTTCAGTCCCATCCCAGCAGAAGGTGACCTGTTCTCCCTCGGCGTGGACTCTGTACATTGTATGCAAATTAGGGCATTGCTACATAGCGAAATCGTCCCATCCTTTACCGCCCAGCTACCACTTAACGTGGTCTACGACTGCGGCACCATCGAGAAACTCTCCAAATACCTCATCAACATACGCAAAGGACAGAAGATGGAGACAGAAGACGAGACCCAAATGATGCGAGATCTAGTACAAGAGTACAGCAGCTTTAACAATGAGTCTCTAATCTCTGTAGTCCCCGCACATTCAACTCCAACCAATACCGCCACCTCCAGCGAAGTCGTAATCCTCACTGGAGCTACCGGCGCACTCGGAGCCCACATCCTCGCCCTCCTCCGATCCTCCTCTCAGGTCTCCGAGATCCACTGCCTCCTTCGGGCTGCATCTCCCATAGCTGCCAACGAACGAATCTCCAAATCGCTCCTAGCGCGCAACAAAGCCCCACTGGATTCTACATCATCGAAAATCACATGCCACCCATGCAAGCTCTCCGACCCAGCACTCGGGCTACCTTCCTCCACCTACAAAGACCTCGCTACACGGACCACTCTTGTCATCCATGCAGCATGGGCTGTAAACTTCAGCACGCGCCTCTCCAGCTTTGTAAAAGATCATATCGCCGGTCTTCGCAACCTCATCAACTTCGCCCTTGCATCTGGAAAGACAAACCTCCCGCGCTTCGTCTTCTGCTCATCCACAGCCAGCGTGCTTGGACCACATTGTAACTCACCGATCGCCGAACGCATCTCCCATGACCCCTTGTCCGCTTCGCCACTAGGCTACTCCCGCTCGAAATGGGTCGCGGAATCGATATGCGAGCAAGCGCATCTCCACACGCGACTGAAACATTGCGTAACAGTCTTACGGCTTAGGTCAGCTCTGCGGCGATACAGAAAGCGGGATCTGGAACGTTACAGAAGCATGGCCTCTGATGCTCAGCAGCGTAAAACTTACAGGAAGCTTACCCCTATTAAAAGGAGAGCGATTAAGCTGGTTGCCCGTCGACGTAGCCGCAGAAGCAGTCCTAAATGTCGCGCTAGCTGGAACACAGACACTCAAGAGTGCTGACAGCTCCGACATCCCAGTCTACCACCTCCTCAACCCCGCCACCCAAAACACATGGGCAGATCTCCTACTCTGGCTGCAAAAGATCTCCCCAGCTTTCGACAGCGTCTCACCGTCCACATGGGTCTCTCAACTCGACAACCTGACCGGCGAAGCGGCCAAGCACCCAGCACGCAAACTCCTCGCTTTGTGGAAAGAGGCATACTGCAATGATGACGCTGCCAAGCAAGGGGAGCAAACGGCGGAGGTGACGTTCGAGATGATTGAAACGAAGAAAGTAGCTCCTGTGATGCGGGACGTGAAGCCAATCGGCGAAGATCAATTTACGAAGATCTGGGAATGGATCAATAAAGAAATGATAGGCAATGGAAGTGGAAAAGGAATCTAGGGCACACTCTCCCGGCCGAATACATGCATCGTCCTCACAAAGTGCTTGCGGCAGCGCATAGTCTGTTAGATACTTTGGGCTCCCGCCGATATCTGTACACCTTCGAAGCTTAAGTAGAGTGTCGAGTTGGTAAAGTGAGAATCAAGCTCGCATTCAACTACCTCGACGCGCGACACGCACAGAGATTGACATGACATTCAGCATCGGGGCCCAAAAGTCTCTTCCTCTCATGATACTTGGTTTCACCCCCAGATGCAATTCCCCAGCAGATGCAATGTCCGATAAGTCCGACCCCCAAACAGTCTGCATCTCACCAAAGTTGTATGACAAGTCGATTATTATACAACATTATCAATACCACTTCGATTTGAAGACTTCTTGATGTTCTAGAGATCGTATTCTACGCTTCCGGGTCTATTTTTCCAGATCTGGGTTTCAAGTTTTTTATGAAATTGTTGTGGAACGAAAGATTACATCTGCCAGGGAATGGCATCCGGGGTGAAACCATGTATGATTAACGATTACAACCAACCACTCACCCGAGAAAAACACAAACCACCGCATCAGCTACCTAATCAAAAGCCCTGAGCCATAAACCCACGGTCAAGTATATCGAAGGGTAAGTATTTACCTAGAGCCGATGGGAGCTGAGAAGTAATCGGCCATTCCTGTATCCCTTTTCTGTCCCCCCCATTCCCACACACACCCCTCCATCCCCTATCAAACAAGCCCACCCACCCACCTAGCCCTACCTTAGGGCTCCCCTCCCTCCCCTAACCCAAAAAGGCAGCTGCACAAACAGGCGATATCTGCCCGGCTACCGCGATAAGGTATGAGCGTAGCGAGTAAGGCGGTGGGGCCACGCCCGCACGATTGAGTAAAGTACTTACATGTACACTAGCATGATCATGGTCGATAAGATATGCAAGACGATAAGCGCTCAGACTCCGGTCTCGATAAAGCAAACTCGACCGTAAGCTGCTGATAGAGATACATCTCCCTACCCCGTCGCCATGTCCGTTCATCGTAGTATGTAGAAACCCCATTCCTCCACTGCAACCGAGCCAGCAAGAGCCGGCAGCGCAGCGTCAAGCATGCCTCTCCTTCCGAAACCCCACCTGCCCTCCCTGCACGTCTCGCAAGTCCCCTCCGCCTTCTCCGGCGCCGTCGGAGCGAGCAGGTGGAGCAACAAAGGTACCCCCCCCCCCCCCCCGCCCCCCAACCCTCCCTGACGGACCCCCCAGACCTCGACCCCATCCGCCGCCGGGACCGGAAATGGACCGTCTACGCCCTCATCGCCTACTGGTTCTCCGACGCCTTCAACGCGGCGACGTGGGAGTTCGCGGCCTCGATCCTCGCGGGGGGCTGTCGTACCGGGACGCGCTCGGGATCGTGGCGACGGGGTTCCTGCTCGTCAGCGTGGTCATCAGCCTGAACGGGGCGACGGGGGTGCTGTACCACGCGCCGTTCCCCGTGCTGGCGAGGGCCGGGTGGGGGTTTTGGGGGAGTTATGGTATGGATGTCATCATCATCATCATCATCATCGTCATCGTGGTTGGGAGGGGGGAGGGATGGATAAAGAAGGCGTGGGGAGGGGGGGAAGAAGAAATGGATGTGCTGATGAAGTGTGCTAGTGGCTATTATATCGAGGGTGATACTGGCGATGTTCTGGTTTGCGATCCAGACGGTCAATGGCGGTGATGTGGTGCAAGTGATGATCACGGCGATCTGGCCCGGCTTTGGCAGGCTACCGAACCACATCCCCGCGGACCAGGGCATTACGACGGCGCAGATGGTGTCGTTCTTCTTGTGTGAGTACCGCTGGCAGCATGCCCGTGGATGGCGGCGAGCTGACAAACGCGCCGTCAGTCTGGCTCGCCCAGATCCCCTTTCTCTACATGCATCCCAACAACCTCCGCTATCTCTTCATCACCAAATCCATCCTCGTCCCGATCTGCTTCATCGCCATGCTCATCTGGGCATTCCGCTCCACAGGCGGCACTGGCGGACCACTGCTCTCTTCCTCCGCGAAGGCCACCGTGGGAGGGTCCGCGTACTCTTACGCCTGGCTCTCTTCCCTTACCTCGGTATGCCCCGAGCGTTCAGGTCCGAGAGCAATACTAACGAGATCAGGTCATTGGGAATTATAGCACCCTGTCGGTGAACATGCCCGACTTCTCTCGATACAGCAAGGCTAGCGTTAAGTGGCAGTGGCTATACGTTCCGATGCTGCCGATTGTGTTCACGTTCATCGCGTTCATCGGCATCGCATGTACTTCTGCCGGAGAGGCACATTATGGCTCACTGGATTGGAATCCCGCTACCCTCATTGCTAATTGGCCGAATCGAGCCTGTCAATTCTTCGCCGCTTTTGCCTTCTCCCTTGCTGCATTGGGTGTCAACATCTCAGCGAATAGTCTGTCAGCGGCCAACGACCTGGCCGCGTTATTCCCTTCGTACATCAACATTCGGCGCGGACAGCTGATATGTGCCCTGGTAGCGTGGGTCATGGTACCCTGGAAGATCCTGGCGACCGCGAGCGGCTTTTTGAACTTCATGTCGGCTTATAGCGTCTTCTTGGGGCCGATTGCCTCAATCTTGGTATGGGATTTCTGGTGGGTTCACCAGATGAAGTACGATGTCGTTGCTTTGTATCATCCTGAAGGGTATGCCCAATACTCCTGACGCCTTCGTAGCGAAGCGCCTGCTCACTGTTTGCGACAGCATATACCGTTACACCTACGGCATCAACTGGCGCGCCATCTCAGCTTTCATCGTGGGTGTAGCCCCCAATTTACCAGGCTTCATCAACAGCATCAATCCCTCCGTCACTGTTGGCGTGGGAAAAAGACCATATACGTTCGCGTGGATTCTTGGTTTCGTCATCACGTCGCTGGTATATGTGGTCCTTTCGACAGTCTTCCCGCCGACAGAGACGATGATCCCGCGAGCGGTCTTGCCGGATGAGGTGTACGAAGGTGAGGAAGGGGCCTCGGTGACAATTGAGGGTAAGGCTGTCGATGATGATGTCGAACGAGAAGCTACTGGTGAGAAGGATTGGAAGAAGGAGGAAGATGAGCTGCGGGTCATGTAGCATTCACGTCGATGTATAGGTTCTACACGAAAGATCGTCCCTAAGTCTTCCCCTATAAAACACCCATAAAATACCAGCTCTCGTTAGGAGCCAACTCGCGTTATCAACCCCGGAGATGAACTTATGTGGAGGGCAATACCATAATCGAGCCACTGGGATTGTAAAGTAGGCGGCTTATGCTCTTCGAGGGTTGGCATGATACACTATATAGCTGTCAAATTCCATTTCCCTCGAGTCCCCCCAGAAGCCGTAGAAGGCAGGCTCAAATCCCATATTCATCATTATCGAGATACCATCGAAGCAAAAGGATGATCTTGCATCCGTGAGCGAACCCTCGATAGTCGTCATCCTAGGCATGCATTGAGACAAAGGACTGCGATTTCTTTAGGATTATTGCCCTTCTTGCAAACAATTTGGCTCTGCCTTTCCTCGTTGACTTTGTATCCATCAGGGTTGTTCCCCTCCATACGTGCATTGCCTGAATTTCGCGAAGCCACATTGGCGCTCTGCATAAACCATTTATCGTCGTTGTTTGAACAGTTGCAGCACCGCCGTATCTGAATACGGTACTTCTCGCCAGGTGGTTCTCCATCTAACTCCAAACCATACTCGCACCCTTGTCTTTGATAAGCGCTGACAGCGGGAAATACCTGGTAATGTCTGCTTAACCATAGTGGTTGGGGCCGTCGGTCCTTCTCATGAACGAGACCAGCGGGGGTGACCATCAGTCAAGCCTAGGCATCAGGAAGGAATGCACACTCTGTAGGGTCGAGCGCGAGGGGTTGGTATCAGGCTTTGCTGTTGTGATAAGGGCGAGACGTCGGCGAATGAGGGCCTTATCGATTGACGTACTAGTCGCATGGCGGCTGAAACGATCTTCAAGAAAGAAGAAAAAGGGTTAGCTAATAGGTGTGGGGAAAGCTATAGAGGTTGTGCACGGAAAAGGCGGAGTAAAGAGCATCAGCGCAACTTACATTTATTGTCAAAGAACAGGCAAAGCACCGTCAGCGCAGTACCAACAGACAGATCCTTTCCCGTGGGACACACGAACAGAATCTTTGGTGGTGAGCCATAGTCCGGAAGACTGGCAATAAATGGAGGGATGCGAGGTAATTGAGAGCGAAGAGCTCGACTGCCTAGCTTCCCATTACCACACAGTAGATCTAGGGTTCTCTTTCCTGTTTCGTCTTTGGCCTTTTGGTCTGGCATGGAGGGCGTAGCGTCACCGCAGATGACAATACCATCATATTGCTCAGCTTGCGCAGCGCTCGACAGAGTGCCAATGTGAAGTCTCGTAAGGCCAAGCTTCACAGCATCACTACTAGCGGCACCATGGTCCTGATGCGTAGTAGTCAAACCCTGAATTAGACATGGCATGTCTACCTCGACTGCTGCCAGAAGTTGTTCACTATGCCTCCAGAACAGGGTTGGCGTCAGACCATTCGACCAGCCTTCGCTGTCGTCTCCAGCTCCTTGAATGTATCCATCCTCCGACATTTCTGCGCCGAACACGCGTCTGGATGCTGTACAGCAGATTATGGTGTGATAGTGCGTGGAGGGACCGGTTTCGTGCGTGGACGTCGAATCGTGGGTGACCCAGGATGGTCGGAGTGGCTTCTTCAAGACTGAGCGTAGGGAGGATAGGTCAAGGCCGAGATCCTGTTCTGTCAGCTTCGGAGTTTCCATGGTTTGGGGTATCAAGCCTTTTTTACCTTCACATCATCAACAAACCCGTAAAGAAGCGCCTCAATCTGGGCGTGCTCTGATGCACCCACGACCTCCTTCGGCGTACCCAGCTTGTGACTTTCATGCATCTCCCCGAATAGTAACCGATTGATCACAGCACACCAGATGGGTATAGTCTTGCTCAATGCATCAGGCATGCTTTTACCTCTTCGTGTAGAGTCGACTATAATGCATCTATAGCGCCGATCAGCCCACCATTTCCACGACCTATCAGTCATGGTATCTAGATCGTGATCCTTACCCACCCACCTGATCTCCCTATTATATCGAGTACCTGCACGTTCAAGCGTCTTGTACTAAAGCTCCATTGTCCCCAATGTCCATCCGTGCTCTTGAAATAGGCGCTGCCGGCCTTTTGCTCCGGAGGAACGTACCAACTACCGCAACGCTCGTTGGCAACGATGGGAAAATTGTAGTTGGAAGCCACATTCTGGATGAAAAGCGAGTCCTGATGGATCGAGTGTAGGCGATTGGTGGTAGAGAGCGTAGTACGTTTCAGGGAGGAGAGGGTACTTGAGAAGCTTTGGGAGTTGGTGGGAAGGAGGAGGGAGGATACAGAGGTAGGAAATGAGGGTTCAACGGCCATTGCATCATGTGTTTGAGAGATTGTCTTTTACTGACACTGTTTCCTAATACTACATTCAAAATCAAGACTCAAGAGTCAGCCATTTTGGAACAATCTAGACCCGAAAAGGTTAGCGTTTGGTAAGATCAACGCTAGTAAGGTTTGCTGAGGCCTGCTTTTTGTCATTGTCTTCCGTCACTGTAGACAATGGCAGGTGATGCATTTCACCTTCCAAGATCAATAAGTAATTCTCTTATCTAAGTGTATATCCATACACTGTTGCCACTTTCCTCTACGAGTATGTCAGCCCTTGCCAGCGCCAAATCGTCCGTCGTGTCTTTGAGTCATCCTTGGCAACCCCAACCTTTCTTCTCTGACCGGGCCGGACTCTTGTTGAAAAAGGGCGATGGTATCTATCGACACCTTGAGGCTCCTGATCTAACTCGTGGCTGAATATTGAGGGCCAAAAGTCTCTAACGGATCGGAAGAAGAGCGCGCAGGATGCCAGAGACCACAGAGTGCGAAAACCTCATGCCTAGGGGCCCAAAATATGGCACTAGGAGTTGTGTCAGGTGGTGATGGGCGACGCGTGATAGGTTTTAGGAGACACCACCTCCTCGCCAATGAGTATCAGGATCAAGGATAGCCCTTGATGCATATCACCGCCAGCAACGAAAGCTCGGCTCGACCTCTGCTTCTCTTTGGCGACTTAGGTCATTCTACGCCTCTTTCACGGAGTTCATTGGCTCAAAGAGCCACAAATCTTCCCCTCGGATTGCATGATAGTGTGCTGCTGCTTCCCGTGACGTTGCTTCACCACCAATGATGTAGTATTGGGCTTTCTCCTTCAGAGAGACCTCAATCCCATCAGCAGTGTCTTGGAAATCCAACGCTTTCTTGTTACCCTTCTTGGCTTCCGCAAGAGTGATGGTTGGTCTGTCACCTCGTGGCCCGTATTTAGCTCTGTCGATGGCTCCAGGGCCGAGTAACGGCCTCTTCACAGCAGAAGCTTGCTTGCAGCACACCTCGAAGCTTCTTGGAGCTTTCCAAAAGCACCAATCTTCCCAAGAAAAAGCGTAAGGATTATGATCTTCCATCGTGAAGTAAAGATATCCCATGGTCGAGAGCCATGCCAAGAACCGCTCTGGATCTCGTGCGACAATATTATCGAGGATTGCCGTGATGTTCTCGGAGACACCTTGCTGCCCTCTTCTCTCCACGGCTTGTGCTCTGATCCTCCCTCTTCGGGCGTCTGCTGCCAAAAGGACATTCTGAAACTGGTTATGCGTCTGCTCAATAAACTTGTCTCCTGGCGACCCACCGCGATGCCTGTATCCGCGCAATTTTGCGTGCATAAACTCTTCTGTCATCTCCTCTGTGATATGGAACCCTGCTTCGCGGACCATCAAGACCCCACCTCTCCATGCAGCAAGTCCAGCAAGTTTTGGAGGAGCTCCAGGGCGTCGATCTGCGCTCCAAAATCGATCCGACTCGCGCTGAAGAATATCGAGCTGCGACGCATAAGATTGCCATGGAGAGCCGGGGACGGATGGAGGTGATCTTGATGTAACGCGCGTAAAGCTCCGAATGGATGGCTTCAATGCTTCCTGGAGTAGATCAACCTCTTCCCAGGTGCTCGGATTTTCCCAGCGCGAGTCTGATGCGTACATCACATTAACCCAAGGGACGGTACCGGCCTGGCCCATTTGTAAGGGTGCAGATGGGCCAGGTATGACACCTGAAGCGACTGGTGGTGCAGGTTGGAAGGTTCCGGCCACTTGCGAGGGGTTTTGTTGGATGCTGCCTCGCGCAGCCATGTTACAGGATCGTAACTGTTTTCGAAGCCTAGTTGAACACAGCGTTATGGCGATAAGGTGGAGACGATTGCGAAGTAGCGAATGACAGGAATTGAATGCAGGATGGTGCTAAGCGGGTGAGTGAACGATGTGACTGAGTTGAAGGACTGAGGTCGACAAGAAGGACTGGAGTTTACGATCAGCCCTACATTCTAAGGCAGATGTGTTGACATTTGACACTTTTCACCCCACGTAGATCTTCGTCCATTTGCCACTCAAGGGCATTGACGTGGCAGAACATCAGTTGGTTCCAGATGGCATGACCTTGCAATGTCAGAGGTATTTCTCCATTTGGGCTCGAATCCATCCTTCGCGAACAGAAAAGTGATATTTTCCGAAATTACATTAAATTTGGACCGCCATTACTAGAAACTGGATGAGTTGGTGCTCGATGGTATTCTTGAATGGAGGATCTATGCTACAAGCTATTATAACGCCCCAAGATGATGCCAGCAACGCCTTCAATGAGGCGCTGAAAATCTTCGATATACCCTATATTTGGAAATCCGGTAAAGAAAACGCAGAGTGATCATAAACTTCCAGCTCAGTCCGTAAGTCGTCGACTGCCACAATTCTTTCTGTCACGAGCCCTTGAAAACATTGCAAGACAGCATCCATTGCCTGAAACATTCTGAAGCAGAATCCGAAATCCTCACGCTTTATTTCGCTTTTATTGGTCATCGCCTTAGTACCTCTCTCTCAAAGCGTCCTCGAGCCTTGATCCTGGCCAGTCTGGTAGGTCGAGGATTTGCCCATTCTCTCCGCGCGGTGCTCGATGACCCTTTTTGAAAGCCTCATAATACATCGAGTCCTTGCTTGGAAGCTCCCAGTCATCCACCGACCGACCCCAATGCATAACGCCGGCCAGGATTGGCAATTGTTCGTTTGAACGATGCGCTCTCCACCAATCTTGGAATGCCCCAAATATCGTGTCGAACTGTGCACGGTAGCTCTGTTGCGGATCTGTTCTCGGGGCTGGCTCTCCGGTCCATGCGAAGTATACCTCTCGTGTGGGAAGTAACGCGTCGACGAGGCTCTGGACCTCCTCCTCATTCCAGGGAGGCACCTCGCTGTAATTTACAGATGGAAAGCCAAGATCCACGAACATTTGTTTGAAAACCAGTGCCCATTCGGCTTCAAGCTTCTGCTTTCGTGTTTGGGGTGGTTGTGCTTGAGGAGCTGGAGAAGCCATACTAGGTTGCTCGGCTTGTGGTGGAATGATTGGCGGTGGAACAATTTGCGCTGGAAAGTTGCTGGTAGCTCCATGCGTGGCTGATGCTGGATTCGGCAAGACCGGCTGCTCCGTACGCAAACGCTTCGAAGCAGGCGCATAGGCTTCTGCCTCCTCATCCCCAAGGAAGTCCCTCACCCGCTTCCTGTGGGCTTGCAGTGGCGTATCTTCCTCTTCTAGGTGACTTTCATCAAGCAATGGCATGCTCATCATGACATCGAAAGCGTGAGGCTGCGCTGGATACGACTCGATCTGCGCCAAAGAGGCACCAATAACTTCCCGGGCCTGGGGTTGAGGGGAAGTACCAGATCCGCCGACGTAGGGTACTGGCCCGTTGCTGATGAGGCCTTCATAGGTAGCGTAATGAATCCTCCCATCGATGGTCACAGGCACTGCTGTGTGTCGATAATCCCTCACCTCATTGTTCTGATCTTTCTCCCCAGTCGAGCTTACCCACGAAGGTCCTTTGCTCTTGCCACCAACTTCCCCAGCCCGCGGGATCCGTCTGAATGGGAACCTTTCAGCCGGCATTTCTTCATCATCACTCTCAACCGAGTTCTCCTGTGAAGCTACCCGGACTCTGTCGCTCTCTCTCCGAGGCTTTTCGTTGGTCTCAATCCACTTGAGTGGATAAGAGGGTCGGGCAGGAACGTATTCATCTTCATCCTCGGCCGAGGTCACGCGCGAAAGAGATTCCTTGACTTTCCGGCTGTTCCCACGAGCTTTCGCAACTTTCCGAGTTTGACTAAGCGAATAGCGTTGGGTTGGAGTGTCTTGATATTCCTCGTCGGCCGAGCTCTCGCTTGAAGATTCCTCGATTGTTTCGATTCTTCTAGGGGTCTTTGCATCTTGTCGAGTCGATCTGAGTGAATATCGTTGACTAGCATTGTCTTGGTCGATGATGGTTGGCGATTGTTCGAACATGACAAGGTCATCGATTTCGGCGGCAACGCTATCCTCTTTCCTCCCGTGGCGAGCTCGCTTGTGGGATCTGAACTGAGTCTGAACCTCTTCCTCCGAGGACTGTCCTTCATCATCAGTGGTGTTCTTTCGCTTCCGAGACTTGGGAATCCTCCTTGGCATTTCCCTTTAGCTTCGTGGGCCTAGCTGCGCCTTTGCTCCTATACTTCTTGGCGGCCTTTGGAGTCGCTGGAACAACATCGCCTTCTATTGGAAATACTGCGTTGTCGCCTTTTTTGATCTCGTTGATCTCTTTAGTAGTAAGATCTCGTCCGAAGGCCCTGACAGTGTTGTTTTGGAGATTATCCCCGTACAGCTTCTTAAGGCCCGCCTTGATCACCAAGGTCTTTGTGCGCTCTGTCCAGCTGCATAGCCCCGCATGGAACCGGAAGCGCTCCATCGGCATGTTGACGATGGAGTTGGGGAGTCCAAGCTCTTCCCAAATCGGTTGACCTTCGGTGCCGACGTTGATCTGACTCGGCATACGAGCCCAAACTGACGATAGGTTAGCGCAGGGGAGATCATACCAGTACCTGTATTACTTACAATCTTTATGCCCTAGACTCATGTTTTCCCGCCGCATGGCCTCTAATTTGTATCCTGGGATATTCGAGGCAATCGTGGAAGGAATGTCCCAATCCTTTACGGGATTGTCATGAGGATCGAGAACAACATACTTTTTCCCGTTCTCCTCCCAATACATATAACCCGGGCAATTGGGCCTGGGATTCTTCTCCCTATCTTCTTCCCAAGCGAAGTCGATATCTGGGCGGTCATCTCTATCAGGGCCCCATTGGACGTGCTTGCGGTAGAACGAAGTCACATTATATTTACCAGGTCCTGGTTCGTCTGGGTGTTCTGTGATGGTCAGTCAAGGTCTCACAGTTGTGGCTGTGTTGGGACGTACCATTTTGGACCCCAAGTGCAACTCTCTCGGCCTCTGCAATGGCTATCAGCTGGGGTCTGATGTCATCGTGCCTCACCGCTATAACTATGATTGGTCAGTTTAGCAAACTTGGAAATGGACGGAGGAGATCCTACTTCCATCTCTGTCATTTGCCGCGAGCCACTCGAGCTCGCCATCGGCGTTGATGCGAGTTAGCCCTCTACGGACTCTCGTCTTGGCCGTCGGTGACATTTTGGACTTCTTTGTTCCTTTGACCCTGTTTGACTCTTGCTCCTCGCCAGCCTCTCTGTCCTCTTCTCCCTCTGATAAATCTTCTCCATCCTCAACGTTGTCGTCCACTGCCGGCACTGCACCATGTCTGCCCTCTCTGGGACTAGGGCGAGCCTGCAATCTGTGTCTAGATGGGCGGGCATTCATCTGTAATGGCTGAGCGATTTGCATTGCTGGACCAGAAAGTTGGCCTTGGTTCCAGGAAGGAGGGAGTGTCTGTAGCCCAACACTATCTTGTTGCGATCTTTGACCTGCAAAGTCCGAGACGTTGTGTTGTGAAGATGGAGTATTCGGAATTACACCTCCATAATTACCAAATGCACTGGACCGGGAGTCTTGGTATACATTCTGGCTGGGAGCATTCGAACCGTTGTGCCATGCAATCGGAGGAGTCGGGTATGTATCTCCAGAACCACCAAATGCATTTGGCGGAACATGTTGCTGGTGACGATGGTATGGGTGAAACCTGGTAGTGCCACCTTGGCTGCTGAAGTTTCTTCCGCTGTGACTGCTTGCTCCCCAGCCCAGTAGTGCGGCTGTCTTGTTTGACGGACCTTCGATGACGGACCTGCTGATGCTGGGACATCATAGCTGGTACTGGGTTGACGGTCTTTGCGCCCCATTTGAGGTGTTGAGAGAGCCTCATCATGTCCATCAACGATGGCGACTATACTTTGTTATACTGCTGTCAACAATAACCAGAAGTCTGACGTACTTACTGGCGACATCATCCATCATCCGCACATAGTCGTCTTTGGTGTAGCCGAACTCGTCTCTCTCAGCACCTGAAAATTCGCCAGCTATGTGGTAGTGACGAGATTGGTTGCTGAACGCCATCACGATGTGGTGTGTGACAGAGCAATAAGACTGAAGATGCAAAATATTCGCAATATATATGTTTAAAAAAAGTTGCTAAATTTCAAAATGTGGTGTCAGAAGATTTGTTGTGTTGGAGGTATGAGTGTTGTTATGGCACACTCACCAAGAAATTTCCCATCGACCAATGGGCCCTACCACACACCAAGGGCGCTCTTCGTGATTTCTAAAGTGCTACATCAGATCCATTGCCGAACACTGTACTAGTACAACCAGCGACTCGACTCACTACTCGGCATCAAAGAGAATATTCTTCCACCTCGCGGTACCGAGTGTTCGATCTGTTCGTTATTGTAAATGTCCCATATCTGACCCTGATCTCCTGAATCAAACCCTTGCCTAAACTTCCTCCACTGTCAAAAGGCCTACCCTATATCTGAACTAAACCTTTTGGAAACGCTGCAAAATAGAACCCCATGTCGCGAACTCTCTGGAGCAGAACCCGAAACCCTCAAGACAACCCTGCTCAAGCCTCACAAATCCTCAGAATTCATGTCCTTCTATTCAGTATGCATCCACCTCAACCAGCCTGTGTTTTCACATCCCACAAAAGCCGCATTTCGTGCAGCAGTCCTGGCATACCGTGAACCTGCCCGCTATCTCAACGCGGTACATCATACCCGTGCTCAAAACCCCATAGTACAGCGGCGCCTTTTGCGGATGGTCTTAGTCATAGATCAATGCTCCGAAATGCATCGCCCCAGTGAGGCCCGGTGATGGCTCGTCAGAATGATCGCCCCACCAATCGTTGAACGTCGTGAAGATCTCCTGGAATTGGGATCCGTAGCTACGTTCATATTGGTCAATGGGGCCTCCCCCAGTCCAAAATCCTGCACGGATCACTCCGTATGATGGGAAGGGAAAAAGAGTGGAGCACTCCACAGACGACTCGATCCGGTTTTGAAAAAGAAGTCGTCCTCTTCCCCTAGAAACTCCCTCGTCAGTCTCCGATGCCGCTCCAAGTCCGTCTCTTGGCGTATGACGGGCGTGACATCCTCTTCGACATCTTCCTCCACTAGGTCTTCAACGGATCCGTGAGCTTTTCCCCTGTTGAGGTCATCCGCCAGATCGTCAACGTCAGTCATGTCATCGTCTACTTTCTCGTCTGTTGCGTCTTCTTGGGAGCCAATATCCCCACGAGGGTCGTAATCTTGCTCCTGTGTTTGGGCAGAATCGAAGTGAGGAACCTTTTTGGCTCCTCCACTAGCACGCCTAGCCGGCAGAGGACGAATTGGACGGCGTTTTGTCCTACTCTCGTACTCTCCATCGTCTTGGTCTTGGTCTCCAAGAGATGCTCATCGCTTTCATCACCGTAGGACCCGTCGGAAAGATGGTTTGAAGCAGGCGGCCTTGGGTTTGATCCAACTTCGATAATTTTCGGCGCTATTCCCGCCGCCGATAGAGCCTGGTCGGGGTCGAGGTTTAGCGTAGGCTTGGATACTTCCCCTCTAGCATTACGACGTCGCTTGCGGTATGAAGCTGCCGTGGCTTGTCCCAGATTCTGATCGTCAGAGGAGTCGAGATCTTCGTCGTCTTCACGGGGACGCTTTTGTCGTGGGGCTTCTGGAATCAAGGCCTTGCTCTGTCGCTTTAAGGTCTTTGTATCACCCCTGGTCTTTCTCTTCTTAGTCGCTACCTGAGTTGGGGAGCCACCAGCTGCGTTTTGCTTTGGAAACTGTGCATTCTTTCCTTTTCTGATCTCCATCTGCTCTTGTGGCGTCAGATCTCTTCCGAAAGATTGCATCGAATTGTTAATCAATCTATCCCCAAAAAGCTTTTCCAAGCCTTCTCCGATGACCTTAGTATTACCCTTTTCGGTCCAGCTAAGCAGGCCCTTGTCTCTTCGGAACCGCAACATGCGCATGTTGCACACCACGTTAGGATCTGGCGCTTCGATTACCACCTCGGTCTCTCCCGTGTCCTTGTCTTTCTTGGTCTTTTCAATCACACTCGGCATGCGAGCTATGACTATCCATCGTCAGCATAGGAGGATCACCTGAAGCAACAGCACGCTTACAATCTTTATACTCAAGATGGGGATTCTCCCTGGACATTATCTCGAGTCTGTATCCTCGAATCTTCGAGGAGAGCGTTACGGGAAGCTGAGGCCAATCCTTGACAGGGCTGTCATTTGAATCAAGAACGATCATGCCTTTGAACCGCATGTACCCCGGGTTATCGCTAGGCCGGGGATTGTTATCCTCGTCTTCGTTATAACGCCAGCAGATCCCTGGAAGATGCGCGCGATCTGAGTCCCAGTCTGCGTGCTCGATCTTGAAAGCGGTCTCGTCATCTTTTCCTGTGCCTACCGGATCTGGATCACCTAATAACCGTTAGCTGGGCTCTGACAGAGTGGAATTGTGCGGTGATTTACGATAGCTCATCCCTAGTTGGGCCGCGAGACGATTTTGCTGATCTATCAGCTCACGTCTGCAATCATCCATGCGGACAGCGGGCTCTAAATCTTGTTAGACCGGCGGCATACATCATGGAAGAATAACTTACCCCATTGCTGAACCAGTGCGTCAGGGTCTTGAAGAAATTCGAGTCGGCCGTTTTCAAAGCGCGTCTGGCGTTTCACCTTGTGCTTTGGCTTCTTCTCCTTGTTGGATCCTTGAGCCTTCGTAACCCCCTTCTTCTGGTTCTGATTGCCAGAAATGCCTTTTGTGTGCGAATGCTGGGACTGCTGAGGACCTACACTGCATTCCTCCTCTACCCAATGTTACTTCTTAGTTTGCACTAGTCGGGGTCTCCACTACTTACCAGCGAGATCGTTCATCATCTGCAGGTAGGTTTCCTCCTTTTCCCCAGCCGCGTATTCGACAGGCATCTGACCGTACAAGGACTGCTCCTTTGGCGTCATCACGGCTTATTGTTCGAGTAGTGTGAGATACTGACAATACAAGATGTCAGTGCTATATGCCTCTGGTGGAGATTGCAAGAATTCTCTTTGCGTTGTTAGGAATTTGTCTTAGGATGTAGGAGGTGTGAATGTCCAAATCAACTGTTTGAATAGGGTTTTATCTCTTTAGAGGTCAAGGGCGATGAACATAAGCCTCTTGAAGTTCAAAAATGTTTGAGTGGTGTCTGTGGAGAATAGCGGTGGGAAGGTTGTGTGTGGAGAAAGCTGTGAAAGCTGCAAGAGAAAAGGGAAGGTGCGGGATACTAAGACAACGTAAGGCTGAAGGCCAGCGGGGCTGAAAGAAAGCGGTGTTCGAAGGTAGGAAGTGTTGTTGGTGGTGATGTGTTGGAAGAATTGTGCCAAGTGCTTTGTTGATTATGGTCACTGGAAGAGAGAAAAAGGGGTCCCAGTCGTTTAATGCTTACCGGGAACAGGTTGAAGTCCGAACAACTATAATGAGACTACGCATCAAGCGGAGGGAGGCTCTATTGCAGTCAGAGGTGCTGCAGCGCTGCAAAGGATTTGATGCACTTACTCAAACTCAACCCCTTTTTCCCAAGGCTTGGCGATGCCAAGCAAACGCGTATATTTACCGAGTCAAATATATACTGACGAAGTCTCGAAGCTCTTGCTGGACTCCCTCAACTCCCTGAGAAAATTCTGCTCTCGTACCACGCCGATCTCTTTTCACAAGGGTCAATTGGTCAAAGAAGAACGAGGGCTCTCCTGCAACTCAAAAAGCTCATGTTGAGCCTCGTGGCCATGGTACTCTCATGGCAGTTTTGACGCCATTTTCTGGTCCGTCGCCTGCTGACATGGCCGTGGGTGTGGTGCCGAATGCCGGGAAAGGTGTTGCAGAGGGTTTTTAGACCGAACAACAGTACTCAAACGCTGGTCCGACCACTGTTGGCTGGCTCTGGTCTGATACACATCATATTTATATACGTTCTCCATACCCGAGATCCTCAGCATCCTTTTCTTCACGCAGGAGGGTCAAAAGGAAGTGGAGCTCAGCTCCGGATTTCACTCCCACAGTAGGAGTCAGGAATCCGGTATGAACGTGCATAAGGCGCGGTGTTCAATTGCGAGCGCAAGGTGCTTCGATCCTTAGCTCTGAGTGAGCCGTCAGGTCTCGATGTATCTCCAAAGAGGAAGCATGGATGGAGTGAACGGTGCTTGACATGATTTTCAAGAGGGGATCGTAATGGCTTGTTCTGGCAACCGTTTGATCGCTGTTTGTTGTCTGCTGAGGAGCATTGGTCGCGTGGTCCCCGGACCGATATGGTACTTTCTGTGGGCGATGGCAGCCATTACCTGACGGCGAAATGAAGAAAGGTAACCGCAGGTGATCTTTGGCTCTATCAGGCACGAACCTGCACCAATTCATTTCACTCCGTTTCAGACCGCATTGTCCCTCACAGTCTTCATCTGCCATGATGACCTGTCGAAGTATCTCACGGCTTTTACATCTGCTCTTTCCCCACTTCAGGCACAATCAAGGTTTTGATTTCCTTCAAGATCGCAATCATATGCGTCATTAGCTTTGCGGTACACACGGTCCAAGATACATGTCTCACTCCTCTATCGTGAATCATTTGCCCGGATACCAAATGACGCAATATTCGCAACGGTAGGCAATGTCGAGTCGACTTTCGTTGTGTGATGCATCAAGGCTGCTCCGCCTCTTTGTATATACCAGAAAGAAGTAGTCAGGTCGGTCAGCTGAAAGAATGGCACAATCACTGCATGATACGAATGTCATGCTAGATTTGCTCAAGTTGGCAAACAGCTAAAGGGTAGGCAACAATGAGATAATTCCATGGAAGCCACTGGATGCATACAGTGATATGCTTTATCAAAGGCTCAGAAGGGCCTTTGAAATGTGCTCTTCCTGAGGGTGGTGTGTAAGTCTAGGTTTTGGATGGTTGGTCTAATTTATAGTGTCACTATGCTGGATGTGTTTGGCGCTACAGACATTCATTGATTCCCCGCTCTAATCTCTAATCACTAATCACTAATCACTAGCAAGTATGCGATCCAGAAGCCTACCATTCACACTGAGGCTATCATCAACCCTTTCACTCTTCCTTTATTACTGCCTCTGGTCCTAGTAACTACCCGCCATGGCCATATCATGTTATTATTTCCAGTCATGATTCATTTCGTGGCTTCCTTTCATCGTGGTATCCTATCATCATCTCCCGTCATCTATGACGCCTCCATACTGGTCAAATATCTCATTCACCAACGCTTCACCGCCGCCTGCGCAAACTGTCCAACTTTTGAAGCCATTTCTCCATGGCTCTTGATATGTCATCAGATCCGGCATCCGTGGAGGGTTGTCCAATAGCGTCCAATATTCAGCTAAGCTGTCCATTAGCTGCCCCACTTGTTGGAAGTAGCTTAAAGACCTTGTTGTTTCGAGACTATCACAGTTGGTATGGAAGTGATAATTGGCTCTTGTTAGGGCAAGAGCTCTCTGTATGTCTTCCATCTCCTCTTCATTTCGTGGCGGAAGACTTCGGTAGTCGATTTCCATGGACGAATTAGGGTCTGTTTCGTTCGCTAAAGTGTCGACGATGCGTTGGCTGGTACTGGAAACAAATTCTGCCGGATCATCAATAGACCAAGTCCGTAGATCAAAATTGCAGTAAGGGTTCTCCAAAGTATTTTCGACGTCTGGACGCTGGTGAGTACAATCATGCTGAGCCGATGGTACCAGATGTTGACCGTTGTGGAACGCTCTCGGTAGCGCTGGACTAGGTGTCGTGGCACAGCCGAACCCTGCGGATGGGTTTTGCCTATTTAAAGTTGGAAAAGGCAGTGAATTGTCGCTGGATGTTGTGAATGCGACTTCGCTCGGCAAGATGGAGTTAATCGGGCCATAGCCGTGATTTGCGGAGCGCAGGAAGGGATTAAATGACGCGTCTCCATAGGGTACCCTCGGATATGAGCCCTGCGGGGCATGAATGGCGCTTTGTGTAGCTTCGCGAACTTTTCGACGCTTGCTGGGATGACTTTTCCTTCCTTGTTCCGAAGCAAAGGATGGAGGTTGACGCTCTGTGTTGCCATCATAGCTGATTCTGCAAGTCAAGCATGGTGGTTTGTTCTGACTGGATCGTAACGACGCTGACTTTGTGGTACCTTTCTCCTGAGCGTTCACTGGTGCTGAAACCTCTTTGCTTGAATTACTCTGGCTTTCTTTGGTACGCGCCCAACCTCCTGCGTTGGCATCGTGCTTTCCGGCATTCTGTTTTCGCGCTTCTTCTTGCTGGTCCTTCGAGAGCTTGCTCAACTCTCGAGTTGAGTTTGCGTCTCGGGCGGCCGGGCTCATGAGATTCCATATGTATTGCCGCAAATTCTTCGTACCCTTGCGCTCCTTCAAAGCTGGGACACAATTCTCCAATCGGAAGCGAGACACGCGCATGTTCAGTGCGCCTGGCGTTAAAATTTCGCCATTCCCGCATTCTTTGGGTCTACTATTGGTCAGTCTCTGCTGTCTAGATTCTCGAAAAAGGTATACTTACAGTCTTGCCTCAAAATCCTGCATTGTGATCCTCCGGTCAAGTCGACGAATTGCTTCCATCAGTGCACCTTCTATCTTCGATGATATTGTCAATGGGATGTTGCTGTAGTTCTTCACAGGATGGTTGTCTAGATCCAGGACAACGCTTCCTTCATCATACATCCATAAGACATCATAAGTAGGAGTCTTATAGCCGGTCATGGAGAACATGTATAGCACACCGTCTGGGATATTGGTCCAGCCATTATCCCGCTCAAGATCCCAGTCTTTTTGTGAGTCCAAAAAGGCTGTGATGTCGAGATCGTGCTCTCCACAAGCGCGAGGGTGTCCTAAACTCGTTAGCTAATCGTCCATTAGATCTAATATCGGATAGCTACTGTAGACGTCCGCCTCGCAAGTCTTAGCCATGTTGATTAATTTGGCTCTGATCCTGCAATGGTATACAGCGGGTACTACACACATGGTAAGCCCCACTCTCCATTATAATCTATCAGGGCTCTGCGGATGACCTACTCCATGCTTCTTCATCGGCTTTCCAAAACTCGAGGAGTCCAAAATCGTTGTACCGCACCTTGCCTCGGGGTCCGTGATTTGATCCAACTCCACCGGGCACAGCGGCCTCCCTCGCTGCCATCTTTGACTGGCGCGCTGGTTCTTGGTTGTGTCAGCTGGCATTCATAGGGTAGCAAACATATTGCAAACCTCCTCGCCGCTTTCTCGCTTGAGACTTTAGTTCTTTCAAAGTCACGAATGTTAGTTGCTGGCATACAGGCTTCCTCAGGAGGATGACTTACCAGCATCGCCGTTTTCTCCATTCTCAAGACACCTCCTAGGATTACTCAAGAGGTATTTATCCCATCGTGCATCACGCATTTGGGGCGGAATGTTCTCTGTCCCGGTCAGTATTGTCCCTGTCCCATCTCGGAGCTTCAAACTTACGTGCAGCTCGCGAACTACCAGCGGTTGGGATATCAAATTGCTGTCCAGCAGCATATGAAAAACCTTTCTCCAGGTAAGTGGTCCAACTTCTTGTGTTCTCAGCAGTGACAAGCATACTGTGTGATTCATAGTGTTGTCTAAGGTACCCGCCGACCGACATGTGCTCACTTGGGATCATAGGGGGCCCTCGTGGAGGCGGCATGTTGTCAAACAAACGTTCAGAGTGCCAGAATCCAAGGACTTGTCAAGACGGTATGTCCAAAGCTCCCACCCGGGTGCAGATAGTAACGTAGATATTCCGCGATCTCGAAGGTCTTCAGCATTCGACGGCGTTAGTGCTGCTTTGTGGTGTTGGTCGCACTAGCTTTGGAGGTAGTCTCGTCGATGGGAATTTGACTGATGAAGCGGTGCTGGAAGATTGCTGCGTCGAAAGAATCGGAAGATAAATTTAAAACCTTCTGAAGATGGTCGCTGGGCAAGTTCACATGCTACGCAGATCTCACGTCTGGACCGCGGCGCCGAACATTTCCGAATATAGAGTCTGGGAGGGCGTACAACGAAGTATAGGCTCAGGTGGATGCTGTAGAGAGATGTCGGCGTTAACCTAAAACAGGACCAAGAATAGAAGGGTTCGGTGAAGGAAGAGCTCGGGAAGGGAGAGCAAAGCTAGAGCGCAGGTAAGCTGCCAGAAAAAGTAGGCGCCTGGTTCCTAGTGTCTCTGTTGTCATCAAAAGATGAGAGACCTGCTCCTCGCATTAATAGGTGTCGATCTTTGTGTGGCATGAACAGCTCCAAGTGCAGTCTTTTCGGCTGACTTCCGAGAGATTTTGGGCTTGATGACTCGGTTGATGATGATATGTGCGGATTTGCCTCTTGTACGCCCGCCGAAGATAAACTGGCCCAAATCTAATCAATATGTCCATGAACAATGAGCTACGGGGAGGAGAAGAAGCACCAGATTCAGCTACTCGGTGGTGTACACAAGAGGCCAACAGCAAGCGACGACGTGAGGATGCCATACTATAGAAGAAACTCCACGAGTTTCAAGCGTGCGTTTCACTGCCCAAGCGTATTCTTGGAGACGAGAAACGCAGGAGGCTCCAGGCCAACTACCAAGGAGCCGATGTCTGCAGAACCTGATTGGATACAGCTCTCGTCCGAGCAAAAGCTGCAGATTGTGGTCCGAAACATCCCTCGGCCCCGTCCGACGATCCTTGTCCCCCCCCCTCAGTCATCCCGCCAGCGCCTATGACTCGGCATAAGAAGCCTACGGCGTTACGCCAAGAATAAATCAAGCCTCCAGGTTTGGCGTCTAGAATGTTCCAATCATTGGCAGATTAGGTCGAGGTACTTGATACTGCGCTTGTATAGAAGGGTACGTTCGGGTGATGATTCTACCAGAGTGAAGTAGGTCATTCAAAGTGAACCAGTATGTATGTTGACAGGTGTTTGAAGTGGCCGACGGTGATCTTAACGTATTGTAAAGGCGCCTTTTTTTCGTAATATTCGCTGTAAAGGATAACATGAACCCCATTTCAACCTGTCGCGCGAGCTCTTTGGTTTGCAGGCTGCGAGGCCGAAGTTGTAAATCACAGTGACACAATTTGGGAAGTTCTCTAGGCGGCAAGCGTCCGGCCCCCTGCATCTCTCTCGCGGACGTACTCGGGTGAAACCATTCCAGAGACAACTCCTCTGTCTCAGTCTCCTTGGCTGTCGCCAGAAAAGTGCCTGCAATGATATTTTGGTAGCTGCTACAGCCTAATGAGGGGTATAAATTGATGTAAGTCTTTCTAAACCTATCAAATATGTCCATTTACCGATGTCTAAGAGTAGGGAAGATGACCGTAAGAAACGTTACACCAGAAAAACAAAACCCCAGTCCTTCCTGCTTTGTGAAAACCTATCACTCTCTGGCTCACAGGAGGCATAGTCGAAAGACTAGAAACAGTGGCTAACTTCAAGCCCGAACACAACCCGATTCTGAAGCCAGCAGCAGCTCCCTGCCGCCTCCCTCAATGCACTCGAGTGTAACCGTCCTGATACAACTTCTCCTCGTCCTCCTCTTCCTCCTCCTCCTCTTCTGAGCCTTTGAGATGCACGAGACTATATATTGCTCTTTAAAGTACTACTGGGTTGTAGCGAGCACGGCGGCCTTTAAGATATGTTGATCCAATGAGTGACCAGAAAGATGGGAGGACCTCAGAAACCCGTGGGGCCATACTGATTAAACCAAACCTCGTCGGAGTCGTCCCACTGTGGCTGGTAATCTCGAATCTGGTTGAAGACTGGCGGCGGCATTTGCGAGATCGATATTGCCATCGGCTGGGAAGTATACGAATTTTGTCCCAGGAAATCTTGATAGCCTTCATGGCTGGGCTCGTGGAACAGAGGGTGGAAGGCTGGTGGGATGTTGCTTCGTGTAGAAGGAGGTGGAATATCGTTGGTGCTGTCGACTTGCGATGCAGGCTGGATGTCGTTGGGGAAGGGTTCCTCAGCCTCGATCTGGTGCCAGTAGGCACTGTCAACGACATCCTCCACCAAGTTGCCATCCGCCCCCATGTGACGAGGAGTACTTTGCTTGTACCAGCATACACCGATTTGCCCAGTCTGCTGATTGCCACTCTTCCGTGCCTGTATCACTGCATATGCACTGGTAAAATTTGCATCCTCGACCAAAGCGAATTCTTTATCATCAATGTTCGTGAAAAGAGGGACAAGGACCTCTTCGTTCTGGTCGTCCCATGGCGCGGTAGTATCTATTGGGTTGCCCCATTGCTCGCGGTCATTCCATAGTCCAGCAGTGTCTGCGGGCTCGTCAAAGAGTTCTGCGCCGTCCACGTTGGCATCCCTATTAGTGTCATCGTAGATAGATTCCGGAATCAGGTCGTTGGGACTTGGCACTTCTACTCCCAAGCTCTGTAGCGTTCGGGCGCAGGGTCTTTTGGCTTTTGGTGGGTCATGCTCGGGCTCGGATGGGGTGTCATCGTCGCGATGCGCCTTCCGCTTCGTTGAGGGTGGCGTAGTCTCTGGAGTTTCCTGGTTCAAATCCTTGTTGACAACATATCGAGAGTTCCCCTTGAACTTTCCCTTATTCGCCCTTCTAATTTTATCAACCTCGTCTGGATTAAGGATTGGCAGCCCCTCTGTAGTCTTGGCGCCTTTCTTGTCAAGACTCTTGAGTATACTCTCCTTGTATGTCTTGCTCCCGTTTTTGGGGTTGGAGGCCGGGATCTGATTAGGAACTCTGAACCGATACGCGCGGTTCGTGAAAGCCTGCGGGGTCTGAAGGGGTAGAACTGCCCCCTTCTTCTTTCTAATGTGTGGCATGCGAGCCAAAAGACTGTGGTGGATATTTGTAAGCAAATGACTGTCTCTGCAGTGACACGACTTACTCTGCGACTGTCAGCCATGGATAAATACGCATCAAGGCCTCCCATCGCCAACTTTCGATCTCCGTCGACAGTGTCTTGTTCAAGCCAGGCCAATCCTTCACTGGGTGGTTCTTGGAGTCTAGCAAGACCAGGCCGTCGTGGAATCCAATCGCTTGGCTCTTGTTGAGGGCGACGGCTCTTTGGCTCGTCAAATTTAAACATCACCCTTTCCCCTTCCGAATCGACAATATTCTGCCAGTCCGCTCTAGACGGGCCCCAGCTTTGCTGCTCAGGCTCATAGCTCGTCGTATCGTGCTCAGCCTCGCCACAAGCTGGCGTGTGGTCTATTATCATTAGTTGCAGGTCCTTGGTAGGGGCCTAGGGTATCTCACCAAACTCGCCATCCTCAGCAGCTTCGTCAAGGAATTGTCGGCGATAGTCATTGTGATATGCGGCCAGCGCTTTAGTTCTGTTAGCTTCAATTCGGATGTGCTAATTGTGAATGTGCTTACTCCACTCCGGATTATTCACATCACGGAACTCCATCCGCCCATCTTCCCTTATCCTCACCTCGCCTTTTGGCCCAAGAGAACCTGTCTTTGGGGCCTTACCCTCCGCAATCCTGACATTCAACTTTGATATCTTCCTTATCTTCCTCTCACCCTCGTCACCAATGTCATTGTATGTTGGAGTTGTCTTTGTACGTTTGGACCGTCTTGTCGATCTTTGTGATCCAAATGTGGTGTCTTCAGGGTCCTCTTCATTGTCTACGGACAAATCGGCATCTGCTCGAATTCGCTTTTTGGAAGATCGGATGACCCGATTGTTGGTCTCTTTCTGTGGAGGGATTTCGACTTCCATTTGCGCTTGCAGAAAGCTAGTGGCCGCTTTAGTTTCTGGAACTGCGCTTGATCCTAAGACTCCGTCTCTAAAAGTGGCACGGTCGATCAGGCCAGAATCAGGGTATCCCGAAGGGCTCAAAGAAGGTGGTATTTGAGGGGTTTTGGGGACGTCAGAGTAATTCCCCCGGGTGGTGTCCGGTCTCGCAGGTGTGTCTGGGCCTACTCCTTGCAAGTCTTTTCGCGATTTTGGGAAAAATCCTGGAGCTCTCTTCGTGCTCCGACGGCTGTTTGATTGGTCGATGCGTCTTCCCGTGGTTGTTCCTTGAATGCTGGGACCTTACGGGGGTACTAGCTTGAGCCCCAAATAGTGCAGGGTCAAGGGCGATGTTGTGGTTTGCGGTGTGTCTCGTGTTGACTGCTTTCTTATTAGTGAAGTTTCCCATCTGAGTGTATGATCACATACTGTCTTGCATATCACCTGCCACGAATTCTTCCTCATGGAATCCCCGAGTCATGATGGTAACTTATCTTAGGAATGGGATTTCAGGTGTTGTGAAACTGCTACCTTCGAAAATAGGGCTCTTCAAGAGCTTGTGGTACAGTAAGCTGTTGCCTGTGAAAAGCCGGGAGACTTGTGGGAGAACCGAAGTATGGCTGTAGAAGCAAAGTACTCAACACCAGTTAGGCTTCGTCGAGGTGTGGTTGTGGTGCTGGGAGGTGTGACGAGGTAAGTGATAAGAGGCTTGGTGTTGTGAAACTGATGTGAAGTCCAACAGAGCGGAAGCAGAAGTAGGTGGGGTGATCGACTTGAGAAGTGTTGTTTGTCAAGGGAAACTCCTTGGTGCGTTGGAAGAAAAGGAGGTGCGATATCAAGCAGCTGAGGCGTCTCTTCTACAAAGCAAGTATGCAGGTAGAAGGAGTCTCGAAAGGTAAAGTCTAACCACCAGCCTTCAAGAGCTTGAGGAAGAAGTCTGATGGTGTTCCGAGTAGTGATGGTCTGGAGTCACTTGCCGGCAGAGAGATAACAAGGCCGAGGCACGTGACGACGCGGAAACTCGGCAGGGAAATGTAAACAAATCCTGCGGTTCTGTGTTGATGCTGCCAAGTTTGCTGAAAGCGGTCCAAATCAACCAGAAATATCCTTCAATCCTTGCCGTTGCCATAGACTCAAGGTTAAGACTTTTGATGCAGTGGTACTACATGCTTGATCGATCACAGAACCGCCATTCCTACTGGTTATAGACCGTGGTGCGTGCATTCAACGCTCAGCATGTGCTTCTGGCACTCTCTCAGCACGCCCACAGGCTGGCGATCACTCACCACTTCTCGAATGGTTTGGAAAAAAGGAAAAGTTGTCAAGCGTGCCTGCCTTCGTCAATATCAGAAATGAAGGGGTACAGAAGAGGTTAATGTAGCCAGTCTTGTGGAGGCCAAATCTTCTTGCCAATATTCTCAAACTTCCAACCAGTTAGCATTGTACACATTCAGTAATGAAGTTGAAAAATCGGACATCAGCGTGACACATACCGTCAATGAACAAGTCATAATATTCCTTATATTTTTAAGATCAGGTTGAAAAAGAGTCCTGGAACAAGTCGTAATATTCCTTATATATTTTTAAGATCAGGTTGAAAAAGAGTCCTGGATAAATTTTGAGCAAGTCATTATCTTGACAAAAGAATTCCTACTGAAAAGAGTGTGTTGGTCAGTGTGTTGGTCTATGACATGAGTATCCCTAAGTTGAAAGCCAGAAGAAGTATCATGTACAAAAGCGTGCTGATCTAGAACAGTAACCATGAGCCATTTCGTCCACTCCACCACTCATGTTTCTCCCACATCGCTCTTTGCAAAGCAATCATCAAAACCTTTGTCGACTTGAAAGATATCCCTAAACGAAAGGCCAGAAGAGAAGATATGAAAGACCGAGACAATACCTTTGCACACGCTGTCGTCATTGTTCCAACTCGTCAATATCGTCGTACAGTCGTCAATCGTTGTGGTCACATCAGAACTCTGTCAGTCCCATGCAACGCTCCTCCTCTTTGTTGTCTCTGTTGACTACCATTCAGTATCTACTCCTCGTCCCCATCAGCGTATTGAGAATCCTCAAGGTATTCCCCAAACAAGTCATCACTCCAATCATTGGGCTCTCCATCGTGCTCTGGCCCGCTAATGGAATTCGGAGCTGTGGGAATACTCTCAGTACCAACATTTGCGGAAGACAGTTGGGCATGATGATCGGTAGCCGACGCTTCGGGGCCGGGCGAAGCCTTAGGGTCAGGGTGCAATATGATCCACAGCACTTCATTTGGCAGAATTGGAGTAGGGACCATGTTGAAAGAGCCGTACCATGGACCAATGTCAGCAAGCGGCGGAAGACCGCCCTCTATTATCCAGTTTTGCGCAAGAAGCGAAGAAATTCGAAGGTACTGATCGGCGTAGGTACCTTCTGAGGTATGCATCGGGTGTTCTCCTATCAGAGCATAGTAGTGCGCACGCGGATAGAAGAGCGCCGCTTGGATTCTCAGCTGCTCGAGAGGATTCTGGGGACCGACAAAGCGGTAATCGACTTGAGTGTTGTCAACTTGAAAATCGTTGGTGGAAGCAATTCCTCTACTATTCGTTGCCTCCGGTTGTTGTGGAGGGATTTCAGGCACACCAGTGTTCTGACTTGGAACAAAAGTGTGCGAACTACCCGGATCTCGTCCTCCGAACATCAATCCCAGTCCACTTGCGTTTGATTCTGATTGCACGTGATCCGAATTGCTTGTGCTGATGATACTCGAAGCATCGTAGGCATTTGGTGCTTGTTGAACTGGGTCGGCCGCCGTTAAACATGCAGGAAAATGTCCCTCCGAACGTGGGTCAAGTGGTGAATAACTATGGCGACCTCGCTTTGCTGCAGACTCTGACTGGCTGACATCGGAATCTCCGAGACCAAAGTCCTCCCGACGCCGCTTCTTACCCGCAATGAGTGGAGGCGTGGGGAGAAAGGTGATTGGAGAAGCAGACTGCCATGGTGTTGTGGGCAAGCTTTGTAGTCGCTGCGGACTTTGAGCTTGTCTGGCCGCTTGCCGCTCGAGTTTTTCGTCGAACTTTTTGTCCCTCTCTTTTCGTTCTTCCTCGGAAATGGCCCGACCGGCTGCCTTGTAGAGATGTATTCCACGAGTTGATGACTTCCGCCGCTCTACCTCATATCTTGACAATGCTTGCAATCCCTCTGTCGATGTCGCCGCCTCCTCAGCCTCCGGGAGTTGATCAATGACCTGTTTCTTCAGGACAGCACTAGCTGCCCTTGAAAGCCAGGCTGGCGTTTGGTATTGGGCTCTGAATCGACTGGAACGGTGACCGAAAGTGCTCGGAAATGATAGTGGTTTCGTATTAGCTCCGGTCGCCGCTGTCGGTACCGCACGAAGACATCGGGCTCTGAAGTCCTGAATGGTCATGGGCAGTATGCGTCGCAACGCCTCCATTCTTCCCCCTTCTATTTGAGATGAAAAGCACCTAGGTATTCCAGCCCACGCTCGTACAGGGTTACTAAGAGAAGAATTAGCACAGCTTTTTCCCGAAAGGGACAACGCGGAAATTTTACTTACTTGTCTCCATCGAGCAGTATATGGCCGTCGTGAATCCACATTTCAGGCTCATACTTGGTCTGGTTGACAGGTCTGTCAAGCAAATAAAGAACTTTGTTGCCATCAGCATCCACGATATTGTCCCAGCTGCTTCGATCTGCGAGCCGCCATTCTAGTTGATTGTATGCCGAGCAGGCACTGGTGATATCGTTTGCACCTCTGCCGCGATCTGGGGCGACAATATAGGTTCCTTCAGCGCTATCTTGTCTGATGAATTCGTCGCGGTATTGGTCGTGATAGGCGGCTTTTCGCCAACTCTTGTCTTCAGAATCCCACCACTGGAAGACACCCTCGCGCCATCTTACCCGACCCTTTGGGCGATCTGTTGAGGATATCTCACCCTTGTGCTCAATCGCAATTTTCTCTCGACGTTCGGCCCGCTTTGATTTGGGCTGCTCTTCCTTGGGCTTTGCCTGACTCTTAGACTTGCTCTTTCGCCGCCGTGACGACACAAAGTCGCGAACTTCTTCTTCCGGTGTGTCATCATCATCGACCGCGTTGGCCTTCGTTTCTTGAGTCTGCGGAGTACTATAAGGGCTTGCAGTCGAGTCTTGGTAGTCCGAATACCAGTCTTGGGTCTCTGCTGGAGCATAGCCTTGGACTAGAGCATGACGTCCAGGAGTATACCCTTGGACTGCGGCATAACCTTGGGGAACATACACTTGTTGTTGGGGTGGTTGAAAGTCGTCGCCGTGTATGAATTGGGCCCATTCATTTCTGTTTCGATCCTGTTCGTCGCTCATTTGGGCGAGAAAGTTAGGAATTGGGACGAGCGTGGAGAACCTTTCCTGGTAGAGCTGAGGTCGAGAGTGGCTTATTGGAGTGGGAGTATGAAAGACCTGGATTTGTTGGATGAGTGCCTGGGATGCAGGGGATGAGGAAGCAACCAATCAGAAAAACTGAATATTGAGACATGGGAACCAGGGGGTTATGAAGATAATCTGCTAAGTGTCGAGCACAATGAGATTCAAAGTGTCATGATAATAGGGTGAGTGTCCTCAAGACCACAATGAGAAATCCTGGTTTGAATAAAGGCATTATGGGTAGACCAAAGAGATCTAGCGTAGAGCTTGCAAGCTGTGCCGACATGAACAAAGCGATTATACACTGTAAATTTTCATAGGCTCCTGGCTTTGTGCAAGATGTCTTTGGGATGCCACTTCATCCACGCTGAGTCTTCCCCACAGACGAGCAAGACATGTGAAGGACTTTTGAGATCGAAGCAAATCTTGATAGAGGTCCGTGATGCTGACTGTAAGAAGGAAGCTTCCTTTGCTGATCTCTTTTGCAATGGCAATTTCCGTATCAGAAACTTGGACCTCATCGTAAAATGGCGCATTCGTCGCACAGCCAAACTTGATTGTATAGCACCGAACAAGCAGCTTCAAGCATCATGTTGCCTTATCGATTCAAGGAAGGAAAAAAGGATCAAACAAGAACCTCTAGTCGAGGCCACCCGATTATGTTTATTGTTGCATTATCCTGTATCTTTGTTCAGGCTGATACCATCTGTATCTCGGTCCAGACATCGTTCAATATGGCTCCTATTCAATGCATTAGTGAAGTTCGAGTAATGAATTCGGAGCATCGTGGGTCACTACAACCATAATCCCTAAAAGCCCATAGTAGCCAGTATCCTTTTCCGTTCTGTAATCCTGGATTTGTGTAAACATACACTGACAACGCTAGGCATCGATAGGCACCGTCCCAGAAAAGGTGACAGTTTATAGCCACACGAACCCTAAAAATTCATCCTCGTTGGCGAAGGAAATCACTTCTCCTACTTTTGACCGCCATTTTTTTTGGATTCCTTGAGATGAATAGTCAATTTATCCTGGTCGATACTCATGAAAGTGTGCCAAGATGCGGGAGACATCAAGATGCCAAGCCGGCAAAGAAAGCACGCTATGTCCCAGAACACACTGGCGGCGTGGCTATATCATGTCAAGACAGATGACACCCAATCTTTACCTACCATGATAAGGATTGTGTACTCTGTGCCGTCGGATTTCATCGATTTCTTCTCTTCCACTCTAGATTTTGGGGCCTCGGAAGCCCGTCTCGGTATCTGGGTCCTCTTCCATGCTGTCGACTCTTTAGTCGTCGGCCTGATCTGTGGCAATCCAGTTCTGAATCAACCAGGATTTCTTGTTCCTCATTGTCATGCGGTTGCCATCTTGTAAATGCATAATGCCCTGAGTTATCACTGTTTGAGGGTGTGTTGTCGGCGGACTGTGTCGCAGGGCTGGCTGCAGGACTACTGCCTGTCAGCAAAGGCACGTGAGACATCCAGAAGGTCATACTTACGCTGGTGAGACTGGCCAACTGAGCCGCTGGCAAGCTTCAATGCTGTATGCGCTACTACTACATTGGTATCCGCGAATGTAATCAGGTTGTCGTCGTGGGGTGGAGAAGCGTTGAATCTTCTCAATTCGTCTCGCTGCGCGTGTTAGGAAAGTACTATTAAGGCAGTGAGTCTATCTAGTAGTCAGCACGGATAGTCATTCTTTCGCTATTTCTCTACTTGTTGGGCTGTTAGCCTTTGTAATTTACCTCTCCGCGTGCTTTTCGCTGTCTGTGACTCGACAATTTCTTTCATTATCTCAATAGCAGGTGCAGCTTCCGTTCTAGACATTGTCAGAGCGTTCGACCACCTACCAGTAATGAGTATCTGACGGAACTTGTTAGGAAGATGTTGTAGGGATGAGGCCCTCTGGGTTGACACCCAGCTTTGTTTGAGGCCTTTTCTGACTGCAACAAGCCTAAGCTGTTCCGCCGCTCGTTTGTCAAGGATTTTCCTGGCTCCATTGGAACTTGCTGTTGCTGCTCCGAAGATGTTGGAAGTGTGGGCCGACCCTGGCAGCTCACATCGTTTGTGTTGACTGACCTTTGGAGCTCTTCGAAGCTTTTGGTCGATTCCTCGAGCCTTTTGAGATAGTCAAGGATTTTGTTGGTTCTATCGGATTTTTGTCTAAGTGAGAGTAAGAACTTGGTGGCGGATAAAGGGGTGAGGAGTGATTTGGGTGTGAAAAAATGCTTTGAGTCCCACTGTGTCCCAAAGCCGAGCCACTAACAGAAACATCACAACAAGTGACAGTCTGTCCTCCCACCAACTAAATACTCAGATAGGATCTTAAGCTCGTCAAGCTCGAGCCCACAAATCAAAAAACTTCATCCTTTTGCTAAAAACATTTACCCTCCACTCAGCCACTTTCTTCTATCACAACACTCCATATCCCCCCTCCAATCCACATATCCAGTACACTAATCGCACCTTTCTTCTTCACAGCTGTAAGCTATCCTACTCTGCCCGTTTCATAATCGACACTCTCTCGCTCCCTCAACTCGCCGTTTTCACTGTTCTGACCGAGCTTGTCCTTCCTCAGACCAACATGCCTGCTTTGAGAAAGCAGGATTTGCCCTTCCCAGGGTCCAGCAACGCCCCGATCGAGTCCCAGGACACTGCCGACATCCCTTGCGACGAATGGCACTTTTCTCGGCGCTATGGTCGCGGTGAGCGGCGCTATGATTGCGGCGGACGGCACTATCCTCCCATCGTTTCGAGAACTGGTCTCGAGGCCGAGAAACATCCTGTGAAGGAGAATGCTTGGCCCCCCCGGGTGGTCGAGTGGGCCCCTTCTCTCGACCTAGCCGAAGAGTCGAGACACGACCGGCTGGCTGCCATCGAAATGGCTGCCATACCATACCCTCCTCGACGAATATCCCGCTTCAATGACGAGCAAAAGGCTCAAAAATTCCTGACTCGCTTGGCCCGAGAGACCATTGCGAAGAAAGACGCGCAGACCCCCTGGGAGGTCGAGTGGTTTGAGAGTTGGAAGAGTAAGTATCTGAATCTACTTGATCAACATCTATTCTTGTGGTAACCATAGCTGCTGCGAAGTACAGAACGTTGTTGAGTGTCGAGGATACCCTGGTTAATGATTTGGTAGTATCCAATACCTTCCCCATCATGTCACCAACGTCCACACCAAGAAAACCGCCTTACACCAAGAGACGCAACTGGTTTTGGGATATGCCATCTGTGGAGTCTGAATGGAATGTCGAACCTTTTGCGTACCGTGGCTCCACCCATAAGCTACTTGCTGGAGTCGATGCCGCGCTATCAAAGCTCATCGAGGAAGCCGTCGACACTTCGGAGAGCGAGGACCCAGTGGAGGTGGATGAAGACTACGTTGAAGTTGCTGCGGGACCGTCAGTTGCCTGCTCGGTGGAGAACGATTGGGAGCTTCTGGAATTGCTCTGATGCTGTCATCATGAGCTCGATCAGGTCAGTTCGCTCCCCAAATGCCGCCTATCGCTGGCTAACAACTGATCAGCCTCCCTTCAGAACAGGCTTTCGATGCTCTATACGACACACACCATGGCATTCACCCTTTCATCTCGATAATTCTTCTTCGCTTACACCGGCAATGTCTACACATCATGATGCATTTGCATCCATCTCAACTACATGCATAGCGGGTCTTTCAAAAGTTTTGTGGCCAATTTTTACGGCAATGAATGCCAAGATGCGAGCAGCTGGCGGTTCGCTTAGCCTTGGTGACTTATGTCCTTGCGAGGCAATGGACCTCTATGGTAGCTCGATATCACCATAGCAAATACGATGTTGCTTCACCTTCAACTTCTTAAGGTCCAGAGCAGTAGATATTATCGAGTTGAAAGAGAAGCTCCATTCTGGTGCCTGAGGCCTTGATTTGTGGCCGATATCCCCTTCGTTGTAACTTCCAAGTCTGGTAATAAGCTAGCCTACTGCAAACTGGCATGTCATCTGGACATTATACCTATGTTTGACCCATTCTGCAAAAACGTATGTTGAGAGGGAGGTGACACGAAGGGCCAGATAGGCTACGAAGGACCTAAGCATCTACATCTACCTTTTTCGAAATCCAGCACTCACTTACGACTGAGGCCTTAGGAATGTAGCGTGATAGTATTTGCTATGATAGTGAGGATCTACCATAGAGGTCTCTTGCCATAAGATAGCACCATCAATCCCACGGAGCACACCAAGCCTTGAGCTCTCCTTCGCTCATATTAAGAAATCAACTGCTGTAAAAGACACCAAACGCTCTCAAAGCACCCGCAATGGCTGTAGTCGAGACGGGTATGTAGCCCCCGTCGTGTGTAGCTATTTTGGCTGTCGGGGCGAGCTGGTGTCGAAAGAAAAAAAGATGCTGCTGTAAAAGCGATCGTCGAAGGGAGCCCGAAGGACCAGCACAGACTTGTCCTGATGGGGGGTCAGCCTATTGAAAAACGTGGTTTGGCTATCTGTGATTTCTAGGACTGACCTTTTCGAGCTCTCATCAGCGTCGCCCGAACATTCAAATTTCCTCCCAGTCGCTCATCTCCATCTCATCCACTACCTCCAATCCCTTCACGTAGTCTTTGTCCTCATCCACCTTCACGTAGTCTTTGCCCTCATCCACCTTCACGTAGTCTTTGTCCTCATCGGCGGGCTCAGTGCGCTTGTGACACCTGTAGGCAGTTTTGTTTTCTTTAAAGACAGTCGTGCTAGGTCTATCGCGGCACACTGGAGGCGTGGCCGCCTCCATTCGGATGCAAATCAGGTCTCTCCTATCCTGCTCCTCTTTGACAGTCATTGGCGTGTTGTTCTGGAGTGGGGCCATCGTGATGGGATGTGATGTTTGTGGGTTGTGGAAACAGAGGATATTGTGCGTTTTCGATAAGTTTTGGAAGCAACACAATCCGGGTGATAGGGCTGAACTTTGATGTCGCTGGTAACCATCACCAAGACACCAACAACGACCCCAAGTCCAACATACTCTACCTCATTGTCCTCGGAAAAAGGCTAACATGGCTATGGCCACGCATTCCACATATTCGCGACGCCCTGGCATAGCGGTGATGCTGCACGTTCTGGCATGATCCCAACCTGAACTTCCTGTACAGCAACAAGCCTTTGGGGTGACCTACCTCAGAAGTACTATGATCCAGTCAGCAGATGAGTGATACAGACTTATCATGGCGGCCTCCACCCTCAAACTCTTATGGGCTCCAGCTGGAACGTCTCCATTTGTGTGAGGGAAGCGGGCTTCCTGTCCAGCGACAAGATTTCCCTTCGCCTTCCAAGCTTTCGGGATGACTGTAATCATAGCTATGTTTGTTGTGCATTAGGCTCTGACCGTCAGCTTCCTGTAAGTTGAAGTCAGCAGCCCTTGGCTCCTTCCACAAAGGCCTGAGGACTGTCTCCATATTGATCAACAATGGAGGGATGCTTTGGAGATGAAAGTGATTTCTAGCCATGTCTATCTTCGATTGCAACCTGTGCTGACCATACGAGTATGGGCTAGAGCTTGAACAAGAATGAAAAAAGGCTATCGAAGAGCGTACTAAAGCCTATCAAGAACTCGCGAAGCGAGGGACAGGACGAACGACATTTCAAACACACTGAAGGATCTCCCGGGAGAGAGAGGGGGGGACGAAGGCTGTTGGAGAGCGTACGAGCTCCACGAATGACTCACGAAGAGAAAAACATCAGGGACATTTCCCACAGATGTCGGCTATCTGCAAAAGTCGACCGACGCAGCAAAGAGGGAACAAGATCACAAGGGTTGCTTCCTTCCGAAACAAGGATCGTGCTCCACTTCAGCCCGCTCCCAGTCGAACATCGTTCCCTCCCAGCGCCCCAGACGACGCAGCGCTGTAGCGTGATCCAAAAAGAGGTCGTCCATCTGGTCTTGGATGTTGCAGTATTCCGATATGTAGTTCGATCCTTCGTACACCATCGGTCTGACTCCGAAGATCTCCGTGAAGTGATCCACCGTCACTTTCAGTGCATCCCGTATCGCGTCGACCTCATTGGATAATTTGGGTACGTGATTTCGGGGATCCGAAGAATCGACAAGTGGGTGCATGAGCGCTTCTTCTTCAGTCATGGCTCGAAGAAAGGGAACCTCCATGCAACAAAATACAAACCGTGGAGGCGCGGCGTCGCTCACCTCCGCTGCCATGGAGTCGTCTTCTTGATTGTTGTTGTCCTCGACGGAGTTTATGGGTTCGTCGAAGAATTGATTTAGACCCTCGGTCGTGGCAGAATCTAGACCGGCAGCCTTTTCGATCACGGCCTTGTACCTCTTCTTGGACTCTTCAGATGTCCCCTCCTTGGCACGGCCTGGCTTTGTACCGAAATTTGGTAGGCGCATCTTCCCGATTTCAGCTTTGGTTAGATCGCGAGAGCCTCGAGTCGAGTTATTGATCGGCTTCACAATACCCTCGATATAGCCTTTTATCTTATCGGACCCCTCACGGGTATCCCAGCTGGTTGCTCCAGCGATTTCGCGAAAGTGACGGGATCTGCCGGAGAAAGTGCTGGCCTTCGAGAGGGCTTTGTACTTTGTGACACCTTTTTGAATGGTCACGGTAAATGGGGGCCTACGAACGAAATCTGGTTAGTATTGTAAGGTGAGAATTGATACCGCGACTCTTACATTCGAGCCCTGATATCTTCATATGCCATCTCGCTGTGAAGACGAGTGGCGGGCTCCATGTAACCGCCTTCGAAGGCGGAGGATATTACTAGTGGGATCTCACGAAAGTTGCGGACTGGCGTACGCCAGTAGTCGATGACGAGTGAGCCTTCGTGGTAGAGATTGTTGAGTGGATATACTGGATCCTGTCGGTTGATGCGCTCCCACTCGAACATGACAGGGGCATAGTGGGGTCTATGCAGGCCCCAATGCTGTTCCACCGCGTTGAAGCAGGTGAGGTTGTAGTTTCCTGTACCTCTCTTACGAGGGAAGGCTGACGAAATTAGCCCACGTATGATGTTTAGCTCGTTGAAAAGCTTACCATAGCTACCTTTGAGATTTTCACCACGACTCAGATCTGCCCTAATCCAATGATGGAATGTGGCTCGTTCTAGTGTCCGTCAGCAGATTTTCCCGAACATCCGGCCTTCCCTATACTGACCTGATATGTAGGTACCATCTTTCTTGTATGAATACCATAGGTTCCCTCTTGTATCGAAATGAATCTCTCCTTCCTTCGGGATATCCACTTTTGGTTCCAATGGCACTTCTTCCTTGTTCTTGCCCTTTCTTCTGGACTTGAGAAGAGATTTGGGTTTGGTCTGCTTCTCAGCCTTGGTAGTTCGCAGGCACTTGTCGTCCTTTCTGGCTTTGGCTTTCGTCTGACTTTCGGCTTCTCCTTTGCCCTTTTTCTTAGCTATGACGTACTTTCTGGGATTCGCAATCCCCTTCCACCGCTTTTGATCGTACTGATACCTCGCGTAATCGGACGAGAAGCATGCGTACTCGTCAGTATCTGTGTGAAAATTTGAGTCCTCATTCTCGTCCTCGTCAGATGTATGGTTTGAGTCCCTGACTGAGCCAGCTTCGTCAAGGTCATAGCCATCTTGTTCCTTTTTCTCTTGGTTCTCGTCCTCAGACGAGTACACATAATCTTCATAACCGATGTTCGCCATAGTCGGACTTTGTCAGCGAGCAGGCTTGACGTCACAGTTATAAGGGTGCAGAGAGGCCTTTTAACGATGTCAGATTTGTTTAAAGAGGCCTTGAAAGCTTTCGCTCGATAATTAAGCAGCCGGATGAGAAGTTTGAATTGTATGCAGTTCAGAGCAAATGTGTGTGTGGCAGTGTTGTCGCAGTGTTGTACCGAAAGCGAAATACGAGTACGGAGTACTAAGAGGATTTGTTTATCGATTGCGTCACACTCAAATCACGGCGAAAGACAAGGAACCCCGGCCTTTAACTCCATAATACGGAACTTGCCGGCCAGCTTTGTACCCGCCATTGCACTAGCAGTCAAAATCCAGTTTTTCCACCACACAAGGGGGCCATTTCCCATACAGTCTAGCCGTATTGGCGTCTCTCAAGCTCAGTAAGTATCCTCAGGCTTTGATAATTTGCAGAGAATCATGCCCACAAGACATGGCCACGCCGGCTTGCCATACTGCCCCTATTGAATGGCTCCCAGGGTGCAAACCCCAACATTCTTGCATTCCTGAGCTTCTTTAGGCTCCACATCTCTTGATAGCGGTGCAGGAATAGGGGATCGTGCCAACAGAATAAGGCAACCCATGATCATAAGGGACTTATAGCTGATTCACTCGGAGGGCTAGATCATCCCTATTCATCTCGATCATTAATAGATTGGGGAGCGCATATCTGATAATTCATGGCTGTTGCAATGGTCCACATCCGATCTCCAGCGAAGCTTCATGGATTGCATACCGGACAGCTTGCTTATTGTCTCCCGTACGTTCTCTTCCGGACAGCAGATTTCAAAGGCTCCATGACACTTAAATTTTATCAATAGTGGAAATTGGAGCCTGCATCATGTATCTTTGTTTCGGGAAACAACCTTTCAATCGAACCAATTTTCTTTCAACTTGCGCGCCCAACTTGCGAAATCCGACCCACCGAGCGGGCTTCTTCCCTGTGCCCTGACACTTTTGCATGGCAAATAACCCCTCAAACTTTCGGATCATGGCTCTCCACAAGCCTAAGATACACATTAATGGGATATTGGGAGTCAATCAGAGAAGAGAGGTGAGGTTGGAGTCTGCGCCACAGCGACCCGCTCCCGCGCACATCGCTTAGCGCGCTTCCAAACCAACGGTTCACAACTGAGTCAGAGATTCTTACAGTACTAAAGTGTTTTGCGGTGGCAACCTCAGGCCGATATCTCACTCGAAACCTCCTTGTCCCACAGCTGGCTTATTTCTTGGATACGAGTAGCATTAGCAACAATCAGATGCTCCTTCCTCACGTCCTCAATCCGACGCCCACCTCTCATTACGATGTCTTACGCCAATTCCAAGAACGACTCGACGAAGGACTGGCATCAGGAGAGTACAAGCCGTTTGTATGGCCATATCGGGCTTTTGGGCCCATATTTGCTGATACTCTACCTGCTCCTTCCCCCAACGAATTCAAAAGTGGTCTATTACGCGCGATATCCACTTTTCGCTCTTATTGTGTACTTGTCTGTGGACTCCATCCTGAATTGTAGGAGCTCTATGGTGACGGTGGGGTATGGCATTGGATTACTGAACGCATGGGCGGTGTTGTGGAGTGCGACCTTGATCATTTGGAATGATGCTAGAGGAGAATTTAGGAGGATTAAAGGGCATGACGGTGCGGATGAGAGTTTGCTTGTTGATCAAGCGGAGGGGGCCACGACGGGAGCTGAGAGACTGATGGACGGGGCTTTGAGAGCACGGCGCGTTGATGGAGAAGCCATGGATTCTTCCGGCTCTCCGCGGGAAGAAAGAAACAGGTCAGATTCTAGCAAAAGAGAAATATATTTCTGGCAAACTCTCCCGCCAACGTTTCGGCACCGGCTAGACTGGGTCTGCGATCTCGTCTCTAACTTCCGTGGCGTCCGCTGGAAGTATCAAATCTCCGGCCTTCCACCTCCACCACCGCACATTCAGTCCTCGCTCGAAGACCCCTCTATAGCATCAACCGACGCAAGATCTCTCCTAACTCGCACCGACCTCATCCGACGTGATCTCCCGAGATTCCTACTGTGCCTGATCGCCCTAGATGTTCTCAAGACAATTACGCTTCAGGATCCCTATTTCTGGGGCCTGCCGCCTTCGACACCATCGCCATTTCCATACCCGCGCCTTTTTCGCATCTCGCTGTCATTAGCATTCGTCTACGCGTCTCTCCTCACAATTTTCCTCCTCGCTCCTCTCGTATTTGGAATACTCCTGGGTCCCAACAATATAGGCCAACACGCCTGGCCCTGGCTTTACCCCCCTTTTTCGGTCCCCCAAGCCAAGTCTATCGTAAAGGTCTAGCCGGTGTTTGGGGTCAGTGGTGGCATCAGCTTTTCCGCTATGCGTTCGAACAAGCCGGAGAATTTGCAGGCCGGGTAACAGGTTGGGAGAAGAAGTCGCAGAAGGGGACGCTGTTAAGGGTCGCTGTAGCCTTCGCCTGCAGTGGGCTATTACATGCTTGTGCTTCCTATACGACACTGGGGGATACAAGGCCGATCTACGGCTCTTTTATATTCTTCATGCTGCAGCCGGTAGGGATCATTGCACAGAGAGCGGTGAGTGGCAGGATGAAGAGTGCGGGGTTGAGAGCGAGGATTCCTGCATGGTTGAGAGAGATAGGAAACCTGGTCATTGTGGCGCTTTGGTGCTACATTGTAGGGCCGATAGTTGCGGATGATTTTGCGGCGACTGGGATCTGGCTTTATGAGCCGCTACCAATTAGTCCAATGCGGGCCTTGAGAGGGGATGGATGGTGGCGTTGGGGAGGGCTTTGGGCGAGGTGGTATTCCGCAGACAGATGGTGGCGAAGCGGGCTGGTGTGCTAGGCGAACTGCAAGTCGTTTGAGATACAGTCATCGTCGCCACAAATGCAAATGGCAACGCGTGGCGGTTCTTGCATCTTGAGGGATCGAATTCCCAACTACTGGCATCTCTTTCGATCGGCGATGAATACCCTTCGATGTCGCTTTTCTTTGAGGTTTGAAAAAATACCGCCCGATCCTCTTAGCAACAAGTAGGCTGCGGCTTTGTCCCTGACAATGTGGTGGTTTAGCAGGCTTCAAGCCATAGAAAGAGCGTACATGACTTGGCCAGAGATCCTGTTGAGTCTCCGTTGACGGCATTCAATCATCTTCTTCCTCTTCCTCTTCCTCTTCCTCCTCGTCCGTATCTGGGTCCAGGTTCAAAATTGGCATCTCAAAATCACTCTCATCGCTATCCTCTTGCTGTAGAATAGGCTGTCTACCTGATACAGCAGCAGAGTTTGAAGCAGAGACCTTCTTGACGGCTTGCGCTGATCCATCAGTGTCCAGGAGTGCGGGATCTGCGGGCTCTGGTCCCAGTGAAGTTTCCTCTCGTGTTTCATCAAAACCCACTCTTGATCGCTTGCTAGCCCGTTCTATCTCGATTTTCTCTGTCCCATCGCCCTCAACAAATTCTTGTTTGCCAAAATCGGAAACTTCCTCCCGATCACGCTTCGTTGAAGTATAGGAGAAGGCAGGCCTAGGTTCCGGCAAGCCTGTTGCTGTAATCTTGGAATCAACTGTAGGCTCTGTGCCCGGAGCACTCTTTTCAACAGCACCTGGTGTAGCGTCTACTTGTGCGCCGCTATGTTCTACCGCGATGATGTTCTTTCCGACGTTGGCGTTCTTATTGACATTTATCGAATTATGATAGAGTCCGTCGGAATCGTCGATTTGAGGGTGATCGTACATGTATATGTCCTCATCCTGATCTGACTCCATCTCTTCCCCATCGCTTCGCCGAGACTGTATTGGAGGCATTTGGGGCCGCAGCAGGGCCTCTACCTCCGAGGCTTCCGGGTGCGCCCTCGCAAGTAAAGGCAGAATGCTGCTTGTCTGCTTCTGTCCTTTGCGTCTGGAAGTTGGATTCATCACACTTGCCAGCATCGCTTTCTTGTTATTTGTGATTATGGCCGTTCGATCGATTTGGCAACGAAGAGAGAATGGAAGGTACGCGTTGGGTAGATTTATTAATGTCAGCGGTAGAAGCTCCTGTGCCGCTTGGAGTAAATTGGTGGAAGTACCCGATAAGTCCACCTCATTGGTCGCAGGCTTTAGGTACGAGTCTGCATTCGTTGAAGATACGATCCCATTTGGATGTTTTTTGGTTTCAGGAAACCAAGCTTGTCCACTCTGCACTTGAGATTCAACAGAGGGCAAGAGGTCCTCGCAACACATCCTAACGCATCGAGAGAGTGACCTTGCGTGGGTTCTAGGCAACGAAGGCCCAAATGCGGTTAGGATCTGTGACACCAGCCCATATGCTGCTCTTCGAAAATCATCATTTCCATATTGGCTCTCAAAGGTCCATAAAAGCTGCTCCATTATCGTGGAAGCTATTGCTGCAGAGTTATGACCCATACGCGAAATCATGAGTGAGCAGACTCCTATTGCTGAGATCTGAAGCCGAGGCAATCCGACCCATAGCCCCTCGCGCTCATCCCTGCCAATCTCAGGCTTTATTCGTGGGTTCCTCCCATTGCCTGGTGGAAAAATCGAAAGTACCCTGTCGACCAAGTTGAGGATATTACCTACTGGAAGTGATACAACCGCTGCATTAGCAGAAGCTAGAAATGCCTGCAGTGTGTGCAGAAGACCGTCAAGTCTCTCAATTCCAGCATGAATCCCAGTCCAAGCAGGCAAAGCCAATGGTGTTGGATTCTGGTCGTTTACAACATCCTCGACCGGATTTGAACCTGCAACATCATACTTCGCTATCGAAGATGTCCAATCCTCGATCAATGATCGAAAAACCTTGTTCCCTGTCTTTTGCACAGAATCAATCAGAGCGTCGAGAGATTTTGCCCATTCTTCTCCAGCCGTATTCTTGGGTCCGGAAACGTGGAGTAAGACAAATAAATGTCGGGCACTTTCGGATATAGATGCTGAGGTGGAAGTTGGGTTATTTGCATTTTCAAAATTTGAGGGTGTGGG